GTGAAAGGTTTTTACTGAGATTTAAGAAATCGATTAAAGAATAATGCAGCTTGCTATTTTATTTCTACTCTTAATATATATGTGTTCAATTTTATCTATCCTTAGCAAAAGCATCAATTAGATAGAATTTATGACCAAGACCGTAGCCAGATTATAACAAATCACGAAGAAGTGGTTAACCATTTGAAGTCTAGCATTTCGGAATTAAATAGAGCTATTGATGCTGACAGAACCGAATTAAAAAGATTAAATAACTTTGTACATAATTCTTCCGAGGAACTGACTTCTAAAACTACACAGATCAAATCGTTGAAATCGAAAGTAACCGAATATGAGGGCATTGTTGCAAATAAATCTGCTGAATTAGAAACATCGCAACGACAGCTGTCTTCGCTATCGGTACAAATGATTAGTTTTTAATTTGTAAGGAGTAGATACTCATTTTTTGTAAGGATACTTACCAAAAGCTATTATATGAACTATTTCAGAATGAAATTAATGTCATTAAAAATGATTTTGAAAGTCGCATCAGAATTACTGAAGAAAATCATAGAAAGAAACTTGATGATGTTTCCAAAGATATGCTTTCATTCTGGTCCGAACGACTTAAGTACGTAAATAAGTATACATTTGGTCTGTTTGTGCAACATATTAGTAACTGATAGCATTGTGATTACAAATAGATAATTGACTCTATTTTTAAATTAGGAAATTGAATTTATATAATGTAATTTCTTTATCAGCAACAAACCAAATATAAATCCATACTATATTGCATTTTATTACGTGAAATAGAAATGAAAATCTAAAGCTACGAGCTCAATTAGAGGAGACTCACTTAAAAGATCAACAAGAAGCATTACACAAGTTAACAACTATTAAAGATGAAGAGATTGCTGAAGTTAAATTTCAAGCTAACTTTCAAGTTAAAGAACTGCAATCTAAAGTATTAGATTTACAGCAAACATTAGATACTTCGTCAAAAGAAGCAAAAGAGAGAGAAAAAGAAATTATTCAAGAGACGGAAGAAAAAATTAGCGCCATGAAGAAGCAAATTGATATGACAACAAATGACGTAAAACAACGAATTAATGCCATCAAAAAGGAGTATGAGGAAGAAATACGTGATATTAATGAAAAGCATAATTATGAGTTAAAGGCAAGTTATTGGGAAATGATCTTAACCTTATTACTTCTTAATCAATATAACCGCCACTTTTATGGAGAAAAATAGTTTTAAGCATAGATTACGCTACTACTTTATCTCTCTAATGAATACTATTATTACAGGTAACAGAAGAAAAGACGAAAGTTGAAACACAAAATGAGGTTAGTGAACAGCTAAAAGCTAGCCAATTAGCCATTGAAGCCATCAGGGAGCAAGCAGAAAGACGGCGTATTGCCGATATTAAAGAACTTCAATTAGTTCATCAACGATCACAGGGTAATATATATTTCTATTTAGTACATTTCCTTATAAATTGCTTGATTATAACTGATCTTTTTTTATAATTAGACTCTTTAAGAGAGGATTTATCTCATCAGCATATGGAAGAACTTAATAAACTAAATAAGCAGCATGCAGCACAGTTACAAGCTTCCCGATTGGAACTTCAGCGTGCGATGGAATTAAGAAAACGAGAGGTAAAATAGAATTTATTCATTGCTTATAAGATTGAAATTAAACTCACTGTTAGTTACCTTTCAAAATTTTTTATTAACAACTACCTACTATGAATTACTAAACATAAAATCGTTCTGTCTTTATGAATTAATTTTACAGAATCAAGACCATGACAACTTGGTCTATGAATTAAATTTTAAGATTGATCAGCGTGAGATTCAAATAGGCGACCTGCAAAAACAGATCGCTGAAATTAATAGGAAAGTTGACTCTTTAGATTCGCAATCTAAAGCTAAAGATACTGAAATGGAGGAAATTAAGAAGGACGCAAGCTTTCAATTAAGGTGGTTAATTATTACTTGGTAGACAATAAACTTGGTCGATATGGTGATACTTAATATCTATAGTTAAAACAATTCATTTTTACAATCGATATATAGACGGCAAGAAGAACAGTTAGGAGTTGCCCATCAAGCTGAAATGGATTCATTAGCGGCTGAACATATGCGAGATAAGCAAAAGATGTTAGGGGAATTTAGCCAGACTAAAGAATTTTTACATCAAAAAATAGCCGGATTATATGAGATGTAAGTCATAAATAATTGTCCTATTGTATACGGTGCATCCTCATTAACTACTGATATAGAATAAATACATTTGATATTTTAGAAATGATGAGAAAAATATAGCGCAAAAATGTCAAACGATACTTGTTACTGATATAATACATATACATATTATGTAGGCTACAAGAATCTGAAAGAAGATATGCAAATAGAGAACCTCGTGAAGAGGATGTTAAACAAATTGCAGAACTGAAAGAGATTCTAGGACTTAAAGATTCCGAAATCAAAAAATTAGTGGTGAGTATTAAAAATTTCTAATGTCGATACTACAGAAGACAAAGTTTATCTAGAGTATAATGAATTTTGAATGAAATATTAAAACAGGATGAGAAACGATTCTATCAACTGGAGCTTATTAATAGGGAAGAAAATTACAACAAAATGTTTAGCAGATCGCCAAATGTTGGTGTAATAAATCCATTGATATCTACAAAGGTAACTTTAGATCAGATAATAACTCTATCACTGAAGTGAAATGTAATTTTGCATCCATAATTAGATGAAAAATTCATAAACGATCTTTTTTTCATTATCAGAAAAAGCAATCTAACATCAGAAACAGTGCCAAGAAGGATTCTCGATCTAATTCACCTAATGGCAAGTTGGAACCGTTATCTGGTACGCCAACTCATAACTACTCACTAAATAAAACAATTCCTTTACCGGATCAACAATTTTCAGTCACAAAAGCCCAAAAGAGAGCGGTTGTGTCTTAATTTTACTGTACTAAATCTATTTATTACAACACGAGACCATGCAGTAAAATAATATACACATGTAATGTACAGCTAGCAATTATGTTTATTTGCGAAATTAAGAAGCGATATAAGATTTAATACTAGCAGCAATTTACGACTTGTATTGTTTGATAGTTATGCGATCTTAAAGCATCGTGATCAATACAATGATTTACATTGTATATTGCGGTGCTAAATATCTATCAAGCTCTATAAATTAAAGTTATTCTTATATCTGAATCGAAACAAGATATAATGTATAAAAATACCTGAAATCTATTTTCTTAATCAAATCTGTTTAATTAATCCTAATCTATCCAATACAAATTCTTTTATTTTAATTCTACAAAGTCTAAAATACGCCAATTACGCGTATAGAAGGCACTTTATCTCGGTTAACTATCTTTCATTAGATGGAGATAACGCAATTTTTCTACTATGAATTTTATAACAGCCAGTAAAATTTTATTTATGTCTACATGCCGACAATATGCAAGACGCACCAAATAGAAATAAAATTCAATTACTGATGATATATTTACAGTATTCCTATTGCACCTTTTGTAATCTTGTAATTACGAATTCTCCTGTAAAACGTACAGTATAAATTCTATGTCTATATCACTAAAATATAAATCGATATAGATGTATACTATACACAGATATGCGTAATGCTAAAATACGACACTGACTTGCTCGATTGATAATTATAATTAGCGTCTATCAATTGTCCTGTCATAAGCATAACGAATATCTTAAGTATTACTATTAATGGAATAAAAAATACCCGGAGTCGCGAATTTTAATCAATTTTATCCTATAGGCCGACTAAATGATGTAATTATAATATCCAATTACTGTAGATCGTAAGGTCTTCACTTTACGTATTGCTAATTCTTTACTAAAAAGAAAAACTTTTTCCATTAACTGTTGAAAACAATAACACATTACCGATACCCTGAGCTATTTATGATTTAGTCTACCAGATACTGTACAATGTATAGTATAGGAGTAATGTTGCGTGCTAATGCCATTTACAACACTCAATGTTTGAAGTATAAGTATCGATTCGATTCGATGTAATACTATAATTTTTAAAATTTTATTCAACTGGATACAATTGACGATAACGTAAAATTTACAGGCAATGCATTACGACTCTGCAGTACTGTGCAGTAAAAAGGGAAACTTTCACGTTCGTTTTAGTAGTCTCTGCTTTCATTTAATGACTATTTTCAGGCTGCATACGCGTATATCAAATGTTGGCGGTCATTTCTCGTAGTTTGTAATGACCTCGCAAGACTTTCAGTAATTAGGGCATTGACTGACAGAAACGTTAGCTGAGCTATCCTAATTACGGAATACGAGCAATGTATGAGTATGGCTCACACTGTAACTAATAATACATCCAGTACTTCTGTATTAGTATTGATTGATTTGCCTTCTATTCAATGACATAGACTAAAGAATCGTCAATATTACTTTAGCCAACGTAAAGGTGGCATCGAAATCTTAGTATGAGCAGGTATCTGCAGATTTAGCCATCAGCACCATAACGACATGCTACCGTCAGCGACTGCTGCACAGCGCACAGCTAGCAGGATACGGTAGACCAGTAAGTTGAGTAGATAGACTACTGTGGTTCAAGTATCCAATAGAGCTGAGCCTAATCCATTTTATTTATTTTAAGTTTCTTCTAACTTTCTAAGTTTCTAACTTTCGGCATTAATAGCGTTTTGAAATATTGGGTAGTCGTGCGCTACTTATTCGTCAGCTGTGTGTAAAATAGATGTCGTATTAGTAAGATTTATTCATAGTTTAGTACCAAGATTATATGCGACATATATTATGCGCAACTTGCAGTACAGTGTACAGTACTGTATGTCAATGTTAAGTACTGTAAGGTACAGTACAATGTGCACTCGGCTTTCTACGGTACCGTACCGTATCGGGCCATAGAGATCTCTATCCAGCGTACAGGAGGAGCTCCTCCACGAGATCACCACGGAAAACATGGCAGCTGGTCGAGTAATGATGTTCCAACGTGCACGAATTGCTTGCCAAATGATAGTAACACGGCAACATTATCGTGGTATGGCCGCTATACCGGAGACTTTACGCATGGAAACCAAGGAGAAGAAAGAATATGAACGTAAATTGATGTGTTGGAGAAAAGAAATGGCTGTGCTTAGAAAGAAATTTTTCGACCATCATCAGCGATACATGCAAACACAACTTTCTAGTCAAGAAGACACCAAGGAAGAGGAAAAACGGCAAGATGTAGTGACTGAACGGATCATTCAGGAGCGTAATAAGAAAATTTCAAAACGAAGGTACATTTGCATACTTCCTAATAGTTTATTGTAAGCAGTGAATACTACATCTTCTACTTTATACGAATCTTCGCTAACCGTTAGAGAGTTCAACACTGCTGTAATACTTTTTAAACAATATACAAAACTCGTAGCTGCAGTACTGTACTACTGTTGTATCACTAGGTCGTTTAAATGTATACGTTATTAGTTGATCATCCTTTGCATTTACATTATGTATTGTTTAGTAGTTAAATTATTACTGTGCTCGATCCTACGTATAGAGAGATAAGAGAAAAACAAATCAGACAAAAAGCAGCTGTATCAAGAGAAGTTGGTGCAGCCAAGCAACAAGCTTCTGAAGAGAAGATCCTCAATAAATATACACAAGCTGTATCCAACCAAATGGTAAGTCATGAATGATTATGTGGAAATACAGTACAGTAAATACGCTTGCATGCTTTAAATGTGCTAAGATTATGTAGTAATGCATCTGACAAAAGGTACAATATGGTATGTAGGGTAATAAAATAAAATTTTATGGTTTGCATAAGTGAATATAACTTTTAAGTGCTCTAAATTTGCAAGATATCTAGTAGTTGTCTGTAATGTCGTACGGGTATTATTGTGCAACGCGGATTAATTATGACATATAACTAAACAACAAGCCAAAGTGTAACTTTTTCGGAGTGAATCCGAACTCTGTAAAATATATTCAATATAGCATCAGATTTATAAAATACAGCAGTTGAACGTTGAAGATATAGAAATAAGTTTAATATCTTCACTGCTACAAAGAATAGATTTAAGTTATGCCCTACTTAATAGACATACACAAAATGCGATATCGTTTCTCAGTGTTAAATGCCCTTACCCCTAATAATTCCGATAACCCTGATAATATTTTGGGATTTCGCAGGTGGAAAGTGAAAATTTTATTACCGAAGACAATATTGATGCAAAGTTACGCGAAATTATTACAAATACCAAGGATTACAACTTTTATGTTTATGAAGATGGTAAAATCGTCACGCCTAGCGATTCTACTGAAGTTGAATAGATAAAGTATCAAAATTAATTTAAGATTTTCATATATTTTTCCTACGACATTGGTAAGTCGATACGGTGAGGATATACACTTATGGCATACACGCGTATGAAGTCTACACAACTCGATGTGATTGATGCGAATTATATAACGATTTAAATTATTTTCTAAAAACCTCTTTCTGGAATTTTCAAGGGAAATTATAAAGCACGTACTCATACGCGCATGATGTTTTATGATAGAAACATGGTTTTTAAATTACACATTTAATGGATGCCTTATAACAAAAAACGGAACTGGTATCATTAGATGACATGACAAAGTCAATACCAAGTAGATGATTTTTATTTCCGGAAAAAAGAATTATTATTGCAGTAGTTTATACATATGCAAAGTGTATACTATATATACATGTGTATTTTTACACTATATTGTGTGTATATAATAATAAGCTGATGTGATTAAACGTAATTTAATGAATGCTAATGTTACAGTTTTCTTATTACAGTACCTTGTAAATAAATAAAGAGTAACATTATGAAAATATGACCCTGCAGCATCCCTATTTTCTTATTGTTGTCATTGCCTAAGGATAGCTCTACTACGTATACATTCCTATTTTGATAATATAATTATTTAAACATAACAGTTAAAAACTTTCTTAAAGAATACAGTACTTCTCGAAATTCAAGCCTGCTGTAGATACGAGTATAAGCTGTGCCATGTTGGGAAAGTTCGAATCAATTTTTATCTCTGCTACTATAATTAATAAATTATATTTAGCATACACTAAGTTTTAATTAACTATATCGATATTAGTGTAAAATAGTACTCAACCATGTACAGTATATGTAGCCGTTACTGTATGAGTCCATTACAATCTGGGATAGTTTCTAAGAAGTTTTATAACCAGCCATAAAAATCGATAGACTCCATGCTCTTATGCGACTTATTAATTAAGTTAACCTCTCAAAAATCTATGAAATGGCAGTAACAAGCGCAGAACTACCGCATGGCTTTATGTTAGAATCATAGACGTATGATTCGAATGTCAAATTATGAATAAACCGCAATACGCGTATGTAGACTTTAGCTTCACATCTTACATCACAACAGGAATATCGTAACCTATTAACCTATTACTTATGACATGCATAATATCTGATAGAAAACAAATAGGTGAGCAACAATGAACAAACATGGAAACATTTTGTGGTATTACAGTTGTTAGACATATTACAACGGCATGTTAGTTAGTATTACATATTCAGGAAAACTTACACGGTTAGTTAAATGTAATATGGCCGTATATTTTTTAATGACGTTAAATCTTTAGAAATGAGATTTTAAAATAGAATTTATTTGATATCAAATTACACGTACAATATATATACATTTTCAGATGCCTCAAATTTGAATGACTGGATGTAATAAAATTATATGAAAGGTTTATTGATGAATAATTAAACAACACCAAGTATTGTAGATGTTGTAAAAGTGCGAGTAGGCAAATATTCATCTAGTTAGAGCAATTAGGCTTTAAAAGTAATTAATTTATCAAGACACCGTACTCTCCCTAATTTTTACTTTTTCTAAAATCATTAATTGCGGTTCAGTTGAAATAACTAGAGGATATGGTAACAATTTCCAATTAATTCTTATACCGGAGTAACCATTGACGACAGAAAGTTGACGATGAGTAATCTGGTAACTATCCCAGTCAGCAGCTTCAATTATTAAATGGGAATACTTTAAAATCCACGGATCGGCTTTCTTCATATTTTCAACTTTAGAATAGCTGTAAGAATGATCAAACTTTCATTATCACTGAAAAATTGTGAGAAAACTTGTTCAACTTTATTAACAACTATTTATAATTATTGATATTGTCTTACTTCCAAGAAGGCTCGAGCTCACCAAATCTTGAAACACCCGTTTGTGCAGCGAGATTACAGATATGCACTGAAACTAATAAGTTCCAGGTCAGTTCAAAACGAAGTTGACATTTAATTTAAGTCCAATACTAGCAATAGCAGGAACATAGAAGTCACAAACAAACCTCCTTGTCTCTCTTTGACTAGACTATGTAATTCTTGCAGCGCATTTCCTCCAGAATAATTGTGATATGAAACGCATAACATTATCGTAGAAAATATCGAATTTAATAATAGTACACCAACAATGCTGATAGCTCCCAAATTAGGCGAAATTCTATTAAATTTCCTTTGACTATAGTATGAATTAATCAGTGCACACAGATTAATGGTTATAGTCAGTGGTGATAATCAACAAGTGCATGATTACTTTCAAGTTATACAAGTACTTACATAAAAATGAGACCTCTAGCCGCAGAAATATTAAGGAGTGGAAAAGCATATATAATAAATCGCAATTCTTTATGGGGTAGTATCGAGTATATTAAAACGAAAATAATACCAGAAAAGAAGATGGTCCTAATCTGTTTATCAGTAATAGCACCTACAGGAGAAAGTAAATAGGCAAGTAATAGCGCTCTTGGTAGAGCTGAATAAAAATACCATAGAAACGGTGAGGTCTGATATTGGCATTCATTGTCAAGGAAACTGAACGGAATTGTGATCATGAGGGTACGCTTTTTATTTTAGCTTGTTAATCGTTCATCGACTATTATATTACAACATGAAAGCCAATGTTTTGCATCATGTAATGTTATCAGTATAATAACAGTAAATAATATTATTCATTAGTTAGGATACGCCCCAGTTTGAGCTCTTATTCATGATGGTATTGTACCAAAGCACTTCACCTTCTGGCCATAAATATCTTCCCCAGCAGTACGAGTCTATGGCAATTGTAATTGCTACAAAATGGATCCATGTAAATATAAGAATATTTCAAGCAATAATTATCCAAAAATACCACTATCGATAACAAGCGGGTATTTGCGTAAAATGGTATAGTTTAATATTATTTTGGACTTAATTTCTGTGTAGTACCTAAACAAAAGATGGTGGCAAGAGTACCATGGTAAAGCAATTTCAGTATAGATAATCTAAAGCTCATCAACTCTAAGAGTAATAATATTCCCAATAGGAGACATAGCTCGAATCGGAACACCAGTATCGCAAACGCCGATAACCATATAAATTTGCTATGGTGTCCTCTCATCCAACTTGTAACTGCAAACATCACTATCCAATTACAATGATGCAATGAATAGAATATACATATAAATATATAAAATGTTGTAAATACTGTAGATGTATTTAATTTGTACATATCCAAGACAAAGCATCAAAATGATCATTTTGTAAAATAACTTACCAACAACTAAGGCAAAAGTATTTGGCAACGTCCTCGAGATGTAGAATAAAAAATGAAATTGGGAAGCTGTTAACAATAGCATATATCGAGCAATGGTTGTACCAAAAGTGTCTCGAACAGCATCAGATAGCGTTAACAACCCTTTTAATCCCCATGCCATAAGGCAGCACCTAACTAGCAAATATCCAATCATCACCAACATTACTTGTACAGCTTGATAGATGTAACACAAGCATGCAGTACTCACGAATATACTACCTGACTGTAGCTATGCTATAGTCTATTTAATATTATAGCATAAAATACTCTATTTAACGCAACGTACCGATATATAAAGCTGCTAGTTTAGAATGGGTGATGATGATAAACGGCCATGCAGTTAACGAGATTACTAAAGGACCAGTAAATGTTCGAGGTACGACTCCTGGAAATTCATGGTGATCATACTAAAAAGTGATATAGCATAACATGAATACTTTATCTTTCGTGGGTATCATTTTAACAGATTTGAATTAATTGAGTAGAATATCCATTAAAAATGTCTAATACGCTATAAATATCGGTATTCATCAAACATAGGGATCTACGCATAGGTATGCATCATAGTCTATGGGTATATTGCATGGCTTATACCGATTAATAAATTTATAATTATTATCATTTTTCCTTTTACCATTGTAATAATATTGTAATACTGTAAGTGGAATTAGATTATATAAATAATTAATGATTACAGCTAATGGCAGTATACGTTTGCATGTATGGTACGTTGTTCTTGACGTCTACTGTAATGATTCAAAAACTACTAGCCCTGCTATCAGTATAGGTGATTCCTTCTTGAGAAAATGGTATCATTATCAAAGCACAGAGGAGACGAATAAGCTCTATTTATCACTGAGGTACAGAATTGACAGTAATGTTTATTACACGTGTACACAGGCTTGCAATTAAGTTCTTATGCCAAATTGATTTGACGATCTTCAAAGCTGAATAAGCTGCAGTGGCGTTGCAATGATGAATATTTACAGTACTATTCGATGTATTGTACCATGTCTAGCACATGCACTGAATCCAATACTGTATGATTGATTGATTATTCGTTTGATGCAGCCTTGCAAATGTCAGCCGTAAGGATTGCTGTAGGTAACAAGATTTGTACAAGTCCAGTAGGTGACATTATACTACTACTGCATGATGACAAGTCTGATCAAATATGGAAAGATATCAAGGTGTGTGGATATGCAACCAGTTGTAGAAAGTAATGCCTATTGCAAAGTTCAACCTTTTGTATATTGCCCTTATGATAAATGATATCATGAATGGCTTGTAAATTGAAGCTTTCTTCGACTTTGGTATATGGACATACAAGCAAATGCAGAAATGCCACTGCTACCACTAAATACTTTTCCCATGGCATAATTGAAAAAAATGGCGAGGGATTCCTTGGCTAACTTTGATTGAAATTCGGTTTAATTCATTGACTGATTGACTAAATTGATGTCACCCTTGATCTGATGGCAGTGACGTCCAGTCCAAGCCCAATACGCACGCGCATTGCTACAGTACACTGTACTGTACAACTGCAGTTTACAGTACTGTACTAAAAGTTTTGTCCCTCTTGTAACAGCTGTGAGGTGAAGTAAGATTGCATCAATTGTATTGACTCTACCGTAGCGTAGTACAGTACACTGTACTGTACAACTACAGTGTACAGTATTGTACTAAAAGTCTTGTCCCTCTTGTAGGGATGACAAACTATTGCTAAAAATAGCTTCAACGCTACTGCTGTACTGCATACTGGATACTGGACACTGGACACTGGACACTGGATACTGGATACTGACTACTGGACACTGGACACAGAACACTGGACAGTAAGTATTAACGCTGACGGATCTGGCGTATCGTTCTGTACCCAAACAACTGTGAGGTGAAGTAAGATTGTATCAATTGTCTTGACTCTACCGTAGCGTAGTACAGTTCTTGTCCCTCTTGTAGGGATGACAAACTGTTGCTAAAAATAGCCTCAACGCTACTGCATACTGGACACTGACTGCTGGACACTGGACACAGAACACTGGACAGTATTGCGCTGACCAAACTGGCGTATCGTGCTGTACCCAAACAACTGTGAGGTGAAGTAAGATTGTATCAAAGTCCAAGTGAGTGAATGCAGCGCAGCGGGTCACTAACATGACACATGACCGCTGCAGTACGTCATTCGATGATACTGTAGCATAGGAGAAAAATAGCAAATTGTATAGAAAGACCTTGATGAAGTGGGCCAAGTGAAGCAGAAAACCGCCCATGACAACACTGGCATAATACTGTAGTTAATAAAATTAACATGGGGAGTAAAATTGATGCCAAAATAGTTTTATTAGGTCGAGAATACGCCGGCAAAACTTGCCTGGTTGAACGCTATTTACATGGTAAAGCGCCTGGTTCTACTCCTTATCAAAATGTACGTCATTAAGTATCAAATTGAAATGGATATAAAGCCTATTCTATTTAGCAAGAAGACTTACACTGTAAATTAATCAGCAAATCTGCTCAAAGGCAGGCAATTCTGTAGGCAATAATGTCCATTTTTAATTGATAGACTGGACTTGTAATGAAGAAATTAGGATAAAGTTATTGTAGTGTACTATATGGATAAACCAGTAGTCGATGATATTGGTTAATATTCCTTTCTTGATGATAATGCCACATTGGCGTTGTTGTCATTTTATAATACGGAACATGGACTGTATTTCTAAATGGATCCAAATCATCAATGTTATTATTATTGTTTTCACTTGTATTAATGAACTGCCTCATACTATTCTTGTACAATATCGCGGCAATGCTGATCAAGTGCATCTGAAGTTGATTGACAATATGTTATGTTTATTAGACTATTGGCGCTGCTTTTGGAGCTAAAAAAGTTTCAGTGGCAGGTCGTGCAATTACCCTTGGTATCTGGGTAAGTTCTGGACTATTTTCAACTTGAGATATCGTCACCAATATTAACAATTCGTGCCATTTCCTCTAACAATTATTTTGAGAAACTTATGCAATTGCTTCGCCTACAGTCTGGTTTTACTTTAATAATGATATAGAACAGTACAATCTTGTAGATGATAGGTTACTAATATATTGAACAATCGATCCAATGAAAACGCTACATCTTTGCAATACTACCAAGATTATACTCGATAGAAACTGGTAGATTGATATTTTTTCATCTGCTAGTACTGTACAGGTGATAAAACATGGGGTACACGTATATTGATGGTATATCACTTATGACTCGTAAATCGTACACTTGGCTATCGTTACCCCAAATAATTTGTTAAAGTTGAAATACTTTCTGTTGTATAATTAATTGTATTCGTATATTACTTATTGCTTGATTGCATATGGAGATTGCTTTTTTTATCCGATAGTACAAGTGATAACACAGTGTATGCGTATTCTTGATGATAATCACTAATGAATTACTACTGAACTGTATACCTTAGCTCTTATTTATACACGATATGGACAACGTCATTGCCCGAAATAATTATTATAAATTTAAAAAGAATTTCTGTTGTAGGTATAATCGTTCGTTGTTTAATACTTGATTATACAGTAGTATGATAGAGAATAAAACTAGCGTAAGGAAATCATCCATAGCTCTATACACGTATTTATAGTACTGTAGAATTCAGCTAAAAGTTTAACCTTAATATAGGAGGCTGATAGACAGGATAACTGTTAAAAAGGACAGCCGTATAGGAAATTACATCAATTCAAAGGTAGATGCGCATGTCGTATGTGCGCCCTCTACTCTAACAAGGTTTACGTACAGTATACCTCGTGTTGCTGCCTCTGAATTCAATCATTATAATGGACCACTGGTGCTATTATTACTTTATGGCTTACCGCGACTGAACATAAACTTCAACTAGGATATCAACAATTAGTGTAATAGCATATGACATAATGGCACTATTCCTATTAGGATAGGATAGAGTGAGGCATTCCCTCGATTACGTAGAACCCAATAACATATTCATGCATAATTGTACGAATTAAGCTTTTTCCACAAAGAGAATATAGTGAATACTGTTACAGAAATATTGACTGAATAAACGTTTATAATAGAGTACATTGATTAAATATTATACATGTTGTCATTTACTATCTAGAGGCGAGAGTACCACAACTTCTTTCAGTGATAAATACCGTAAAATTATACTAATTATCATTTCATTGATCAGGATACTGCTGGATCAGAAAGATACAAAGCCATGAGTCGTATTTATTACCGTGGGGCCAAAGGTGCCGTAGTTTGTTTTGGTATGTACAGTATCTATATTATGGTTTTGCAATCTCGAATAAAATCGTTGATATACTTTATAAATTGCCTTTCCTTATCTATTATACGCGTCTTTAGAACATAAATTTACTTTGGAAACATTTTTAATTAGATTTAACAGATTCAGCTAGTTTTGGAGTTGCCCGAGAGTGGATTGATGAACTCAAGTCTTGTGAAGAGGTATAGTCTATCTAGAATAATTTATCCATCACCTTCTAATCCTTGTTATGCTATTTCTAGTAAAGAAATTGCCTAACAACCAAATATAAACATTAGTCTTATGAATTCTTTAATTTCGATGTCATTGCTTCGCCTACTGTAATAGAATAATCTAACTTAATTTTTGATTGCATCAATTTTCGTTATCATCATTAATACTTTAATAATAATTATATAATATTACAGGCTTGTAAGGTCTATTTATGTGGTACCAAAAAGGACTTAATCAGCGGTGACAAAGCACGTGCGGTATCGCACAGTGACATCCAAGCACTAGCTGACGGTAAATAATTTATTATGTGTAAGACTTATTTTGCCTAGGGTAATGCTGCTAATACAGCACGGTATAACTATCTTATTGATTACCTTCTTATAGTTACTATACTATTATAAGCCTCTACTTGTGTTATTATATGATCATGCTAATATAATTACCCAACATCCTTCAGACGTACGTGCAAAAGCATTTGAAACTTCTAGCGTAACTGGTGAAAGTGTTGGTAAGTTTTACATCGTACAATCTTTCATGGCGTATATATGTCTTATTCAGTGTATGTTTACACTAAAGCTTGCGAAATATTATAACGTAATAATTTTAATGATATTATAAGGATGCAATGAGGTAACAACTATGAAAAAGTAGTTTAACTGTCGTGAACAAACTGAAAAATCTTTTTTACCATTATTGTTTTATACTTGTATACAAGTACGAAAGGATTTCCGTATTGTACTGATATAATTGACAATATTAATATTGGAAGACTGATAACAGATAAAAATGACGATGTGCAATTAATCAAGTTGATGATATAGTTATCATATCGTACCACATTCTATTGATATCATTGTATTGTACTATATAATTTGCAATATTAATATCGGAAGATTAATAGCAGATAAAAATGACGATGTGCAAGTAATCACGTTGATGATATAGTTATCATATCACACTACATCCTATTAATATCAATGTATAATTTGTCTTTAGAATCATTATTTTTCCAAATTGCTGAAGATCTCATAAGGGATAATGTAATATCACCTGCAGGTAATTGATGTAATGACAAAGGAATGCTTAGAAGCAGTCCTATCTTATGGTACTGTGCTGATTCTAAATACTTTAAATAAGTTGGTAATTATTAACGGAATTTTAGATATACAAGTATTGTTATAATAATCAAATTACTTAAATGTACTATATAGATGAACCTAAGCAAGGATTTAATGTGGATAGCAGCTCTGCTCCTGCTCAAAAGAAATCATGCTGTGGTTAATGCTTAATAATATATATAGTTGTTTCTCCTACATTGTAGCCTAACATAGCAACGTCATGACAATCAATTCTGACATTCTTTTCTTGTGTATGATAATCTTTCAATAGTGAATAGAGAATGAATGACTTTTTGACTTAATTACCTAGTTAAGAATTTAGTATTTTCTAGAGATTGACTTGGAATCTTTACGATTCATAAAGAACTGATCATTTTCAAATATAGAAAGTATTACTACATATGCAAATGTATATTCTGTTATCAGTAGTTAATATAACATACTGTATTTTATCATTTCCTCACAGATGATTTATCGGCTATAGAGCAAGTGACACTGTTATTTGTAATTATGATATATCAAATAGGTCAATATTGAACTATGTATTCATATGCGACTTACTCAAATGATAGTTTGACATGATTTAAATTTTTAATTAAAAGATCTGTTTTCGTACAAATTATGATTTTAGTATTGTTTAAAATAATTTCCAGAGTTAATACAGGACGTAGTCTTTATATTTATAACAATTGCATGGCACGATTAATACCTTTATTATCATTTACTTATCGACCTGAAAAACTTACTCACTAAATTAGTTGTAAAGTTTCTCAGCAATACCACGATAGTATTATGATTATGTCATTAGATATCATTTCACCCGACGTAATTGGGCAAATACAACAATCTTGATGAGATGCAGAGACATGCCGCTTCATAAAGTATTTGAATGTATATTTGCTTTGGATAGGTTTAAATTTTAAGGACATTATAAATGTAGTCTAGAAAATTAATCTACAGTACAGAACTGTACTTAGGAGGACCGAATTAGTTCTTATACTGCAATTACAATTCGACCAAATTATATAATATTATCAGAGCGATGACATGAATCCCGACTGTTTAGGCCATCTTAAGAACTGTTTGGACCATGGCAGCAACACCATCGTGTACCACATGAAAGTCGGCGTCGCACATAAATGCAGCAGTTGTCACTACGCGATTTTCTTGATCAACATGAATTTCGTGAAAGCAGTTAAGCAAATGTTTATCAGTCATAAAATTGGGCTATATTTATAATGTTATAGTTATTAGTGCTGTAAACTGTAGATGATAGGTACCATCATTTTTTAAGTTGGATTGACAAAATACGAACCAGCGCTCATCACTGTACAGTGCAAGTAGCAAGAACACCGCTACCAATTTAAAATTTACTTTTATAGCATAGAAAGGATATATTAACAGCTGTATCGACATGCTTGGCTCCCATTTTTTCAATTGCTTGTGCAGTATCGGCATAAGGCCATTTCCCGTCGTCGTTTTTACTCTGCCCTACAGTTACTTCACCCGTTCCAAGAACCTATACGTTGATAAAAATTATAAATTGGCATTATACTAAATCATCATATGAAGATAATGCTAAGAAAGGATATGACTAAAATTAACTTCCTAAGAGACCTTGGCCACGATTGTTGGGGCGATGCAACAAAATCTAAAATTTTGTAGAAAGTAACAAGATTGTGCTTAATCACATGATGAAAGTATGATACATTTTCTAGAACTATATTGCTAAAATTTTTGTATTATTAAAACGTAAATAAATCTATTTCAAAATCAAATTAACTGTCTCTTCTATTGATTCTTACCCCATGGGTTTTTTCAACTTATGAAAGTCTACGATAACACGTTGCACTTCATCATTTACCTCACAGTCTGGGCCTTTAACTGCAACAGTAGACCTAGTAGAGAATAATTCCGTGCAATATTAGTACTACTACATAATCTATATGACAAGATATCAAATTTGTAACTAGATTAATCACTTATGCAGTAATTTAATCACCAACATACAAATTCTTCGCTGCTCCAAACCCTCCAGGGAATACAATGGCGTCATAATCATTGGCTACCAAAGTATCAAGAGCTGCGATATTACCTCGAGCAATTCGTGCTGATTCTTGAAGAACGTTTCTAGCAATTACAAGTATAATCATTCACTTCAATCAATAGAACAATCTTCATCTAGCATGTTAGTACACTTTATAAACATAGTTGTTGACATGTCTATAATACTGTAAGTTTGGACTTGCCTGTTGACACTTTCCTCCTGTCCATTCAGATGATTGATAGTATGCATTTGTGGAATATTAGGCGCAAATATAGAGTATTTCACTCCTTCACGACTTAAGCTCACTAAAGCACTAAAGTATTAAAAAAATAGCATTGAAATCATTATTTAATAACTTACTTTATCGTTTTATCAGTAAGATAAAATGGATTTCTAGAAGTATAGTAACTTATTGACTTATACATTAGGTGCAAAGCGACTAACAATAACGTCTATTAGAATTCTTGCAGAGTCTAATGGCAGTTTTGACAATACAGTACAGTATACATATGCTCGTACCGAATCGTACATAAATAGTACGCTATTTCAATATATTGTAAATATTACGTTGTATAGGCATACTTATGGGACAGCTGGTGTCAAATCCTAACAACTATAAAGGTAAATCATGCATTATTACCACTATAACTTCCTACATCTAGAAACTTACGCAGAAGCTTCGTGGATTTCGCTTCCATCGAAGACTCCACAGCCAGATAAAACCTACAAGAGAAAATGAGTTCCTGTGTTAGGCACGCGTCTAATTTTACTACATAAGCGTATACTCCGTAGAGTAAATTATATTAAAATAACTTGATATCATTGATAACAACTATTCTAAGTGAATCATTATAATTGTATGTGGGAATATTGAGGCAAAATACTGTACTCAAAAGAAGTCTGAGTAAATTAATGTATCGATTCATTTTATAGCACCTTTTCTAAACTAGATTGATATAATTGTTATTATACCGGTTGATTCTCTTACAGCAAATATGAGATACTGCATAATTCAATTCGTTAAGTAAGATGATACAGTATGTCTATATGAGTGACTGTAACTGATTATTCCTTTGCATACTATGGGTGCAGTATTCATTTTTCGGTAGACTGTAGCTATTTTTTTTTCTCTCGCGTATCATCATCATCAATCATCGCCTCAATAGTCAACAGCAAATAGTCAGCAAATCGTTTCTTTCCTCTACTGTACACGTATAATAATCCTCTTATCATATTCTTTTATCATGCAATACTCGTATACCAGAGCTATCTTCTTGGGCGTAGACATGACACCAGGTGTAGTGGAAATAAGTCGGCGAGAAATAAGTTGGAAGCCTTTCGAAAACATTTGCAACAAAATGAGCTCTTGTTCACGGATGAATTGCAGCTTGCACTTTACCTCTGCTAGTGCTTAACTCTACAACACTACAGTACAGTATACTGTAGTGTACACTGTACTGTACACTGTACAGCAGCTCGACTCTGAACTGGATTAGACTGGACTGACAGGACGGATGGGAATGAGTCACGGGGACAGCTAGGTCAGGAGTCAGGACCGACTAGACCATACAGTACCTTCGGACAAAATTTCACTTTGTACTGTAGCAGATTTTGTCTTTAAACTGATATTGTTTGAGAATTTTATAATGGCCATCACGAGTAGCGTAATTCTATCAACTCGTATAAAAAGTTCAGCTCTCTAGCTACATAATATTGTAAAGTATAGCTATTTTAGATTAGCTATAGTAATATTTTTCCCCTTTTTCTACGTCTGAAAAGAAAATAAACATGCTTGTTCTATACTGTACTGTAGAAACGATCCGCATACTGTAAACTTCTACACCGTATCTCCTGCAGCTCTGGTCGTTTTTCTTCAATCATCGGAGAGAAAAAGAAAAAAATATGAGAATTGTAATAAATTGTCGAAATAGTATAGCAAAAGAGGAGACTATAGTGTAGATATTCTTGATAGAGACGGAAACAAGATGATTAACGGTAGATAGCGTTTCATTTATCATTAGACTTAGAGATGGCACAGAGATAAGTTAGTTAGACTGGGCGCCATATAAAACGTACGAGCATATACGATACCTTTATCCATGCGCGCATATAGCACCAGGCGGATTCAGAATATACAAAGTTGGAAATAATCATACTTAGATAATCCCAATACGGCATGTGGAAGTTATCTAAGATTGGTATATGTTCGTATATGCATATCTTATACGGCCGTATCATATCCATAGTAAATCATGGAATATTCTAAAACTTATTTATACTGACGCGTATTACAATATATGGAATAAAATGTTTCAGAAAATTCGACATGCACACGAGCGCGAGCGCGTACCCATTCTAGGGCTTGAGAAATCACTCTACTAAGACTGTGACAAGACTGGTAGAAATGAAGACATCTTCATCTTTTTTCTACTGTATCACCATCTTTATAGCAGAGACAATCAGTAAAGTTCAGTTATAAATATGGATACCTGTATATTGGACATTGAACGATGTTAAAAGACTTATTGCAGACCTGGTGCAAATACTTGCAAGATAGATGGGTATTCAAATGTTCAACAGCATAACTTATGCTGTAATGAGTTATCAATACACCTAATATCTGGATAGCTGATATCAAGCAAATTATTAGTAATACAATATTAATGGAGGGCATAAGCCTGACTTTCCCATGATAGCTATCGGCTTTTATTGCACGGATAGATGAAGTAACAGTTTGCATTTTTAGCTATCTCGTTCCTATCCGTTTTCCGATTCAGTGACATCATCTCAAACTCATTCTTTTGGATGATACTACAATATCATCTATTTTACTAGATTAGCCGCCATAGTTGAGTACTGTAGCAAATGATGAACTAAAAAAATACGACAGAAACTGAATCAAGGGAGTCAACGCAATAAATAGCCTGTTAAATTAACTTGAGCAAATGAGCAGTACCCGATCAATACAATACGTCTGATAGTAAAAGTGTTAAATGCGCGTGTTGACTCATTTACCTCACTTGTTAATACTAATGATATTACTTTGCATATTTCTAAATATAACGACAAAGAGTGACTACTGTAACGGTATGTGATCGCAATGACTAATTAATTAGGCAGTAATGAAATCAAGATAATGTTGTACCGTATATCTATGAACGATCGGTCTTTCTAAGACAAAAAAAATGCTAATAGTCATTATTATTATTAATACCCTCAAAGTCAATACCTAGAGCATAAATACATTATTAAGAGGGCATTTCTTTAACTATTATTTTACAATCAAAGCAAAAAAAACTAATGGTCATTATTATTAATATGCTTGATCTTAATATATAGAGCATACATACTTTATTGCGAGGACATTTTTTCTTTACTCTTATTTTACTTGTAATAAAGAAAATGCATTCATATTTATTTACTTTTCTTTATTTATAGATCGTGCATAGCATTAGTTTACATAAAATAATTGTATTCATAGTCTCGATAGGGTGATCATGTATTTCAATTATTATGTATCTAGTGTTGTAAATTTATCCAATATAATATACAGGTTTTATAAAGCGTAGTAACAAGGAAATTTCAATTTCGTATTTTGGATTTAATAAAATTTCATATCACTTTTGATATGGCAGTATTTTCCTGCAATCAATATTGCCAGCTAATCTGCGATATCCTCTATCATGAAGTTGGTATTGAGAATAGTAACTTTCCATCAATAGATACCATACTACAATCAGATAGGTTAGCCAAAAATAATCGAAGGGTTATTATCATCAATGCTCCGCACCTGTCATGAAAAGAGGGGATAATTATGAATAGGCAATAGACCTAGAAGGAAAACTAGAGTAAAGTAGAGTTGTAAACTATCAGTGTGGGTGTACGTTAAAAAATTTAAAGAGAAAATTAAACACAGCCATCAAGACTATTATATGTTCAACATTGAAGCAGCTATTCAAAGTTTTCCGGCTATAGTTATAATGATAAGCGTAATCTTTGATATGCTATGACTGTTAATAGTGAAGTAGAAACAATGAGACAATTTTATGTCAAATTAGACGGTATTGTTTCACCATTTCCTATACATTTAATTAATCCATTATCTATTGAACAATATGGTTATTTTAGCACTTGTGCAAAACGGATTTCTAATAAGATAGATATTTATAGATGTCTATATTTGCTAGCTGACTAAATGAAATTTGGATTTTTGTAAACGGGATGATTCGATAGTGATTCTATTTAATAAAATATACAATCAACTCATCTCCTGGGTAATTTTGTACGTTTAAAATAGTAAAATCATAGTTATAATTCGCTCTTATGTTAATTTGTTTCAAGAAAAAGAGTTTCAATAAGGTAAAATTGTATTATAATCATTTTCGTATATATTACATTCTCTTTGAATGAGTTATTTAGAATAGATAGATTTTAGCTCTGAGTGTGAACATATGCTGTTTCTAATTCAATTATTTATAGATGATACTTTCAGATCGATACTTGACGTTGTTATGTTTTATTTTTAGATTGCTTGTTTCAAAATTAAATATTCTATGCAATTAAGTCAGCCTTTCTGTATTGTAAAAGCAGAGATCTACGCTATATGAACATAATCTACTACCTGTAAAATATAACATGGATGACAGCCTTGAATCAATGCATCTGTAATTCGCATACAAATTGCTACTGTAATATTAAATTAGCAGCAAAGTGGTCTTTTATTTAAATAGTATGGAACTATTTAATAGCGAATATTACCATCCATATCCTATTTTCTATCGAAAAATGATGACTATCAAGTCGTCATTTTGCAAACAGATTAGTATCAATGTTAGATTAGCATTACTCCTATTTATTACTATGGTTATCATATTATCTATAGGAAGAGAAAATAAATGATATGATACGTGTATTAATAGTTTTAGCTAAAAAATGTATCGTCATCTTGACTGTATTAAATAGGATTTAGAACTAGTAGATAAAGTGATTGAGCTTTTAAGTCATCGAATCCAAATTTGCAATGCCGTTTGTAGACGTAGCATAATATGCCATGATCTTTATTATGGGATTCTTAATATTAAAAAATGTAAATTGCATAACACTATTAGGCTAGCTAATGGGCAATTCGATCAATGTTAATAAAGGTTAGGTGACGAAATGAGTATAATTGTTGAATCGAAACAATTGCTTCTATTGCATTAAAATATAGTACGGTAAAACAGTCAATATCATCTTATGTTTACTTTTTTTAACCATTACTTTCGCAATCTTAAAAAAGATTTCAAAGTTCGATATAAAAAAAGATACAATTATCCACGGCTTGCACCCATCAAGCAATTACTAGTGTAAATTATTATTTTCATACCATTCTTGGCTAGTATTGTTGTTTTGATTTTATTCAATGCAAATTCAATTCCTTTATATTATTTAATATGACGCGATAATAGAATTGATAGAATTAATTATGTCAGAACAATTTTAATTTACTATGCTGCCGGCTTTTATCAATTAAAATTAATGAATTTTAAATTAGCCGTATATTTATTGTATCCCTCTGATGACCTAGGCTCGAATATTTACCTATATAAATGATTACTCCCTTTGCTCTAGTTCATTCATTAAATTATCATTCTTCCATCAACGAATCGCCTTATTTTTTTAAGGTCCAGAAAAGGTAAAAAATGATTAAAAAAATGTTGAAATCATCCAATTAGTTAATACTAATGCATTGAAATCTCTGTATCTTCAGTATTTGAATAAGGGGATATATAGTGCGTATCGCATACGTATAGCTCTGATAATATATACATCTAACTTAATCGTGATCATGACGATGATTAATACGTTTCAATTATTTTAGAAATTACTAAGTATAATAATGCAGGTACTACCCTTAGTTTCAATAGATCTAGCACCTTATATAAGTATGCATGAATAGTATCATGGATGCAAATTGTATCTTCACAGCCTAGTAGAAGCTATACTATATTTAATCAACATTGATTTCAACTACTAACATTAATTTACGACGTTGCAGCTTGAGAGAAAGAATTTAATATCGATTTTTATTATAATACGATCTCTATCAAAGAAAAAGTAAAAAGATTCTGACTTATTTAACAGATCTGCCTAGCATTTCAATCGATTCTATCCTTTACTACGATTACTTGACTCTAAACTCCCGTTAAGTCTAGAATAGTAAAAGCAAAGGAAAATATTTTAAATATGGAATGACGCCAATTTCTTGTCTATCCACATATATGAACATTTTGTAACGATAGCGCTATTTGAATATACCTATTGTTATAAAATTTACGAATTTTTCCATATCTAAGTTACGGTTTATTCATTTTATGAGCATTTCATGTAGACTTCTCATATGCATTACATTACACTATTACAATCATATTGTAGTCAAGTTACTATTGCCTTTTAACAAGCAAAAGTGATAAAATGAACAGGACATAATAAAGATATTGCGGCATTCTTTTTATTCATAGCCTGCAATAACAGTTTGAGATTACAGCATAGATCATGTTAGAAAGCTAGAATACTTTGCACGCCATGACTTTGAAATTATATTGCCATGTAATCTTGACATTTCCCATTTCAGACGGTTATGCTCTATTTCATTTTCTTCCAGAATACCTAAAGATTAAAGTATATACTACATCATAAATTATATGTAAGAAACATTTAAAACAATATTATTTACACATTTCCTTCGATGAAGTATTGACCTTATTCCACTGTAGATCAACTGCTGCTGATTAAATTTATAAAAACCTTTCAACTTTATTATTCTTTATTAAACATAATGCGTTATCGTAAATTCTGATTACTTTTAAAACGGTAATAGAGATTGAAAATTTGGGGAGTAGGATGTTATTTTTTCCTGTAATCGTAAAGTGTGTAAATGAATAGTTTAAAATGCTCAAAAATTAATCACTTCTATGATAAAGAAGAATGATTAGATCCTCTAATTTCTTTGTTCTAAATTTCTTTCTTCTTAAATAGTGAAGCAAGGAAGCGTGATAAAAAGTAGTGATACTATCGCATGGAACATGCATTCATATCAACGAGTAGAGAAAGATGATGTGGCCGATATTTCTAGAGAGGATAACAACGTTTTCAGATCGCTAGCCATGTTGCCTGCTAAAATGAACAAGAAAGCTGATATTATCCTAATTTCAATTGTCGTAGCAATAGTAGTACTTCTTATTACTATGACTTTGCTTACAAGTCAGGATAAAATAAAGCAGGAAAATACTCATAATACTAGCACATTTGAAGCTAATCCAACTATTTCTAACCTTTATCTGAATTCATTGCTGTCATCCCAATTTAATTCCTCTATTATTGAAAATGATACGACCTTCGATCGAATCGAACGCTTACCAGATGAAATCAAACCTTTACATTATGAAATCGATTTACAGCCTAATTATCAACAATTATATATTATTGGCAGAAGTAAAATTGAAATTCTCTGTTTGAATAGGACCGATAGAATTGTTTTGCATAAAAAAGATATTGATATCCAACGGATGGCTGTTTATGGCAATGGACTGAAATACCATATCCTTAACGTTCAGCAAGATTTAAAAAATGAATTGTTTCATATACAACTCGATCATCATTTAATCGGCGGCCATCATTATCAGTTACATCTATGGTTTAAGAGTCAAATTGTAGTTAATAGACGTTATGGCTTCTACCGCAGCTATTACCAAAATCGATCCAAACAAACCAGGTAAAACAAAATTCGATTACTACACTAATCAAAGGTCTGAAACCTTTATGATTCTAATTTTAATTTTAATACATCTAATTCAGTCTGATCCATTCTCAATATGAACGTTTCCTATTCCTTTTATTTTAAGTACTGATCTAGTAAATATTATATCTATTTTTCCGTTTTATCCCAATTCATAATTTTTGGATTTACAGTTTCTCTAATGTATGCATTTTATCCGAAAGTGAAACCATCTTTGCTTCTAATATTCAGAATATATTATCCTGCTACATCTCAAATAACTAAAAAAAGTTATTTTGTAATTAAATCAAATCACAACGCCTGTCTGAGTTTGGATATTGTTATATTTTTGTATACAATCATGTTAAACAGCAAATTCGATCCTATTTCCGTAAATTCTAAAGTGTATTCTATCAATGAATACCTTAGATAAATGGCACAATAATTACATTCATAACGTTCTCTCTCTTTTTTAGTAGTTTAATCTATCATTTACAGTTACTAACCTATTTGCTTATGATGAAGGATTAATACCCTAATTTATCATCATTTAACCTTACCGATATCATATCTCATTTAACTCTTGATAAGCGATCTTTATTAATCTTTCGTATAATCAGAGTCTACTTTATATATATTAATGATTAAAGTATTCGTTGTGATATGACGAATTAAATCTATTCCTTAGTAGCGAGATTGTATCTATGAATAAATTGAAAAAATCTATTAGTATTATAGTCCATTGCCAAGCTATCTTAGCTCAAATTTGGCCTACCTAATACTGATCTTGACCGTTATCACTAGTAAATCAGCTTCGGTAATTTACAATCCAATTTATATTCAATCTATCTCCATTTTTTTATTACATACTGTTGGCAAGGCAGTTGTTTTTTATGGTATATCGTTTCTCTACTCGATTTTAAATCTGTCCTAAAATGATATATTGATCATCATTTAAACAATAATAACTGTACGACTCTTAAAAATGACTGTGATTATTTAATTTTGACAATTTCTCTATTCATTTCGTACATAAATGGACTTTTGTTTTAATAACTATAATCAATAATAACATGTCGTTAATTATAAAAATAGCCATTATTATTCTCAAAGGCAACACTCTGGTGAAAAGGTTTGGAAATGATTACAATTTCAGTTAGATACTGATTGTTATGAAATAGAAATCAATGACTCTTTTGTATCTATTGAATACGCAATTTTTATACTTGTTTGTAGCAAAAGTATGGACAATAACATGTCATTAGTTGCAAATAACTACTGAATTTGTAAGAGAAACACTTTATGAGACTAAAATGACTAGGAATGCCATGGTTTTTTCTAGATATGCACGTAATTAATACAGGTAGATGCTATCAACTCTTTCATTTCCATTAGCGAAATAATTGCTTGCCTGTTGTGCTTCTATACTTGTAATTTTTTTCAGAATCAGTATATAGAAATGACTAAGAAATTGGCTCTATTTTAAGAGAATGTGTTAGATAATTATATAACATATATGTAATTAATGGGGGCTGTGGACTCTTTATTTACCGTTACACATAAATTTCTTAGAAGCAGCAACAGTATACAGAAGCGGTTAAGAAATGGATATCATGTCAAAAAGATCCATTACATAATAAATAAGGGTTTCATTTCTTTGCATTGCTACACATATAAATTTCTTACAGGCAGTACAGCTTTGCAAAAACGGCTAAGAATTTCATACCATTTTAGGAGGATACGAATATTAGTGGCAAATGAGAGCTATTGATGCTTTTACATTGCTACCCATATAGATTTCTCAAAGACAGCGTTATTGTGTATAATAGTCAAGAAATTAATTTTATTGCAGTATAATAACTTATATAATAAATAAGGATTGCTGAGTCATTTTGCATTGATTGATTAAATAATTACTGACATATATTTGTAATGAATACGAGCCTTATTATTAGCTGCAACTAGCGTTATCTTCGCGATTGCATTCTATTACATTAAAATGATAAGAAAATCGTAATAATAGCTCGAAATACACCATTACGAATAGAAGTAATTTATAATTATTCATCAATGGACTCAATAATCACTTTTGCAGCAGGAGTTTATAATTTTCCCGTAGACATGACTCTGTTTAAAAGCAAAGCGACGAAATCTAGACAATGTTAATACGATAAGCATCGTTATAGGCGTGGCTGTTTTAGTTGTGTATTTATCGCTTGACTAAGCCTTGACTTATACAGGGTGTATTGATAATTTTCTTTAATGGAAGTATTCTATCGTTCGGATAGAACTATGTACGGTAATTGCTACAATTTCAATAGGATATAAATTTGGCCTTACTTCTATTTTTAGATATTTATATGTAACTCAGCTCTCTCCTACCGACGCAAGAATGGTTTTTCCCTGCTTTGATGAACCATCAATGAAATCTACTTTTAAACTTTCAATTACATGCCTGCCTGGCTATTCAGCGTTATCCAATATGCCAGTTCAATCATATTCTATATTACCCAATGGCCATACCTTAGTTTCTTTTGCTACCACTGTCAAAATGAGTACTTACTTAGTCGGTTTTGTAGTCTCAGATTTTGAAAATTTAGCTCGATATTCCTCCAATGGTATCTTGGTAAGTCATTAAAGATAATAAGATACCTATACCATATACCGAACTTATACTGTATTAGCTAAGACTTCTAGCAAATAACTTTTAATATATCCCTTCAGATTAATCCTGTATTAGGGTATATAAAATAATTTTCTGTGTATGGATGGATGGATGATGGATATAAGATACCGTATATTTCAGAAAATAGATCAATATTTACTTCTATCTTTCACACCCAGAGCTACTTTAGTATACCAACATATACCATTAAAAATTCCTGAACATGAAATGAGGTTTAGCAGTATAATAAACGTTACTTATTGAGAATTGTTCCAATATAGTAGGAACAGATATTAATATTCTAAACTTATTATTTATTAAATCTAATTAAACTGAAAAGTTGCACTGATTGATTATTACTTCCAGGTTCGAACGTGGACTAGCAAAGAAAATATTAAACAAACACAAGATGCTCTAAAATTAGCCACTGCTTACATCTCATTATTTAGTAATTTGTTTAATATTACTTTCCCTCTACCTAAATTAGGTAAGTCAGTTTTCAATATTCTTTTCAATAGCCGTCTAAATTCAACATATATATTGATTAAATGAGTTGATCTTCTTTTAAAAATTTTATCATTATTTGGAATTGATCGCATACTGGCAAATTAAATGATAATATTATAAACTTTTCACACGGTAGTTAAAACTAATCTATGACTATATCATTTGTTACATAGAATGCAGGAACTATAGTATTTGCAATAACTTAGTAATAATTGTGAATTGTTATACAGTCTGTAGTTGCATGAGTCGGCGTTGAAAAATATTATTGACAGAATTCTTATTTACAGATTTAGTAGCCATACCCGATTTTGCTGTTGCTGGTATGGAAAATTGGGGACTAATCACCATAATGCAAGATAAATTACTATGTGATATGCAGTATTGCTCGATGAGAAATTACGCCTCCACGGCTTCCGTTCTTGCTCATGAGATTGCCCATCAGGTTATCTTAACCTAGGATGATTTTTACGTCACCCTATTTACGATCAATTATAGAATTAATTGATTAGTACTAAACCATAATCATTAATCGTCCTAGTTGTCTCAAAGCATAATACACCCTAAAGTTCTTTAGTAACTCTAGTGTATACTTGACGAACGATATATAATTATTTCACACCTTTACCTTAAACAATGATTCTTTATTACAGTGGTTTGGGAATTTGGTCACAATGAAATGGTGGAATGATCTATGGCTAAAGGAAGGTTTTGCTACCTTTGCTAGTCAGTTAGGCTGTAAATTTATGAATCGAGATCTTAATCTTGTAAGTAAATAAATCATATAACATATGATATAATTCATAGTAGATCGCGAATATCAAATCTGAAATATATGTTATCGCCAATATAAGAGATCTTAAATGTGGAGAGATATTACTTACTCTTAAAATTTTTAATTGGTTAATATAGTCAAAGTACCGAATCATTATAATGCATTTTACTCTATTACAACTATCAGCAATCATCAAAAACGTATGAATGCATTATTCACTATTAGGATATTATCAATAGTATTGGAATGGTGTATCACCATTATTACATGGTCAGCAATTATGAGTAATCTAACCTTACTTTCGGATCCATTATCTATTTAACAGGCTTAGCTAAAATACTATATTACTTTAGTATATACGTAGCCATAAAATATAAGTAGCATCAATATTCATTTTCATCATTTACTTATAGAATTCGCTAAAATACTGAGCTACTATTAGTATATAATCATTAATTGTTAATAAATAATCTTGCATAATATGTAGAGGTATATTTATACATTTTGCTTCTTGGATTTTATAGCTGAAATACTCCATTATGTATTCAGCAATAATAAGTAGCGATAAAAAATTATTTCATGTTAAAGTACTTGCTGCATCATGCAGCACCTACATGATTATTAGTGCATTAGATTCCTATGCCATCGTTGGTATATATGTATTCATGAGAAATTCTAAACGAAACAGAAATTTAGGATTATAGCTCCTTGTACCTGCTAAAAAACTTTATATTATGACTGATTTTTAGATCTAGATATACATACATATTATCGTTATTTACGATATAAGGTAGCCAGATTAAGTACTACTATGATTGTTAACATTCTTTTTCGAACATTAAATGAACAGTGTCGATTTATTGTCAGCGCTGCTCATGAAAATGCAATGCAATTTGACAGCTCAATATATTCCCATCCAATACATCAACCTATCGAGAGTCAGATCAACATAAAATCGCAATTTGATTCTATTTCATATCGTAAGGTAAGATTAATTTTTGATAGTGACACAACTTTTCTTTAGTCATTTGCCAAATAAAAATTTACAATTGACTATTATCATTCCTGGCTTATCTTCTAAACTAAGAGATATTCCTTACTAAGAGCCGCTTCATAATTGAAAATTAATGATTAGCTGGCGTATCTTTTCCAATAGGCAGCTTCTTTAATCCGTATGCTGTATCATTACATTGGTCCATCATCATTTGTTCAGGGTGTTCAAAAGTTTTTACGTAAATATGAATATGGAAATGCTAATAACCATGATTTATGGCGGAGTTTTACCGAGGTATCCATCCTTTTATATACACCATTGATAGAAGTAATGTAGTTTTATTAATAAAAAAATAATCTCTAGTCAACATTACCATGAAATAATATTAATGCCAGTTGAATTGTAAATGTTATGTATTCTGATTTGTGTATATATACACTGTGTTCCTAATATCAAGTAGTATTAGTGCCAGAGACATAACTAATAATTGATTGCATATGTTTGCAGTTCTCCAAAGTATATGTAATATTTTCTAATTATTACTGAAGTTGATGTATTGATATAAATTACTGCATGACCTATTGATTTAGAAAGCTCCAATACCTACAATATACTAGAATCACAGCTATATGCAAATAATTAATTAGATGATATTTAGATCCAAAGAGGGAAATACACATTTTTCTATCATCGGAACAGAATAATTTTTAAATGATAGTTTTCCAATGATTTGCAATTATGTATTGCATGATATAAGTTGCTGAAATGCACATACAAATAAAAATTTTAAGAGTATTTAATGTAGTATTTGATCTTACGATTTTATTTACACAGCAAAGAATTTATAACGTTAGCTTATACATGCCGTCCTATAAATTATACCAGAATGGTTAAACTGATGTTATCAATACCGGATTATATGATTATAAAACAAAATCATAATATTGATCAATTTCTAATGCGATAAACCCTGTAGGAGGATAAAGTTGTCCACTTCAATGATAGTAATTCTGATTGATGTTACAGGTAAATGATCTAATAAATGTAGGAGAAGTTATGGATACATGGATATACCAAAAGAATTATCCACTTTTAACAATGAAAATTAAAAGCAATATGGTAAACATAAGTCAATCGCCATTTATGGAAGGACGCGTGCATACCTTAAGAGCTAGGTAAAGCATTAATAATTATTTTATTTAGATAAAATTATCCGACTTAATCATCTTAAGACATTCTTTTCAATATATGAAGATGGTTAAATCTAATGATCAGTCTAGGGTGATTCATTTCTGATCGCTATAATTTTATTGACTTATCCGTATCACCATGGTGTTGATGCAGATAATATATATTTCTTGTAAAGTCTCTAATTCATATTGAAACAATGATCTAGATGGCTGATACCCTTTTGCTATATGACAGAAAACGGTTTTATTCAGCGTAAACTAATTGATTTGAATGGTTGTAAGTATTACAGAATAGATTTTTTAATAGGACAAAACGTAATTTCGTCACTTTTTATCTTTCATAAAAGTACTATCATATCTGATAGCTATGCGTTGCACTTTTTATACAAATTAGCGATGATTCCTTTACCTCCATCTACATCTTGGATTAAAGGAAATTGTAATCGTACAGGCATTTATCGAATCAATTATGAGATAGATCTTTGGCAGAAGTTTGTTGATCTATTACAGCAGCAGCCTCAGGTATTATCGTACTACCTCTAACAACAGATCCGTCAGGAATAGTTTTAGATCTGAATAAATAGACAATCTAGCTCTTATGGTTATTAAATAAAATAAGATAATTCGATATGCGGAAATAAAATTATTTTTTTAGATTTCGGTTTCACGCAATTTTAATGTTTGATAATATCTTGATGTCCGCTAGATTTACTAATAACAATATATTGATGTACAATCTCACTTTATTAAAAATAGTACTTTAGCAGTCATGATAGAGCAAATCTGCTGGATGATTCTTATTATTTATCAAGGTAGAAGATAAATACGTAAAATAAATAAGATCTTAAAATAAGAATTACATTTAAAATTACTTCCTTTTTCATGATAGTTAAATTTGGAATATCTAATTTAGGGTGGACCTGCTAAATATTGAGATTTTTTTAAATATGACGCGTTATCTGATTGCTGAACATGATTATGAAGCATTCAACATGGGCATATTGCGTTTAAAGTTTCTAGCTTCAATTCTTGATGAACCTTTTAAGCAGAAAGCAAAGGTAATAATTGGGTCAAATGATGTTATTACACTTAGAATTGATTGAAGGAGTATCAAATTGAATCATAAGTAGCATATTTCGACATGAATCGTCTTGCAAGCTAAAAGTTTATTTTCGAACAGCAATAAAATGTGTTAGTACTCTTAATTCTTATTTCAATTAATATATCAACTGAATATTAGAAATTTATCCTATATCTTCTACGATCAAACCTTTATCAAAATAATCAAGTCGATGAATATGATATCAATAAAATGTTAGTTCTTTCAAATTTTTTATTCCATATATTAAGGGCTTACTAATTAAAATTGATTGTATTAATTATTATTACTGGGTAAATTTAACAGTATGATGAAAGTTCTTGTACTTCGCATGGCGTCATGGGCTGAATATAAACCGGTACTTTATCAAATTAAAAGAGCATTTCAGCGATGGTTACATGGTTATAGGTACTATTAAATAAGTAAAATCGTTTACGGGTTGTAGTTGTTACTAAACGTACCCTACATGAGAGATAGCTTCGTATCTTTAAATATTGCCGTTTTGCTATGTCACAGAATCAGAAAACCATAAGCAATAATTTAATTTCTACTTTGATAGTGTAGCTATAGCTACTAGCTAGGGTATAAGACTTAAAATGATAATGTAATTACCATATTATATAGTTTATCGCCGAATTTGGTGCCCGCTATTGTGGAAATTGGAGTTAGTATTGGTGATGAGGATGATTGGAATAGAGTATTGAAAAGATATTATGAAGTTGACGATGATCATAGCAAAAAATTGTGCATGAAAGGATTAGCTGCATCAAAAAATCCAAAGTTATTGAAAAGGTCAGTAGGTTATAGAGTTATGTTGTACTGATAGTGTAATCAGCAATGGTTGGAGAGTATAGGAAAGGACTTATTTATATTTTAATTTACGTGTATATTGAAGTTATAAGAAAGGTTAGCATTCTTACGACAAAGATTTACAAGTTATCAGGATAACGCCATAATTAATAAGTAATGAATATAAAATTGTTTAAAGCGGTCTAGTACTGTATCTAGATGATTAAATTTTGATTAGAGTGTAGTGATAGACAATACAGCTACCTTAGAATTTCACTAAGAAGTGGTAGTGCTTAATTTTTAACGTTATTTCAAATTTCGATAGGTTAATAATATTATTTATGTATCATTATATACCTAACAGTACAATCTATCCTTATGCAATATGCAGGCCTTACAGTGTAAATTTATTCATCATATGAAGTTTATTAAGCAGGACGAAAATATTATCTCTTGACTATTATATGCGTGAATAATTAATACTGCTGTATAACAGCGTCTGAATTTAATAATTTTTAAACATTTTATTCACAGATTGTTAGAAATAATTATGGATGAGAAACAAGTTAAACCTGATCAGACCGTCCAAATTCTTGATCTTATTGCTAAAAATCCAGTAGGCACAGATTTAGTATGGAAATTTATTACTTCACACTGGGATCAATTTTATAATAGGTTAGCTACTCATTACGCGATTTAACAGTAAATACTGAAATTAAATTTTTAACTGGCTTTAAATCAGGGAAATAATAGCAAATTTAGTTCCCTATCGCAGGAATTGCTATATAGATGTTTGTATTCGTATAACTTAATTGAATATATGATCACAGGATATTCTGTTTAACATTATACTTAGATATGGAAAAGAGATTTTTAGTATGCCTAAGCTGATTTCTTTATCCATATGTCAAATGAAAACAGAGATGCAACTTCAAAATGTAGGTAGACCAATAATAATCATTTGTTAATATGAGAGACCTAAATAATAAAATTGCATATTTTACTAAAACAAAGATTGCTTCCTTATTAGTACCGTAGTTATCCCTGTAATGAGAAAATTTTATAGAAACTTTCGATTCCATTATAGGTCGAACTATTTTTTAGTTACAATAAAAGGCTTCAAAATTATAAAAGATTGGCAGAAATGGAAATCGAAAGATTAAGATTAAAAATTCGTTGGATTCACCGTCATCAACAGCAAGTTCAGTCTTGGTTCAGGAATATTTGTCGTGAATTAAAATTGTAAATTGCTATTCAATATATATTTTTATAAGGATGAGAAATATGGAAATGAGATATTGTAGTAATACCCCCTTAGGATACGTTCTACTCGTTTCTTTTCGCAATAAATGAAATATATATATGCATTATATGTTAAAGTAGCTAAATAAAATTTTGCAGAAATTGTGATAGGACTGTTTCTTTTTAATTATTTTACGTATTGTACTAATTAAGAATATCAGATTTTTTTCTGTGAATATAACACCTAATACATTGAACATGACATCTCGATCATATAACCAACCTCTGCGCTTTAATTGTACTAGAGAATTAGTATTGTTCAGCGGGTCAATCTTACTTTGCTTGGTATGTTATATATCAAATCGAAATATTCACATTCGATAAAACAAAGTCTTTGCAATATATGGCGTTGTTACAGACGCAATATGGTTTAGAGATACCCAGTAACATGCTTGCCGTTGACATTCATAACATAATTTTAGATTCAGTCTATTTATTGTTTGCAGCTCCAGTTACAAGAAGCTGCGGAATTGCAGAAATTATCAGGATTTTAAGTACACTGGCTATAAGATGTGATCTCTATTGAACAAAGGGCTAATAGTAATTAGCTAACAGCAAATAACATTGTCTAACTAAATTTTAACGATCAAAGTTTATTTCAATCGGTGTTAATAAGTAGCAATTGTGTTATCAATTTTGTTATTTGTAGCCGCTAGAAGGCTACAGTGTATAATAATTACTGATGATGAGTAATTTAATCATTTTCAAGCTAGTTCCATGACATTCTTCACTAATTCTGAGATTCCATCAAAGACTTCATGGTATTTTGCTGTGCCACACATGAAAGCAGGAGTTGTAACGATCTTATTGTTTTGGTCAACATGAGCTTCCTATTGATATAGATATTTTGAAAAGTATAAAATTAACTTGATCACTGCAATAAGGCTTGCTTTATATGTTAAATTGAGTTAGCAGCTGTAGATAAAAGAGGAAGCAGGAGTAAGAATTCTACCGTAACATCTTTATTAACATGAACTACTCCCAAATTTTCGAGGATTTTCGTAGTAGAGGCAAGTGGCCATCGTCCACTTTGCGGTGTATCGTTGCCAATGGTCAGTTCACATCCCAATTCACCGAAAATCTATGTAATTATCAGACTTAATAAAGAGAATAATGAAGTAATAAACGCCAATGAAATTGTAAGGAATTTTATTCAGTTTTACCTTAGCGGCGATTACAGTGGTAATGCAAACAAACCTATTTTGATGTATCCAAGATAATGTTGTAGATTAATATACGACTTTAGTAGTTCAGCTAATTACAGTAGTAATTGAAGTACGGTAGCATTAAGAAGTAGAATCGTCTACTATGCTTATAAGGTAATTTCACGATTGCTAATGATGAAACGGTGTACTCATACTATTCTGATCTTGTGTGACTTAGAGATTTGCTCAATTTTAATAACTCAGATTTTGAGTTAGATGATTGCAAACCTAAGAGGTTATAAAACCCAAGCATTACTACGACAGAAAGCCCACGTAGTGAATCTAGATTGTATATCATAAAAGATATTCATAGCTACCAGCTATCGTTTATAAATAGAGGAGATGAATACCATGATTTCCAAAGTAAACAGAATGCATAGTTTAAGTCTTGTAACAAAACCTATTCTACTAACTGTAATTAAAGTGCAGTTCACACAGGTAATTTTAGAATAGCAGATTTCATTACTGGTTCTCTATCGATTGAGATACTACGTACATAAAAGTACAACAAGCTCTGACAGACAAGGAAAACTCCCTACAACAGCAGATCTTAGAAAAGAAGGACTAACAACAACAATGATAGAAAAGCGTAGCTGCTTAAATACGTTATCTAACTTGTTTACAACATGATAATTGCGAAAAACATAATTCAAAACTTACAGAACTTAGTTTAAAAATAAAATTATATGATTGGTATTATATTCTACGAAGCTGAAATCAACATACTTGAATTATCGCAAACATTACTTATTTATACCTATTATTGTTAACAACCCTAGATTTTGGTATTATTTTTAAGATATGTCTAATTCACTAGCACATAACATGTTGATAACAATAACTTATCTAGCAGCTTCACTACAAGTTTTATAATGTAGTCTATACAGTATAAACATGCTTAAACGGGTTTTTCTCTTACCGGTGTACCCATTACCAAGTAGAAACACAATTATTGATTTACTTACCCTAACGGTTTTTTGGCCCTATGAAATGCTCTGATAATTTTTTCTACTTCTGGAAGAACCATAAAATCTTCCTTGTTAGTAGCAAAATTGCACCTGTTTGGATAATGGTTAATTCAAGGGTTTAATTAAGTATAATATTACGTTTTGGAGATACCAAGACGGTACTTGAAGATTTTTGTAGCTCGTTTTGATCAAAACGAAGGGAATAATAAGCGTAATAAAATCTTACAAATTTTTGCCGACACCAGCACCACCAGGAAAGATAATAGCATCAAAATTTTCTGGTTCCAAGTCATTGAGAGGAAATATTTCGCCGCGTGCAATGCGTGCAGCTTCTATCATCATATTTCTATAAATGGACAGAATAATTCCATGATAGCGATAAATACTACTACATAATTAAGCTTATACGTTATACTAGTACAGGATTCGAAAAATGGACAATTACGGATGGTTAATTGTCATAATCTTATCAGATCTATAATACTAATTACATAGCACGATTATTACTTTATTTGACTGAAGCATGAGTCCAACTCATACAATGTATCTATAAACCAACCTCGCCTTGCCTTCGTCGACTGTTCCGGCGTGATGATCAATGACATGATACTGTTCCATGTTAGGTGCAAACATGGAAATTTCAGCACCAGCACGGCTTAGGTTGATTATTACCCTATTAATTATATTAATGATGAAGAAATTAGGTAGTACTAAAATATTTTATTTTTAATTTAAAATTTTGTGAAGCTTTATTCTACCAAAGCCTCAATGTATCAGCAATTACATTCCGGCTAAAAGCCTTCTAGCTCATTTCTGAATAGCATTAACTCATAATAATCCATGTTGTAATTCAAATCTAATCAACTCAATTTCTCTTACTAATGTACCATCTTTGTTGAAATTATAGATTATAAAATGGTATGCAATAAAATCAAGTTAGTATATCTCATAGGCATTGATCGTACTGTTGCTGCGTGAACATACAGCTGAAGAGTAGAGGCTGCATACAATCAATACTGGTATGTAGAATTGTAGATACATAAGAGTTTGACTGATAGTTGTGATTGAAGTAGCTATATACTTATGCTATTGCCAGTTTATAAGTTGAGTAGGAAAAGAGAGTGAATAAGATGATAGAAATAGGATGATGGACGAGCCCAACATCAAATTTGATCAGCATCCTTTAGCCTACAGCATTGTGCAATTATGTACGCGATGTAGACGCTATTATTAAGTATTGCAACTATTGTAGAAAGTCTCTTCTTTCGTATTGCAAGATACATGAGTGGTGATTTGATATAAACTACGACAGTAACTGTATACCGCTATCCCTTATCGTTAATTAAATGGTATATAGTAGTAAATTGCTGAGATAATATTGATCTCTACATCTGCAGCTTCTACAAAGTAACATTACGTATATTGCTTACGCGGACGATTCATGGATTTCGCTTCCATCACCACGGCCACATCCACAAAGTACCTATTGCATGATTGGGTAATAAGATCATGTAAGCATATTACGTGCTTCAATTTGAAATTATGATATTAAAATAGCGTTGTCTCAGCTCACTTTGCAGAGAGCAGGTTCTGAGCTAGCCTGTAATCATCATCGCCTACAGCAGATGGAACCAAGCAAGCCAGATTGCATTCATTAAGCTTCTATTTATAAATTCATGCTTCTAGACTATACTATTACTGATACTCTAGTAGCAAGAGCTATAGCATAAATCATGAACATACCACAGCTACTCTTCGAGGATTATTACTCATGATGGATTGAATTTGAAGGCTGGATTCTCTGCAATCAATATTAACGATGAAGATTTGTTGATGTCTTTTCCAACTGCTTTTCTAGCCAGCAGCAATCTACAGTAACGATGCACATTACAGACTAACCGTGACAGTATAGCGTATCCAACAAGAGTTTATGTTGGTATGGTTAGCTAGTAAAAGTAAGTTCTACCTGCAACTGTATAGCAGGGCCATGATGACACTACTCAAGACTCCAACGATTGAACAAGCATCGTTGGTGGCTGGTGGTAGACTAAGCCGCTCAGGCAGAAGCCTTCCAACCATAGTAGAGTACTATAAGCTGCGGTAATCCAGGACAAGTATCTTTGCTACCATCACGTCGAGGCTATTCCTGCCTATCTCGCCGTCTTAACGTTTATTTAGTTTGCATCGATACTAAAACTTGGTATAACGAATGGCGGCAGGCAAGATCAAGGTTAGTCGGCAGTCAGTCGAGTTGCCTGGATGTTTACTGGCATCACTGTTTCATGAATTGGCTAATAGCGATGGAGATACGGTATGAATTATTGCTGCTTGCCAGCATGTTCCTGATTTGATGTCATTTTACTTTTGGGATATATTGATATGATGTTACCGAGCAAAGAATGATGTAGGCATGGATTACTTCGATGTCGAATGTTTAATATAGAGTTGTGAGGTTGATCCACTCTATAATTCCATCATACGGGTATTCTATATTGGTCAAGGAGTTATTACAGTAACGATAGCTGTTGCATTAACAATAACGAAGAGCTCTACAATTGTAGTGGAGTGTTGTACCTTTGCATCCATGTAAATTATTCTTCGCTTCAATGAACGCGTATAGCATACAAATTGGCTACTTTGGGTAGACAGATATCATATACTCTACGTATAACAGACTGATATTAGGCCATTGCTATTATACTGTAGACATGCAGATATGGTCATAACGTGAAGCACTTCATCGTGGAGAGTAACGCACTGATTTTAAACTACAGTTTACGTTTGCCAGGAAATTGTAAACTATCGTAGTGCTATCTTTCAAGTCTAAATTAACTACTAAACTGAATCAACTAATTACCAAGTATCCGCATAGCGGATTTTGCAGTATACTTATGCTATCGCTTCCGTTTTTGACGTTAGTGTGTAACACTGTAGGTTGTAGAATGCTGTATAACTGATATATCTTCACGGTCTTAAGTCAAGAGGAAACTATACCGGCTACAGCAAGATAGTCTCACGTACAGTATATTAGCTTATCACTTAGTCACAGTAATTTATACAAATCTGATGAACATGACTAGGGCTGATGGGTTGAATTTTATTGCATCGGATATAAAGTAATCGTTATTACACTGTACATTATTTTTAATTATTTGTGATAAATGTAGTAGAGTTATTTCTAAGACTGAATTTTTCCAAATACGAATTAGCATAGTTATAAATATATAAGAAAGTGCTGCACACAGCACAGAAAGGTCCATTTTATTTCTTCGATTATGGTTGCGTAATCTTGACAGCTCATTGATAATCAATGATTACTTAGAATACGAAGTAAATAGCTTGCTTATTAAAAGATCTGCTTGATTGCGTTTGATTTATAAGTATATCACTCGAAATAGGTTAATTTGGTAAGATGGGCACGTTGCATAGGCTATCGTTGATAAGTTTTCAAATAAGACCATATAGTCCGTTGATATGAATTGTAGAATTTCGAAGTTTACTCAATCAGTATAGCCACCTCGTGTCCACAGCTGAAATTTAAAACTCTGCAATATTATCATTAATCAAAATTGTAGATAAATTTTGGTCTTGATCTGTTTTTATAACATTTATATCATCACTATAGTTTTATAGGCTGTCGATTATAATTATTTCTGGTTCAATGTTTCGGTGCATACTATTTGCTCTTGTATATATATTACTTGAGATTATATTTATAAAGATGTCTCCGTGTAACTGTTTATTCATTTTTGCCATCAATAGGAAGGATTCCTTGTAGGGAACAAGAAGGATCATTTGCTAGTCAGTAGTTTGAACGATAACAGTGATACCCAAGTAGATGAATATCAAAATGTTACACGTGAGTGAAAAATGTGCAGTTTTATATAAATTAAATACTTAGCCTTCTAGCCAATAGAATTAAGTAAAGTATGTTACCAAAGTTATGGCGTGGATTCTATAGATATAGGTTTATTCCAGATATGAAATATCTGTGAGTGAAGATTTCATTATTCGGAAACTTCCACAGTCGTTTATTATGCAGCTATTATTTTTGGCTATGTGGACGTGATTAGTTCCGATTTACCATTCAAATATGAATTAATGATTTTAGTTAAAGTTTGCTGCCTAAATAATTATACAGCATTAATTGATCATTACTTTAACTATAATTTTTTGTAGACATTACGTCATTTATTCCATGTCAAACTCAGAAATGGTATGAACCTTGAAGTTAGGTTATGTGTTGATATTCTGAAGTTATACTTATGTATGGTAACAGTATTTTATTATTGCTCTATCTATAGTTTCTATGATGGTTCTGGTACAGCTGAGTGTAGTATAATAGATAAAATACTCGCTGGTCACTGCTCAAAGAAGGTTAATTATACATTTTGGTTCCCTTATTTTCGATTCGCTCTATTACTTTAAAAGCGTAGATTTAAAGCAGTCGTATTTAGTTATGACAAATAAGGTAATAATTGTTATAAAAATGTCTGATTATTTTGCTAACTTCTGTTTTGCCGTACTTTAATATCATAGGCAATTGTTGGTTGGTATCGATTTCGTCGCAATACTTCACTGCAGATAAGTATGAGGGAAAAACAAGTTCATCGTAATCTCTTAAAAGTATTCAATGAGCACAATACTACCGGTAAATATCTGATTAAGTAATTTTATACCGACATTTTCATCCAGTAATACTTCTTTGTAGCTACTGTCACAGTTACTGCAATTTAACTTTATCGATTACTTTGTTATCTACACTACTGCACTTGCGGGTAGATTTTGCTTTTGCTTTATTTACCCATCGTTCAAGTGATGGACACTCTACACATTCCATTGATTACGCCTTTTATGCCGCTCAGAATACGAATCTAAAGTATGAATTATGCATTCCGTGAAATGTTAAACGATTCCTGTAGTGTAACGCTATTAAAATTTTTTTACCGTCTACAGTTGTTATACTTCACTTCCTTGTGATGTAATGAACTTGCGATCTACTTCGGTTTGTGAATATAAACATCCAAATATGATGTCGCCGTTGGGAGATAATTTACATTCAGTCTACGAGACGATTGTGTCTAAATTTAAGTAATGCTTTAATCATCAATTTCTTGTTCTACTGTAAGAATACTTGGAATTATTATACTAATGATAACTGAATATAATTGATAATTTAATCAAAAACAAAAGGCCCAACTTTTTTGATGTTAACGGAAGCTTAAGCCAAGTGGCAATGGTTGACGCGATGCTTGATAGTATGTTGGAGAATTTTAAGGTATTATATCGAACGTTCGCTGTTATTGAACACAATGATCGTGGTTGTTCCTTTATCATTGATTTAAATTAATAGTAATTTCCATTATGCGTATAAGAGCTTAGGAGATAGCGTGACCCAATCAGAAAGCCAAATTAGTCAACTTATTAAAGAAATTGAAGCTCTAGAGGAAAAGACTGGTGACGAACCTAGCCATAATTTCATAGAGATGTACGATGTAAACCAAAGCCTGGATGGTAAGATTGATTTACTGTAGTTGGTCAATCAAAATTGGAAACTGCTTTAATGTCTATCGATACTAGCGTATAGTATGTAACCTATTATTCTACTATTTTAGATTCTAGCACTCAGGAACAATGCGATAATGACGAAGAAGATAGTGCCGTTTAGCTGAATTTTTTATTTCTTTTTCCTGGTGTAAATATTTTTCTTCAAATTTTATCTAACGACTATCACAGATACTATAAATAGTTGATATCATTGATATTTTATTTATATTGATTGTACTAAAATGGTTTTGGATCATTTAAATATTCAGGGTACTTGTACGTGTACGGCATAAATCCTGTTGATTAAAAAATGATACAATATAAATTTAGCTCAAAATCTGATGTATGCATGTGGTATATATATATATACCCATATGTGCAGTATAGCATGTCTACAAATTGCATCTATATAAGATCTTGTAAATAAAGCCTGAATAAAGGAACATAAAATTAATTGCTTTACCCATCGTCCTAGCTCGTCTTATCGCTTTTGTAAGTTCTTTCTGTTTATGACCACAAAGTCCTAAGAATAATAGTAGATTTAAGCAGGAATTAGTATAATCTCTCTGCGATGATAAGACTTACGCAGACACAATTGCTTAGAAATCATGCTATCATTGAGTAGTAGTTAAACTGTAGCAGTTATTAACACTCCAGAAACTATAGCCATGATACACAAGAGTAGCGTAGAATTAGGACTGAATATACGTATGCATCGTTCTGAGTTATTATTATATCAACACTTATAAATAATAAAGTTATATTTAAAATAGATACCAGTAATCCTACGGCCATAGATCATTCCAGTATCATTGGATATGAATTGAGAAAGTAACCTGACATTCTGACATGGGTAAATAGCAAAGATAATCATGGATTAAAAATAATAGAATGTTGAGCTGATTTTCTATACACAAGTGAAAGCCTGTAGCAATACATAACGGGGCTACTGCTCATTCTTTCAAGACTACTTTTACTACCGGGTTACAACGATATTACGGTAACGATAATAATAAGGTTGTATACATAAAATATAGTGAATACATTCGTATACTATGTATAAATTAAACTTTATGGTTCAAACTTATTCGTTAATCTAAAAATGTTGCTTACTTTGTAGTCTATCTTGATTTTACACAGCGCACAAGGAAGTGGATTTCCATCTTCATCTACTTTGTTTTTGATAGGACGCAGCTGCACGAGAATTGAATAATTTCAAAAGTGTTTGATTTGAACATATCATTAATCCATGCTAGTAGAATATTGGTGTGATCGATTTTATCTAGCTAATTCGTCAGTTAATTAATTTGCTATTAAAAGATATCACAAGACGTCGTTGTTAATTTTTACCTCTTCAGGCTTTAGTCTTCTAGCTCTAGTAGGCCCGGCCGAAAAAATTGCTTAAGATGGAATATAAAATTAAAATCAGCATAAGCTATGAGCGCATACAAACATTAAAATAACTGGAAGAATCCACAGATAACAGAAATAAGCTAAATTAGATTATTTAGATCAGATCTTATCCTCACACTATAGTGGCTCTTGAATAGCGAATAGAACATCAATCAAGCAATCTTAATTATCTCATACTCTTGACTTTAATTTTTCTCCTTTGCTTGTGCATTGATAGAACATAGAGTAATGTTACAAGCAACTAAGTGAAAATGCTTGGATATTCACTGAGCTTACAGCTATATATTTATCGATAGGTATCTACTAGCACGGTAGCCCTTTACGTTGTTTATCATCACCCAGTTTGCTTGATTATTTATTTATTATTATGGTAGACCAACGAATTGTAACGATTGATACACGAAATACTAAACGTGAGGCTATTTTTGTAAAAAGCCTTATATTGACTTGTAGTACTATGAGTGTATGAATCATTTAGAGAATTTAAAGTCAAAATTGTTACTCTGTGCATAAACAGTAAAGTACTTGTTCCGTATGTATTAAATTCAATTGCAATCCGTTTAAATTGATCCAAGGTGCTAGTGATTGATGTAACTTGTACAATAGAAATGCACAATTTATCATGCAGATACATTACTCGTGTAGCATCTGTATGAATACTACCAATAGCTGCAACAATTAATGCAAAACTGAACACCATTCCAATTTAACGGCGATGGAAGTATAGCAAATACAATTAAGTAAGTAGACTGTAACCCTACCAATATCATGCATAAAACAGTGGCATAGCTTAGAAAATAGATCAACAGTATCGATTTCAACTTGATTGCAAAGAACGATCACCAACCTGAAGCATGAAGTTGTCTACTGGCAGTTATTGGTACCATCCAGCACCGAGGTAAGTCTCCACTTTTATTGCACAAAGTGTTTAATGGCGTCAGCCTTAAGAGAATACGCGTAGTAGCCTTATTCCACAACATAGCCGAATGTTCTTAACTGCATTTACTATGGCTTTGAATGATTAATTGATTAGGAGATACACTCAATTCTCGTTATGGGATTCCCCTCGAGGGTTGGACACACCGCTATCGAGAAATGGCAGCCAGCTGCAGCAGATTGCTTTAACAGTAGAGCAGAATCTAGTGCGCAAGATGCTGCTGGAAGGTAACCGTACCGTACCGTACCGAACCAGGACCGGTACCGAACCCGTACTAACCTGTGTGGTGTCTAACTGGTGGCATTATGTAATGTACTGTTCCGTACATGATAAAGGTTACAGTGATTTGTAAGACTACGAAAGGAGGATGCTCTAGTGAAATGTAGAGTTTACAGTAAAGAGCATAAGAACATGAAAGCTTTCGTTTTATTCGAGATAGACTTGCTTAAAGTTCGATATTTTCAATCATAAGTAGAGGTTAATCCACTGTATATGCTTCTTTCAGCTTCAGTTTACTATGGAATTTGTCTCATACATACTGTAATATTTGTACGTCGTATACGCGTATCTTGATCTTGTCATCAACAAGAATGTTTAAGGATTCCATCATTCAGATCAAAGTGAATGCAATAAGCACTCGCATACGTGTATTTACTACCGCGAACTCTATCGAAAGAGTACTAATTCTAATAACTTAACATTTAAAGTTTACAACAATTCCAACAATTCAGGACAGATGATGCTTAAAAAGAGTACGAAGTATTGCAATACGAACTGATACAAGATCGAATTGTAAAGCTAATTGAGATGGTCTACAAAATCCAACGGTTCTGCAATATGTATTTAGAGAGATACCATAGCAATATACCCGCATTATATGGTAAGACTGTTGCATTTCACAGTTTTGAGTATAAAGCTTAAGCTACGAGAAAATATTTTGATGATACCTATATTTACATAGATTCTTCAATGTGATAAGGCTAAGTTAATAGATATTCTACAAAGACAATCTTCAAACTAGCAATAGAGTTATAGAATGGCGTAGAAGTGGTGAAGCACCAGAATATAAAATAACGGTCATCAATGTATTTACATCAGAATATTCTGAGTTACTATTAGAAAGTTACGATAGCAAATTACATCAATAGGTAAACACGCAGGTATAATATATTTGTCCAACGGAGACAACGTGAACATTTCTATCCTATGAGTAAGCATCATTATTTGTCCATGGTTAATTCTTATTTTAATAACAGTATGTAGTTATTAGGGTAATTAGCTATTGAATTAGATAAAATAAAATAGCATAGACTATAATATCAATCACGTATTTAGATTTTAGGTGCTTCTTAATGCTTCTAATCGGCGTTGCATTTCGGCTTGTTCCTCTTCGAATCGTTCAGCATCAACTTCTTGATTGGCATCGTCTGATGTCGCCTAGTTAGTCATATTGATTGATTATATTTATATCATACCAGACAAAGAAAGAAATCTTATTTTACAACACAAAAGGTAACTAATGTACTACGTTACCTCAGGCAAAGGTTCAACAGCAGTTTGAGCTTTACCCAATTGACCTAATTGGAAAAATTTATCAAAGATGGTCATAAACTGTCTGTAAAGAATAAGAGAATCATAATGCATATTTGAAGAGTTCAAACCGTCTGTTATTTCAAAGAGAATTTTGTCAACTTCATCTGAGGCTGCTTCCTCTACTTCTTCATCATCATCCATTGTCATGGCATCATCCATCATCTCTTCCATAATGCCAGCCTATGAAATTGGCAAACTTTTAGCTATCTTAATTTTATGAAGTAGTACTTTTGATTGATGTCGAAGATCTACAGTGTTGAAGCATTGTCATTGAAAATGTGAATTTCCTACCTTGGTCATTTCTTGAGACATTTCTCTCATGGTTGCCGAAATCTCAGGAAGTCTTACCAAAGCATTCATGTATTTCATTACCTCCGTACTTTTTTCAATTGAACCAGCTATCCTAACTGTGGCTATTGTCGAAATTTTGTTATACAAAGATTATGCATCTTAAAACACAACATTATTGGCTAAAAGTAATCATGATGAGGAAAAATGATTTATAGTGCGCATTTTGAATCACACTAGGAAATGTTGGGCTCAAGAGAATAGCATCGCTGTGCTAACCTACCTAGCTGATTTTTCATATGCATATCTACCGAATTTAATTGAGCTTTCGCTGCGTAAAGCTTTGATACTGCCTTACGAGAATGGATAATTTCTTTAGCTAGTACTGTGCATACATCTCTTTGATTTCTTTTAGCAGCATCTTTCAATGACTTCACCACTTTTTGCTTTTCCATGTCGATAGCTGTTTCAATACGTTATAATTCACATCAAATTCGATACGATTTATAATGTAAGTCATTTTATTTCAATGCATGTTCAATCATCGACTAATAAAAATACATCTAGTAGTTCATGGTTCAATATTACACCCATGGAACAGTAAAGATAGGAGAAAAAGTAAACACTAATCTATTTATAATTACAGCAGGAATGATTGCAGTTTACGATGGTTGAATAACTGATGTTAATTGATTATAATTGTACTTACTACTGTCTACAGTATACAGTCCATGTTTTTATTGTAGGATTAATACTTACATCTGATTTGTCTGTCTATTACTCTCATTTCTTTACGAATCTTGGATGACCACTCTCTGACCTACGGTTGAGATTAACATAGGATTCAATAATGAAAAAGATACCTTAGAAATAATGGAAAACTCCGCTATGACTACATTGATTGCGGACCTGCTCTCGAGGCGTTTTTGGTGGAGGACTCTTTCCAAACAAACCCATTCTACTTGACTATTGGTCGAGTGTGCAATGATCGTTAGACAAATTTATAAAATAGATCTTACACCTAATTATACTTCAAGGGGCAAGATAAACTATGTAATTTGAGGAATACCGTATAGACAATTTGAGTAGAGTTGTTCAACCAGCAAGAGATCTTGATAGGATTTAGTTTATGATAGTATTCCTTTTTCCGAGATGGTGAACTATTTCAGGATGCAGAGTGCAACAGTTACTATAGTGAATTGCGGTATACCATCGACTATAGTGATCCAGTCAAGTGCATCCCGTGTTATGTTCAGTACAGACTACAGTACTGTACACTGTACTGTACTGTAGAGAAAGGTCTCCATGGGCGTGACTCTAGCATCTTTTCACTACAGACTACGGTCCATCTTGCGTGACGTAATCGATTGTACTGTACAGTACAATACTGTCATCTCTAAAAATATTTCAGCCACAGCCTCAGACAGACAGACATTGCTGAACCGAGCTGTAAACAAAGAAACTGACCAGCCACACAAGCATACGGTACACCCTAACTGTCGTTCCATTTAAAGAAACTGAGGTCATTGGGTGCCGTGGGGACGTTATGGGCAGGCGCAATTGATTCCGGTACTGACTGGGAGAGCATAAATCAATCAATCCTATACTGTATAAGCTACTGACTATGTTTCTATGGTTCTGGTATAGGTGTCATATTATTTGCACCCTACACAGTTACATCGGAACAGATTTAAAGAAAAAACAATCATCGGGTAGTTGATTTGCTAGCAGATACTTACCTGTAATCCATTATTGTGATATGGGACCAATTTGAATTTTCTATTCGGGAGAGTCCTTTTAAATGGGAGTGAAAAAGGCAACCCGAACCCGATAAAACCCGATCCAATGTTTGATTTTCTAACCCGAATGAGTGCAATCGCTATACAAACACTGTATCACCGACGAGAATTTTGACCCGAATCTCTCCTTCGGAGTCGGGTTTCGGGTCGACTGTACACGGTACGGTATTGTACCATACAGTACTAACTTGTCCAGCCTACAGTACGTTTATCCATAAGACAAATGCTAGCGGACTGTAAGCTACAGTATGTACTGTGTAAAAAACTGAATGAAAAATGAGCCATAAACAGTATAGTGTTCCATACAATACTGTCAAATCAACCACTTACAAAAGTGCTTTTATTGATCAAAGCCGATACTAACAAAATAGTTTTTATTATTTAGATGGCAAAGATGGATTCGTCAACTCGGTCAGAATTTCACAAACTTTTGAAATTTTATAATCACAATTAAGGTAAGTTTCAACATTTTCAATGAAGCAGAACGTAGATCGATTGAGGAGAGTGAATTACCGTACTATCGGCTTAGGATAACACATACAATTTTGAAATTTTCTACTGTAGGTCGGGTACATATAGATTGAGATTATACTCGTCCATCTTAACAGCAAAAACAGGACGAGTAAACATTCTCTTCCCTTTTGATTACAGCTATCAAATACTATTGTCGGCTTCAAATAAATTGACTACTAATTATTAAGAGAGAGAGAGATCTATTTATCTATTCTACAAAATTGGAGAACAGAGTATCACAAATTGAAGGAGTAATATTATAACGCCATGTCGGTCAATGCGAGCACAGGCAGTAAATGGACTTGTCAAGTCTGCACTTTCGATAATCACATGTCAGCAGTGCGTTGTGCTATGTGTTATACCAACATTGAAAAGGCAAAAGAAAGCCATGGATCGGCTGGTTGTACACAACAGTCGACGTTATTAATTACTCAATACGATAATAACAGTAAGAATGCTCATCAGTCTAATGAATATCAACGTGGAAGTGATCAAATTTGGTCTTGTGCGTCGTGTACTTATGAAAATTGCCTCAATTCATCCAATTGCTCCATGTGTGGTTGGGTTTATACTAGAGCCGTGCGCAAAAATGCAACAAAAGGACACACCAACCGGAAGAATGAATCTATCCAACAAGAGAGCAATAATAGTAATAATAGTAATAGCAACATCAAACCCATGGCCCAAATGGGACCAGTTTCACCTGGTGCGACTAAAAGAGTGCCATCACAGAGTATTTATTCAGATATTCGTACACGAGAAGAAATGCAATTTTATAACGATAAAAACAATGAAAGGAATCACTCGAATAATCCTACATCTCATGGCGATAGTACTAGTACCAATGTTGATACTGGTACTAATGTGATTAATTATAAATATTGTAATAAATGGATTTGTAGTCGATGTACCTACGAAAATTTCATCAAATCTTTGCGCTGTGTAATGTGCCAAAATCCGCGTTATCCACAAGAAGCCCAAATTGATCTTAATCAACTTAATAGTAGCCAAAACAATACCAGTAGTAATAGCGACCAATACATTACGTCAACGTCAGTCAAATCGAAGTCTCCCTCAGTCAATCAACTTACAAATCATGCTTGTAATCGAGGTAAACCTGAAAGTTGCTACATCACCTACTCACCAACAGAAGAGATGATCGATAATCCTTACGATACTGAAGTAAAAATCGATAACCTTCACTCCTATGATGCTTTTCCTATAACTGAAGAAGATCTCAACCAGATCAAAAATCACTTATCCACTGAGGATTGGTCATGGTTGGGCGCTTGCCAGGGTGTTAAGACTGGCAAACGAAGACCAGTAGAACAATACATTGCATCAGGTGAAATGCAGATAATCTTTATTGGGCATGACATTGCTGATGATATAAGTAGTCAAGTTAAATTACGGTTATTTCTTATAAATATTGCCTTGCAATTGTATCATAATAATCAAATTGTCCTAAATAATACTTTTCTTGAAACTGGATATTCTAGGTGGCGATGTATCTAGACAGTTGACTAATGAAGATTTGATGTTATTAAAATGGACGAATCCAGTAGAAATTGGGTATACCCTGGTACATCTGGCTATTAAATATGATCATCAGGATTTGTTAGATATCCTATTAACACCAGTAGCCGATCGACGTGCTCATAAATGTTTACCTTCAGATGCTGAACCAGAATTAGCCCAAGACATTCGAGAAATTGTATCAATGTCGATTAGACAACGTAAAGGAGAGTGGCCCTGCTATTTTGTGACAAATATTGTCACATTTGCCTTACCGGCTGGTAAGTAGTTCAGTTTTATACAAGTTAACCGTACGTATGGAATAGCAATTGATAGCGTAAATATCACAATATACCATCAAGGACTACTAATCCCTGAAACTATCTTCTACGGCAATTGCAATTAGTTGATTTAATTACTGTTGATAAATCGGTTAGGGATTCACAGTTTATCTCCTGATGTACAAGAACAATTGTTTAACGAAATCATCGATAGAGATGTTCAAAATGGTATGTAATATATTTATCTACATTATCCAAACGCCGTGCAATCAAAAAAATTATAAGCTTCAGATTATTCCAACATTCATGTATATCGTTTAAATTGCATTTAGAATTAGAAGTTAATTCCACTGTTATCAACTGGAGTTACGAAATTACGGAAGACTTAGACAGTAAATTGTATACCTTATGGAATCGAACAGCTGGCGATTGTTTATTGGATTCAGTTATGCAAGTTACTTGGGGAGTTATGGATGAAAATGCTGTATTACGACGCGCCTTAAGGGAGAGCCTTCGCTGTGAAGACAGGTGAGAACACCTTATCCAAGGTTTTTAGTAGTGTGCAATATCGTAATGATTGCTTGCTGGGGTGTCCTGTTAAATGTTGCTTGAACGTCTTGATTTTGGATTCAAATTAAATTAACTACAAGTTTTAAAATTAGGTTCTATCAACGCTGGCGAGAAGCAGAAGCTATACAAGCAAGTATTTTAGAATTTAGCCTAGACGAACAGCAGTGCGTTAAGGATTGGTCAAATATTATTGACAGCGCTAGAAAAAAAGGAGCTCCATTAGAGCAAATACACATATTTGTATTAGCGCATATTATGAGGCGACCAATAATTGTTTATGGTGTAAAATATGTTAACAGCTATAAAGGGGAAACATTAGGTCTAGCGCGATTCCAAGGTAATGTCTTCATTCTATTAGTCATTAGGCATAGAACAGGTTAGTATTATATCTCAGTTCCTAACTTTGCGCTTGTTAATTACAGGAATATATTTACCCTTGTTATGGGAAAGGAGCTTTTGCGTGTCAAATCCAGTTGCTTTAGCTTATACTCGCGGTCATTTTTCCGCCGTTGTTGGAATCGAATCGGATACAGTCAATGACGCAGTTGCTGGTGCTAATGTAGACAATTGTGAAAATACTCAGACAATATATCTGCCGTTGATAGATAGTTTAAGTGTTCCATTACCAGTACATTTTCTTCTTAATTCTGAGGTAATATAATGATTTTTTAACTATCTATTTGTAGTTGTTTCAAATACAATTATATTTATGCTGTAGCTGATGCTTATTTTTGTTCATTTGGTTATTACAGCTTGGCTGTGAAGAACAACTAATGCACGAATGGTTAGACTGTGAATGTACATCTAGTGGAATTATTGTGGCTAAACAAAATATAACTAGGATGCCATTTCAAGTGGATAGAATGCTTGATAACTGGCTTGATAAATATCGAAAATTAGATAGCTAAAGTCTATGTACTATAATATTAAGCAGTCTTTTCAAGGTGTACGCACATATTGACTTCATCTTTACTGGTACATTTATCAAATAATATCACTATATGTTTGAAGAAGAACCGTTATCAATATTTATAGAAATATATCCGTTTGGCTATAGCCGAATCTAAATGTTTAAATCTTATTTACGAATGTACCTTCTTACTGTTGTAGTAAATATTTACCGCTTATGTCAAAATTCTGACCAATATAAATTAAGTTTGAAAAAGACTTATTAATCAATCGTAACAATCGATACTCAATCTTTATTTATCGTTCTATCATTTATTCATTTTGATCAAAATTTTAACAATAAATTTTGAAGTTATTCAACAAGATCCAGTGAGCTTCTCTCTACATTATTAGGGAAGCAATGTTTTTTTATCAGTGTCAATGATAATAGTGTGTCAATCTTGCAGCAGTTTGCATGAAAATCGATTTATGTATTATATTCCGATATCACAACTTGATTCATGATATTTATTAATCGTATAACTTAACATTTGTGAGAGTAGTAGCTTGATATATGTACAATATGGTAGTAGTCGTTCGAAACTATGAGAAACACAATTCAGTATCGAGTAGTCTTGTTAATCTATATTTACGAGTTTAGATAAATCACTCATGATATGCAATTTTGCATCTCAGAGTTGTCGACTGGAAGGTCTTTGCGTAACGATAATATTCTTATTTATATCTGGTTTTGCATCGTTTCGATCAATTATCACATAGCAAGTCTTGTTAGCATTGTTACCATTAAAAAATTTACACTCGCAGCTGCCGAGGCGTTACAATTTATCAATGCTTAACAAAAATGCACACGAACGTCAAATAGTTTGTTTCAGAATAAGGTTATAGATTATTTCTCTCTATCTATATAATACAATTGTAAAAAAATATCAGAAATACAATATATTATATTCACATTTAAACGCTAATAGCCATCATTATTGTTATTCCTGTTTAACAGCACAACTAACAGTCTCGATCTTTTGGCTCTAAGTAGTCGAGTCCCAGTAAAGCAAAAATGTCTGCTTCGCATTTCGTGGGTACAGGGGTACCACGAGTTAGTTTTTGATTTCCCTAACGAAGCAAGCACATTAAAATTAAGTAATTTATGCAATAGATTAAATATTTTTGTAGCGATGCACTGTTTGAAACAGGCAAATGTTTATTTAAACATTAATAAATAATAAATCAATAACTCAACATACATATTTTAATACAGAGCATGCAGTCACCTTACGTAATACTCCAACGCTAATTGCATGTTCAGAGAGATGCATTCTCTAATGTGTATCCAATAGATTAATAATAATATTAAATTTAGTTGTTTAGGTAATCGTTTATTAATACCGCCTAGTAGAATAAATTTTACAAATATTTTATTACCTTTTTCCGAGCAAGTAACCTCATTGAACGATTAAAGTGCCCAGATCCAGTAAAGTATAAAAGAGAACAAGCCCATTCACGGTAAGGGACAACAATAATATCCAAGCGGCGATACTGAAAGTTATAAAAATTAAAATATAAGATATATTTATTTGAAGCTTATCTAAAATTAGGAATATATTGACTACAATTCTTTGATACAGTTTTTTGTAATGATTGTACCTTTCTACCCTCCTCTGGCAATTTACAAACGCCTAATAACTTTTGATGATCGATATCGACGTCTTGATTAACTAAGATTTCAGTTAAGAAATCTTATGTACAAAGGTATGATTAATCAAATAAGATATTTCCGTATTTCTTAACAAAGTCCAATATTACTAAGGAACTATCATTTATCAAGTACCTTTAGCTTGTAACCGCCGCAGCAGCTTATGATAAACACCTTGATGAGAGCGGCCATTTGGATGTGAAATCAAAATATCTACGTCACCGCATGTAGGCTTCTCACGGCGATAAGAGCCGCATGTTATCACTTCTAGGCCAAGTTCAATAGCTGTAGCTTCTTCTCGAATCTGTTAATAAGAAATTTGATTAGTTCTTAATTATCGACATAAATTATAGTCTTGATTATAATTATTCGACCCGATTGCAGACGCTAATTTGCAATGATAATATCAAGAAAAATTCTTAATAAAATATCGCTTACTACAGCTTCAATCTCTACCACTTCAGCTCGAGGAATCCTTTCATTGAAATCATCGTAGTATTTTAATCCAATGCTTTGATGGTAATTTAGTTTTGCTTTGGCCCGTATGTCATCCAGTGTATACAAGCCCTTAAATAAGTAATTTAGTGATTTAGCTTCTTTTATACTGTTGCAACTAGTAAGGCAATTTTGCTCCGGTCCAATTTTTCACGGCAGCTTAATTGAATATGTAAAAGGTGTAATGCTAGTGATCCTTCTAAATAGTAATTAACTATTTACTTACTTGAGCAATCCAGTTGTGCGCAGTAGCTGGACCTGCTCCCCATATCTTAGTAAAGACATTTAGAGCAGTCTGTACATCATTATCCATGTAATCTAATTTTCTAAGATGACCACAACTAATAATTTCCCATATTTTATCTGCTAGACGTTTTCCGATATTTGGAATTGCCTCTGCTTCCTAGTTAATTACAAATTTGATCAAAAAATTATTTAAGAAATAAAAATATTAATTGTACCATGATTTATTCTAGGACGATCGATACTGTGGGTATTTCTTATATGAAAGCGTTCGTTATTGATTATACTCCAATTTAAATAAGTTACAGTATACTGGGGATTTTATAATTAATTAAGCTAAATAAATTTAAATTGATAATGTATGACAAAATTGTATCACATCATAAAGTGATTTATGTGCAACAATCACAAGATGATCATATGTCGCTTCAGTTAACCTCTCGGGTAGTAATTTCTCTAGGATAATTCTTAATTGAGGAAATTGCTTTAGTGTATCCTTTTACACGCCATTGATCTCCTAAATTTTCATATTTTTTTTGTAAGATCTGGAAGATATAGAATAAAAATGGATCAAGTAAGCGAGTAGCAAATGACGTGAAGTTGATATTTTGGCTAAGCTAATTTTAATAACTTATTCTTCAGCAGCTTCTAAATTCAGTAGCATACCTCTAGGATATCTGTTATATGCTTGTTTCGATTTTTCACGGGCAAACTTGATGGTCGTGCACACGCCCAACTACTTGACTTTTTGAGTAAGAGAATAACGCATGAAAAACTTTAATTAGCTACTGCAAGAATAGATAGAGTATATATGGGCAAATGCTATGCACATATATTAAGAATGTAAGAAATAGTTACAACATCCATAGTTATGATTACAAAATCATGCCGTGTGATAAATCACTGATTAGGCATTTGTCTGTAAAATATTATCCCATAGAATAGCATCGACTAAATTTATAAATTGAATACGCCAATCTGGCGTATATCGTGTCGAGGTTTAGCTTACAGTACTCTAAAGTTATCGCTATAATAGAAGCACCAAACTATTGATCGATTATTATATTTTGTGCATAAGACAGAAAACTATTAGTGATAATACTGTAATTAAGGTTGACTTTGGCTAACATTTAGTAGGTATGATTTAATTCATATTTACTATATAGAAATTGCAGTTGCTATTTACAGTGATACTACTATTACTGTACCATCTTATTCGAAATTATTTACCACTTAATGCACGGTAGTTTGTAAATAATCGTTAAATGTATTACTAATTATACGTAACTTTAAGGAATATCAATAGTCCCACTACGGAATTTTAAATTTGCCAGAAATTTTTTTACTTGGCTACAATTAATTATCACTCCGATATGAAATATAGAAATTGGTTAAGGCGTATTGATTTTTATTATCTAGATACTACTGTATATCATAAAATCAGATAATGGAGTATATTTTATATTTTTATTTCCTAATCTATAAGGTGCCTAAATCTAGCATAGGATTATAATTATCTGATGGTAACGAACAGTAAATAATGAAACCTCATACGAAAAACGTTATAAATACTAATCTTAAAGGTAGACGTTCTATCTTACATTAGTACTATGTTCTTATTGAATAACTTCAATTTAAAATCGTAAAAAGCAATAGACTATAGCTATATCGTGCTGCATTGTGATAAGGATTTGTTATGAGAATTCAACAGTATTTATGCCACAATATGCGTATTCTCTTAGTAATGTTGGTGCGTTGATATGGCAGGATTGATAGACTACATTCACTGTAATGTGATAAAATATTGAAATTTCAAAGTCATAATATTTTAATGAATGAGTTATATATACAGGATAATATATATCAGTTGTATCCTTGAAAGTTAGACGAAAATGAGATCAACTTTTGGTGATAGTTGATGTGCTTTTAGAATATGGTTTTTGGTATTGCTTAGGATTAATACCCCTGTCATATTCAGAAATTCATGTGCCTAATTATTTACCCAATATGGTGATCGGCTAATGAACTAATTAATTATTTCCGATTGACTTTGAAGCATATGGCTTCATACTGCTAAGGGGTTCGGTTGCGACATTAATTAAAATTTTAATATAACAAAGTCTACAGTAGATTTTAATGTCTGAGAAGTGAAAAAATATCCTGTCGGTAGTTCAAGTGATTACTATACGCATAAGAAAAACTCCTAATTTCTCTAAGATCTATCCATTACGCTGAGCATTAACAGGTTGTCTCCTTTAATTGAATCAATATAATAATGCACATATAATTAGATGAACATAGGATAGCTTACCGGCTTTGCAGTATATTTGGCTGGAAGTTGAGATAAGACCATTTCAATTTCTGATGTATTTGCATTATTATCATCATCAGATTCAACGTAATCGCTATCAGAATCGAGAGGTTGATGAATGATATTACTGTTGCCAATTGCTCGTTTCTTTGTATTTGTTTTACTAAATCGACCGCGCTTGATTTTTAGCCACACCGGTGATGAAATTTTCTTTTCTTCTAACAGTCGTTTTTGACTAGCTGGTGGTACCTAATTTAATAGGAGATGGATTGTTTATTTACATGTTCCAATTTTCCATTTTAAAACTAGTTTCTGAAAACATTTTTTTTGGTATTTAAATAATATTAAGAGGTAGTTTGCTTCTAGTTGGTTGTATGGAGTGGATACTTAATTCGATACAACTATTATTCATAATGATAGAAATTGTTTATTATGAGATTTATTACATTAGCAGCATATGGAACATGTTAAACATAGACTGGGAAGATGAGAACTATAATTATGTTAATTTTTTCGATCGTTTCTTCGCGTATTGATGTCATCTCTCATCCATCCAGTATACAAGTAAATATCCTTATATACTATATTTACCTGTAGTTAAGCAGTTAGCTGTACTGTATGAATAACTTTGATACATCTAAATTGAAATCATTTTTAAATGCAAAAGTCAATTGATTGATGTTTTTAACGTTATAGATGATGCATTTTCATTCGCATTAGTGTATTCAAATTGACTATCGACAAGGAATATTGAAGGTATTGGTGAAACGTAGTTCAATTCAATACCTCATTATGATCGGAGTTGTCAGTGCAAGGCGATGCATCAGAATGACGTTTAATCTGCTCTTTCTTGCCATGTTCAAGGGTAGCTGCATTGTCGTCCTTCGTCAGCGCCTTATCCAATTGTACTGATGTTGTTTTAGGTTGAACACGTTTGACTAAATTAAATTGGCCAACATCAATTAATTGGCCTTTGGTTAAACTTTGGCTCAACCAGTCTGCATCAACCACAATTAAATTCGATGGAATAGTATCGATTTTAAGGATAGTACACAATCTAGCAAGTTTGATATTTTTACTGGCTATGATATGAGTTGTATCAGATTGAATTGAACGATGGTATTGACCACCGTAGACTATTAACTGTTTCTTCAAGATAGCGCTACGTGTTTTACCGAGACCAGCTTCGATAATTATCGCTTTAACATCAGCTAGAAACAATTTCTCTTGATGACGATCAGCCTTATTCGTTGTTTTTGATGTAATCGATTGATCTTTCGTCGACATATTCTACTACTACCTCTACTCGCTTATCACAATCGATTAGATTGCTTTTAACTCGACCGCTATGCTAGTTGTTCCAATAGGTAGGCGTCTCCAATGGGTCAACCAACAATAGGACAGTCGTCGTTGTATCTTTTGATCGGTAGTAATGGTATGTTAGTCGCTTCCAAAATTGTCTATTTGCCGTCTAAACCCAAGCTTACACCGTTGCAAATGGGATGCTAACCAGCTATCTTCGATATTTATAATTCAAGACTACTGGATACTGGTTTTAACGCGTTCACTCGTTGAATGGACGGTAGATGGTCATTATTATGATTGAACAAAAGCAGGAGGGCAATACGTAGGTACCTGCACATACACGTTTGGGCTGGGCTTAACAAGAAGTCGTTCAAAGTTAGTATGCTACAGTAATTGCTATCAGATATGCTCCAAGTACAGTCCAGTACGGCAGAGTACTACTTGAGTACTGTAGTAGTGTGGCGCAGTCCAGCCCTTGTATAAACTAATGCCAGTCTTGTCACATCAGGTGCCACCCAAGGCCAAGAGCTGAAGAGCCATTTATAGTACTGTATGAGGTTTCTTGTAGAGTCCTTGAAAAGGAGTAAAAAAGCAACCCAAACCCGATCGAATCCGATCAAATGGTTGATTTTCTAGCCCGAAATGAGTGCAATCGCTCTACAAACACTGTATCACTACCGAAATTTCTAACGCGAATCCATCCCTCCCTCGAGTCGGGTTCAACTCGGGTTTCGGGTTGACTGTTATTAAGCGCACTGGTTTCTGATTAAGTTGGTGAACTTATAGCTGTACAGCACTGTACTGTATGGTTGAACATAACATATCGATGTAAAACCTTGTGGGAAATTCGATTCTATAGCCTACAGTATTTATTATCTCCTACTGATGATGGCTAGCTTAAACGCTCTGTCGTTTCGTCGACAGAGACATCACAATTTTAATGTAATAAATGATAATAAATGATTACCCTACGACTTTGTATCCAGTCTGTGTGCACACCATCTGTCTGGCTGTATAGCGTCTGATTCATTATTGCAATAAGATGATAAACTATTTGCACCCCCAAAAAATTACAGTACTACACGACAAGAAACGAGCTAGTATTTTAAGTCACTATTTTTGACGTTTTTTTAACGTGGAGCAATAATTTAATTAATTTGTTTTGTTTATGGTTAAAGTCTTGCACTGTATTTCCGCTCGAATCACTTCTAGTTCAGTATATGTATATTACTATAATAATATACAATTAGTGTTAAGCCCCCCAAAAAGTAAAAAAATAAATTCCCGTGCGGGGAATCGAACCCCGGCCACGGCGGTGAGAGCGCCGGATCCTAACCACTAGACCACGCGGGATCTACAAGTCTATTTACTAACCCATTAATATTTGAATTTTAACATTATTCAATCAGCAACCTCTTTCTTCAGTACAGTGTACGTACAGTACAGTAGTTATAGTGCATGTACTTACATACTGTACACTGTAAGCCTTGTACAACTGGACGACTAGACGTACATCTGCACCAACCATATACTGTACTGTACTGTATACAGTACAGTATATGGATGGGGGTCTTTAACCTTAACCGAAAGCAATGCAAAATTTCGAAGACGTAGTATATACAGTAAATAAAGCAGCAGAGTATGTGAAAAAAATCATTCCAGGCCGGTGTCCAAAATAAGAAAACAGCAATCCTATTTTCCGTTTTGAAGTCAAGTACAACTGGCAACTGTTGACTGACTGGTGAGTTGATAAATCGTTCAATTCACTTTCTATGCAGGAAATAAAACATGACTGTATGAATGGCACAAGCTGTCAGTAAGACTACTCTCATGGTGCTCTCAATATTACTAAAGGCTAAATGCGTAGTAACTACACACGATAGTTGTACTGCAATGGATAATTTTAAAAAATCTCCGTTATGAACATACTGCACATGTTGCATGCGAGAAAAATTGTTGGTTGAGGCTGTAAGAAATTATATGTTCAGCGGAGTCCATTTCTATGCTTGACATTGATGTTGAGACGATACACGCTATGTTGATCACCTTGCTTGACCGTCTATTCAAGATTCCAAAGTTGTCATTGATGTTCATGTTACTTTCAGAGTGACTTGGCCTCGAGCACCTTCAATAGTGATTGAGATTTTATACTAAATACTATGGATAGACACGTCCATTTTATTGTTTACTTGATAGCTGGCACATTTTGAATTAAATAGATATGATAATTTGTAGGGTATTGCCAATTCCTCAATTACGGCTATACGTAACTATTTTTGGTGCGGTATTTAATCTTAGTTCCAAGTACGTATAAATTTAAATTTTAGTCGCTCCTAAAACTTTTACTGTGCTGGACGTACGGTGCAATCGGGTCTACTGTACACTTACAATTATTTGCTTTTATAACATCACACGATTTTGCAACAGTGATACTTCTTCCAATCCTATTGTGCTGTATCATTCTTATGCAGTCGATTACTGCTCAGAAATCTTGATTCATTTTAAATCGTATAGCACATTGCCATGTTAAAATGTTTTTCATACAATAGATATCTACCTTAATATTGCTATTGTTACAAAAGCAATCGAAAAAGCCTCTACTGTACTATTTGGACATGAAAGTTGCAAGACTTCATTTGTCAATGGTACTGATCCACTTCCGTATCTAGCATATTTTATATGGTACTATAGTACTCTGGGTAGTAGTCCTTTTTCTAGGAGACCATTTTATGATGTTGCTTCTATTGCAATGAAAAATACTTAAAAATGGATTCATGATGGGTACCATTCAATTTATGATATGGAGTTAGATTTATAAAGTGTGTAAACTATATATATGGATATCTAGAGTTTAGAATAATTAATACATAAAAAGAGCAACTACTGACAGAGTCGTTTGGCACTGTCTTATCCAATACATATTTTTGGATAATTTGAGAGCAACAGTACAACACTAATCATACAACATTGATTAAAAACTCTGAACTGAGACTGATCAAGATCACGATCATTTTTTCTACCACAACTAACTTCGACAGTAATACTCTAGATGCACAGGTGATTAGTATTTACTAACGAATTAGTTATCAAAACAGCTGTTGTATAGAAAGTAATAAAGGTAATTGTTGCTACACCTTCTGACAGAATGAATTTAAAATTCAGTTAATGAAATAATAGAATTTGATGACGTACGATAATAATGTTTTTTTGATCCTTTTTAAAATTAAAACTGTGTATTTTATTTCTCTAGACGTCAATCGCGTCAGTATTCACAAATACTGTCTACACCACGGCCGGAAAAATGAGCGACGACGATAGCGACAGGGATGATTCTATAGACAGCGAGTACGTATATATTAGAGAGAGATTTTCAACACATGTAGACGTACAGTATACGTATACGTATTTATAACTTTCGTATTGATGAGAAAATTGCGTATTCACTAGAAGCGGATAAATGTGTCAGATTGAACTTATTTATTATTAATATTCTTTGTCTTGAGTCAGTTATTTTGATAAAGAAAAGTAATGTACTGAATAAAAGAAGAAGCTGATAGGAACGGTTGCATTACATGTAGCATAGAATACAAGTACACTAGATTTGATGAACGATTAACTCAAATTAAGATACGTAGTAGCGCTTTGTAGTAAATTTGATTGCTTTAGTCATTTTCTTTGCATTCGGTATGTTGATAAATTCTCTAATTTTGAACCTACAGTAAATAGTGTACTCACAGTGAGATTAAAAAATGTACTATCCAGACATATCGAATGTGCATGTATATCTTAAATTGTAGTGCGAAACGTATCTATCAGTTACACATTAGCCTTATGATCAAATTATGGTCACTGTATACACCATAGCAGCGTAATTTTGCAACAGTAGGAGAGTTTCGGTTTGTTTTGTGAGTACTAACTTCTTTAGACGAGGCATGGCCTTACTCATTAGTAGTACTGAAAATTGTATACTGAGAGAATAGCAGTAGATGAGTCTTAGCTTGATGTAGTATATTGAACACTGATTTCTTTAAATGAGGCATTCTTTAGTTCATTAATTCATTAATAGCACTAAAAGTTGTAAATACTAACTTATGATAATTTATATGTGATTTATGTATAAATAAAAAATAGAATAAAAACAGTCTTTATTCAAGGATTTTCTAATCTTTGCCAATAATATAGACAGATGAAAACCGATCGCTATGGATTTCAAGGCGGCAGCCAACTTGAAAAGTAAGATTGTACTAAACTTATCAAATACTCTAGCATGTTTATATCCCGACACTTGGTATCATACTTAGAATAATTCTTTGCTGACTTTATCTCCAAAGTTGTAGCGACGATACTGTTGTAGGTAGAGTCGGTATGAGACGAGAACGTAAATGGGTCAGTATGACAAACGATTTGAAATCGTGGAAGAGATGGATGCGTTGGAGGCATAAGAAGGTTAGAATTGCTATTAAAGGACGATTTTATGCCTTGTCTATTATTATAAAGAAAGACAGAGAACTAGTCTATCTACTAATTGCGAAATTTTAGTGCTAAATAAGTAAAGTGAATGTTAGTTACGATAAAAAAGCGGTTCCGTATGGTACTTCTCTCAAGTTTTCCCACATATTGTTCATGATCTCTCCGGGTACTCTGCGATAGTCTCTGCAGTCATAAAGTTATAATCTTATCATATTCCGTATTGTTATCGTATACGTTAGTTAAATGATAAGTCTTTATGTTTGCATGGAAATAGCAATGCCCGGAACTAATTTAGGAATCAATATGTATGGCTAAATTCATTTAACCGAATTGCATTCGATACAAAATAACCTCATTATATGAATTAAAAATTAGCGTCGTATCTCGTGTTCTAGGTAATAGAAAGATGTCGTAAAGGGATACCGTCATCGGTTCGCGGTAAGGCATGGCAATTTCTATCGGGATCTTATGAAATACAGAAAAAACATGAAGGAGAATTTGACGTAAGATGTTTAATTAAAACTTTAGATTATATCGATAATTTCTATCTCTAGATTGTATTATTAATAATACTTTGGTATTGTACAAGTTTCAAAGGAATAATCTAACCTATTTTAAAACTATGTAATAGATTACATTAATATTGGTTCATGTTGTATCATTGTTACTTTACTAATATTTGAAGATTTCAATAGAAACTATTGTCACAAAAGGTTGATGAATCGGTAATGCGCGATATTAAGAAAGATATTGGTCGAGCTTTTCCGTACCACGAAATGTTTTCTAAAAATGGAGGTCCTGGGTGAGTTATAAACCCTAATGAATCTGCATCATAAGTTTAATTTCTACTCTAATTTATGTAAGTTGTATAGTGCTTGCGTATTTGCATATTATTATTCGTCATAGACCTTCAATTAAATGAATATTTTTTTATGCATTGTTCATATATTTTTGGTAATTGAATCGTAAGTTCAATTTTTTACTGTGTATTGTACAAGTTGCGCAGTACTTGATTATTTGGACATCTCCTTCGTTATTGGCCTTTAAATTTAATAAATGTTTACTAATGTATAGTTGACACATTTGATTCTGGATTTGATCTCACATACAATATTGAATCAATTATCTACAGATTAACTTTCGTTAACATTGTAACGAATCGATGATACTTATAACCCTTTGTTTTCAGTAAATGACGAATATTTTTTAATCCAATACTTAACGCAATATCTTACAATTTTATCAGGCAAAGAGAGTTACTAAGAATTCTGCAAGCATACTCTGTACATAATCCTTCAATCGGTTATTGTCAGGTAATTATGATGTAATTTTTGGCTAATGTAGAGTCAGTGGTTAATATTTACAGTAAAGTTATAGAGTTAGGGGTTATCCTATGATAGATAGATAGATCTTTATATGCCCTTAAAAGTGCATAAAACAGTAGATTTAATGCATTTTGATTTTGGATACCTTTTTAAATTAGATTTTATATAAATATTTTAGTATGCTTAGCTAAGTTCTGTAGATTGGTCATTTTTATCAGCTATTTTGGGATAGAATTATTTAATACTGGTACTTATTATCCATGTTCCTAAATCGACAGTAGTTTAGAGCTGTAAACTTGTACAATACTTGTATGTGGTAAAACTCCTTTTTGCAGATAGACTTGATTACTCTATAATGCTAGTGTGTTACTCTAAGTCATTTCATTGGTGACTTGTTAATGAAACACTTTGAGTCCCTATTCCGGTGCACATTGCTTTATATTCATATATGTATAGTGTGTTAAAAATGATAGGAAAAGCTTGTCTAATTCTGTCACTCTATGTGTACAGTACAGGCATACATGCATTGTACTAATCAATAATATTAAGGAGTAATTACAGTACTTCTATTTCTGTTATTTACGTGCATGTTTCACATAGGCTATGGCACCAATTGGAGCTTTACTATTGATGCATATGACGACTGAGGTTAGTGTTGAATTGTTTTATAGACATTTTGCCTCATCTTTCTTATTTCTATAATGCTTTTATTAAATTCCTTTGTATATCATAGGATGCATTTTGGTGTTTTGTAACAGTGTGTGAAAAATATTTATCTGGCTTTTTCAGTCCTGGATTGGTTAGTTACTTTGGGTTCAAAATATCGATATGATACATTAATATATATTAATAGTGTTATTTGTTTTAATACAGTATATTCATTGGGTGTATGAAGCACATTGATTCGTATGATTGACAATATATTTTAGGAAGCGATACAATTGGAAGGACAAGTATTTTATGCATTACTTCAAAGGCATGCACCGGCGGTTAGGGAACATTTGGTGGGTGACTTTACTAGTGTTCTATCAGAGCTAGATTTTATTGTTGTATGCATCTAGGTTAAATATATTCGTAGTCTGACATAGTTTTTCGCAATTTTTGATGTAAAGTATTTAATTAAATTTAATTATAAGCGTACAAATAGCATTTTATCGATTTTGCATTGTGAATATTTAGTATCGGTTATAGAAGACTGTAATTGATCTATAGTAATTCGTATAATCTTTAGGATAAACTAAATATCGAACCTTTGATGTTTATGACTGAATGGTATATGTGTGCCTTTGCTCGGTAAGTTAATTTAGAGAAATCTCTTTTGGAATAATGGTGTATGTTAAGCGTTAGTAAGTGATATTATTATATTTTAACACAGAACTCTTCCGTGGTCTTTAGTGTTGCGAGTATGGGATTTGTTATTTATAGAAAGTCAGTATATTGATATAATGTTTGATAGGTACCGTTTCTTTATCATAGGTCTTTAATTTTTGAACAATATTTTTAATTTTTAAGATGTTAAGATAATCCACAAGGTTGCTATTGCTACAATCAAGTTGACCTTCGACTCTAAAGAAAAATTGGATTCGTCGTCTAGGTATACTGCATCATCTAAGACAATGAAAAATTTTGTTACAATGAAATATATTCTGAAAAGCAATAATACTTAGTTGTATCTGAACTGCCACGCACTGTATCATACTGTAGTATGCACGATACACTGAGAAGATTGAAAAATCTACCAGCAGAGATATTTGTCAATAACGCACTATTACGGGAGGTAACATTTTATGTATGAACGTCTTCTATCTAATGTCTGTTAATATTATAATACAACGTCAAAATAAATTTCATTGTTGTAATGAATGCATATCTTTCCTATTCCAAAAATATTGAGAGTGCAGCTATTGATTAAGCTAATACTACAAAATTTATCTTAGGCAAATGATATTTCAATTACCGATAAAGACCTAGAAAGAGAATATAAAGCTATTCAAAATTCGGAAACAACAATTAATTAAGTTTCAAATGCAAGAATTTAAATGAATTTTATGTAAATAATACAGTAAATAATGAATCTATAATATGATTCCTGGTATGAAATATAAAACTCAGATTTATGCGCCAAAAGCGAGAGTTTGTATTTATTAGCTAATGTTTTACATGAAAATTTGACTTCGATATGTGAATGTATGCATCTGTCTATGAATAGATGGTTAGTATACGAAATTGGATGTTGTATTTCCATGATTTTTAATTGCATATTCTGATTCTGTTGAATAATTTAAAAAAATTATTTCATCTCAAAATAGATTGATGTAGTTAAATCTATTTATTTACATGATTGCGAAACGTCCCGGTAATATAATTTGATGATAATTTTTAGTTTAATAAGTGTAATGCATTTGAAGTTTGGCTGCCCTCGTATTTAAACATTTCTGCATGTAATACATGTACGTTCAAATTAGCTAATTCAGGATGTCTACCGCGAAAATACCAATTTACTATCATTGTGACTTTAATGTTATTTAAGGATTTTATTCATTGCAAATGTTTGAGACGGATTTTATGTTTATCCATAAATCGCTTACCCAATGATTTTGATTATATATTTATATAGTAAATTATTTCTTCATCTGATGCTGGCATAGAATTATACTTAGAATAATGTGACGACTTGTAATAAAGTCGAATAAATCAAACATTTAAACATGTATTGCTGACAAGATTTCATGATCTATACGTATATTAACTAAATGATTTCAAAGCTAATTCTACTGTCTTATCAAAATACCTGTATTACGTCTATATGATTTATATTATGATGAATAAGAATTACAATAAAATAATGCTTGTTATGTGTTGAACGTGGGTCGCAGTACGTCTAACTAGTTTACATTTATAATATTGATGCAATTCAATAGTATTTGAATGATGCCAACGAAATGAATAATCTATCAGAATATATTTTTAGGTACACAAGCTACAGTATAGTAATTTTTGTCAAATTCTGAACTGATATGACACATTTAATATTTTCCTTTACCATGATTCTTCATTTCGAAGTGTATCATAGATATGTGTACATAATATCGTGCATTGATCTAGGGACTGTAAAAGAATTTCCCTCAGAAGTCCCTAAATGTACCTGTATTTAAAACTGGTTACTCGCTAATTAGCTAGTTCGTTTTTGGGAAATTAATGATTCTTGCTAGCATAGTGCGAATGCCTTTCTGAAGTTTGTTTTAAACTAAATCGCAGAGGTAATGGAAGAGCATTTTGCTATGATGCGGTATCCATATTATACTAAGTTGTGCAGTGCATGTATAGTAAATAAAGCAAGATTGCATGGCAGCTAAGCCGATACGGTCGGTATCACACTACCTAGTGCGCTCTCTACAGTACAGTATAAAGTACAGTAACAGGAGAGTGAGCAACAACAGACTCTATGCCTGGGGTAGGTGTGACGGTAGTGTGAGCCATAAAACCGTTAATCGAATGTTCATCGATGAAACGCCTTCTATTACGTTAGTTTATGCTAAGATAATTTTACAATTTTTGTAAGCATTCAGTAAGAAATAGCCCTGATTAGATTACAGTTCAATGGCTAATAACTAGCCTTAACTGGATAGCTGTCGTTAAGAGAAGTTGCTATTCGAAAAATTATACGTAGTACTGTATTATTGTATTGCCTATGGAATCAGGAAGAAACTCAGACAACTAAAATCATGTTCAGGTTAAGATCTTCAAAGTTAATAAAGCTAAGCCAATTTACTTCAATAAATCGCCAGCCATTCAACAAATATCATCAAAATGATAACTCCTTGAAAGTAATTTCATCGACAATTGATACCAATTCGGAAGAATATCAGGTTAATCTTTGCTATTATGTATTAGATACCGTATGCTTCTTGTACAATGTTTGGCTACGGTACTGCTTTGCACCATTATTGCGATGGAATGGATTTAATAGTGTCTTGCAGCTATGGTTTATTACCGATGAAAGCAATAGCTTCAATCCTAAATAACATTAATTTAATCTACAGAAAAAGTTCTCCAGAAATAAGAAACTGGTCGAGAATTTGCGTAAGATTAGTGAGATGATTAAGCAAGGTATGATCAACCCTGGTTGCGATTACTTTGTATCAGCAAAACTGGTATTAGTAGCTACAACAGTGATGGGTAACTTAGTGAACAACTTCATTCCTAGCAAACTGATATCATATATCTGAAGTACTATTTACCTTATTTGATTGCTTTATCAACGGATTAAGTTCTACTAAATCAAAGAATAAAGACATAGGACTGCCGTAATTACCAATATTCGCAAAGTGCATTTAGGCATCTTATCGATATGACAATAGCTGCTGTACAGTATTTATTCCGTTGATATCATTGCCTAGGTTTAGGTTTCCAGGATTCACTTAGCTCACATTGTGCATGTAATAATAAGTTTGATATAACCAGTGCTTGTTATTCGTAGCTCGCAAAGAAAATATATGTATTTCAGTTATCAGGTCATTTTAATGTATCCCAGAAATTGTAAACAAATGCAGAAGACTGTATGCAATAACGATTATATATTTGATTTACTTACGATTCAATAATTAATTGGCATCGTGATTTTGATACTTACTGGTATCTAGCTATAATCATAATTTATCTCTTTTAAAGCTATATACAGCATTTATTATATCAAAATATTTACAAACGAAAATGCTATATAGGAGGTAGAGAGAAAGCTCGCCAAAGCCATGTAGCAAAAAACAAGTTATTACCTCGTGATCGATTAAATAGGCTTCTGGATTCAGGGTAAAACTATAATTTTTATAATTTTCGTCTTAATTATTATTTCATCAAGCTTGAGATGAATCAGTAACGATAATCTCAGCTTCTCACTCGAATCTTTCTTGTTCATACAAGTTTAACGCTGGATCATACCGCTGTAGCGATTATTGTCGTAATTCCTAAACTCGTTTCACTTTATTATTATTTTTTAATTTAGCTCTCCTTTCTTGGAACTCTCTCAACTCGCTGCATACAACTGCTATAAAGATCATGTTCCAGCAGCAGGCATGATTACAGGAATCGGCCGTATATCTGGGTAAGCTCATGAATTAAGTTCAGCAACTTGTTAGCTATAAGCACTATTATTTTCTAAAACTTAGTTTTGAATATTTTGAAAACCTTTCAAACTAGTATTTCACCTTCATGAGTTACCCTATTAACCAGTGCATGCTCTATTAATCAATTGTTGTTGTGATTGTATGATTGCTAGTACTGAATGCATGATTATCACGAATGATCCAACGGTTAAAGGTGGAACTTACTATCCCCTCACTATGAAAAAACAACTCAGGGCCCAAGATATAGCTTTCGAGAATCAGTTACCCTGTGTCTATTTAGGTAGACAGTTGCGCTCTTGATAAACTGATTACATAGAGTATTATGCAATGCACTGAGTAATATAACCACATTCTAGCTACAAATTTTTATAACTGTAATCATTTCATCAAATTCCTTTTATCACCTGATATCGCTGTCTGTAATGCTACGGAGCTTATATTAATAATTGAGCAGAATAAGTTCAGGAATATCTTATTCAAGTTTCTCATACGAATATATCTAATTTTATTGCACTCTAAATTGCCTAGTGGAATCCGGTGGAGGATATCTCCCTTTACAATCTGAAGGATTTGCTGATAAATATCATTTTGGCAGAACTTTCTATAATCAGGCGAAAATGTCAGCGGCTGGTATTAAACAGGTAAGAGACTAATATTGATCCTTGATCCTGAACTTAGCTTAATAACTATTTAACAGATTTACCAAAAAGTACAACCTACATCAATATAAAATATTTACTTACCACTGTAATAAGGTCGCTATAGTATTAGGATCATGCACTGCTGGCGGTGCATATGTACCGGCAATGTCTGATGAAGTTATTATGGTCAAAAACCAAGGAACTTTATTTCTTGGTGGCCCACCTCTGGTAGGTATTCACTAATGAGATACTACTGTCGCATTTTATTCAATTATTAAATACTCTTATATTATCTTGTGATATACCGTTAGTCTAGATGACAGTGCATTACATTATGAGCTAATTTTTATTTTTCGATCAATAATTCAGGTCAAGGCTGCTACTGGTGAAATTGTCAGTGCAGAGGAACTTGGAGGGGCTGATATTCACTGCAGGTAAGTAGTATATCATGATATTTTCGTTGCAGACTTGGGGTATTATTCGTTTAGTGATTATTAATATAAGATAATCCAAGGTTTTTTGATCTTTAAGTATTTCAGGGGTAAGCGACCACATAGCAGCGGATGACGATCATGCAATGCATTTAGCTCGACAAATTATTTCTACTCTTGCTCACAGAAGAGAGATTAAAGTAAGTCTCTTTACAGTAATTTAAACGCAGTTTCTATGAAATGGAATAATCTTAAGGATTCTTATCTATATGTACTTGCTGCCTGATTGTCACACCTAAGAATGAAATATTGCCCCCCGAAGAACCAGCTTACCCATCAGATGAAGTCTATGGAATAGTAGGGGACAATTCGGAAAGTAGTTATGATGTTAGACAGGTAACTACTGTACACTTAAATCGGCAGATGATGAATTTTATAATTTTAGGGATGGACGTGTTTAAATGTCTGATAATTAATTAACAATTATTTAAATTGACTATATTGACGGATACCTTTTATTAAAGTATACATTTGTAGTAATACAGTAGCACCTCTACTGAGAACTACCACCTTTTAATATAATACGTGTACTGTAGGTTATCGCAAGATTGGTTGATGGCAGTAGATTTCATGAATTTAAAGAAAATTTCGGTACAACGTTAGTTACAGGTAAATATGATCTATAGTTGTCGCGATGACTTGGGCTAGAGATTGCAACATTTGCCTTCGGTACAAACATATTGCATAAAAGAGGTAAATGTTAACAATGCGTTAGGATTTGCTCGTTTACATGGATTTCTGGTTGGTATAATTGCAAATAATGGTGTTATGTCATCAGAATCAGCGTTGAAGGTATCTAAAAGTTACCACTGTTGACTAATTAAATAATTAGCGGGTGTCGTCTATTCTTAACAATTGTTTTGCTATCAATTTTTGATAAATAGTGGATTATCTAATAATAATTGCATACCTATATTCGCTATAACCGCCGTTTTATTATCCAATACCGTATCTAGGGTACACATTTCATTGAACTATGTTGCCAGCGTGACCTGCCGATAGTATTCCTAGAAAATATTACCGGTAAATAATTATGTCCCCTTCTGCTTAGTATATGGAATAGCCAACAAATAGAATATTAATAATGAGGGTAACTAATTCCGGTAGTTCATGGTATAACGTAGTAGAAGAATATGTATGCAAAAGAAACATAGTGTACATTTAACAATCTGTATGAACATTGGGGTATAAAAATAGTTGAATGCAATAGTATCGTTAATGTCCAAGTCATATCTATACCTTGTGATAGGTCTAGGTTTTATGGTGGGAAGAGAACATGAAGCTGGAGGAATAGCAAAGAATGGAGCCAAGATGATTGCTGCTATCGCTTGTGCAAAAGTTCCGAAGCTAACCGTTGTTATTGGTGGGAACTATGGGGTCGGTAGCCTATCAATGGCTGGTAGACCTTACGGGTTTGTACATCAATTTTATCATGTAGAGGGTGTCAATCTTTTCAAAGTTATTATCAATGCCATGGTACTTTAGTCTATACAGATAGAGTGCCGTAAATCTATACTTAATTTGCAGCCCTAGATTTTTATTTACTTGGCCGAATTCAAGCACTTCGAGAATGGAAGAAGAGCAGATTGAAGATGCTCAAGCTAACGTCACTGCTTACCAGAAGGAAGGCGAAAATAAAACAGTAATATACTCTAACTAATCAGCGCATGTTAACAATTGCAATGAAGCAAGCACATAATATTGAGAAGGGTTTTATCGTTTATTCGCTGACAGTGCTGTAGTCTTATTTGTAGTCCGCAATCGACTAGATGGTTTTTTAAATGACAAGTTTCTTCACCATTATTCATTTCACATAATTTCAAATAGGCAGCAACAAAGGTAGAAGCTGTAAAAGAGTCAGTTGTCGGAAATTATGAGGGACATCCATACTATGCTTCAGCAAGGTAGATTAAGACTATAAATAGTTATGAATGTATGCATCAATTAATAAAATAAAATAAAATATGACTGGTCAATATTGATAATGCCAGTCGTCTACAGATATAACTTAGTTCATTCGATTGTATTCAAAAATGATTGTGGTCAACTTTATAGTGATAAGACGATGCACTGTTAACACCATCTGCCTTTATTCCAGGTTATGGGATGACGGGATTATTGAGCCTGCTGATACCAGAAAAATATTAGGAATGTGCTTACATCTAAGCTGTAGTATATCGCTCGAAAAATCTAAATTTAGCGTATTTAGGATGTAATTGCGAATTTAGAATCCATTACTCTAATTCATTAATTATATATATAACATATATATATATCGAATTATCAATGAATTGAATGGTGTACACTGTACAGTATGTATTACTTATACATTTTTGTGTATTCTATTTATGAATGAAGATTATTAGCTATAGCTATGTAAAAGTTGATGCATCCACACTATTCAGATTGTATGTATGTAAGTTGGCAATCGCCCTAGTTTATACAGTACGTTTTTTCCATATCTTTTACTCTACGTGAAATGATAGAGATATCAAGAATTATTTTTACATCTCTGTGGCATGAAATACACACTATGTACTCTACTGTACTCATCCTGTATGGTAAAATGAATTTCCATCTTGTAAAGTATAAGGAATGGGACATTTTACTATTATCAGGGACTACTCAACTAAAAATTCTCCTCAATCGCCGCCGCTAAAAAATTTCCCCCTACAGTATACTAAAAATACACCGGCTTTTGAGGGAGAATTTTTGGTTGAGTAGTCCCTGCTATTAGTCTATCACCGTACCACTTGGAGGGATGTAAAAGAAAAGCTTTCTCTTTTACCTCTAGACTATTATCGTTCACTACTTGATATCTATGTGCAATATACGCGTATGCGTATTTTATGATTTATCGTCCTTGCCTGATTTACATTACTACATTTCGTTTACTAATGTAGCTACAGTATTCATGGTCTTGTTGCTCTGACGGGATAGGGGTAAAAGAAAAAGCTTCTTTCCCCCTCTACGTAAGTACATAATCCATATCAGGTCCATGTCAGGTTTACAATAATACATTGTCGTGTAGTAATGTAGCTACAGTATTCATGGTCTTGTTGCTCTGACTGGATAGAGGTAAATGAAATAGGTTTTTTCTCCCGCTACTTAAGTACATAATCCATATCAGATTTACATTGCTACATTATCGTGTACTAATGTAGCTACGGTATTCATGGTCTTGTTGCGCTGACAGGATAGAGGTATAGGAAAAAGCTTCTTTCCCCCTCTTCGTAAGTACATAATCCATATCATGTCCTTGTCGGGTTTACATTACCACATTATCGTGTACTAATGTAGCTACAGTATTCATGGTCTTGTTGCTCCGACTGGATAGAGGTAAATGAAAAAGCTTTTTTCCCCCTCTACATAAGTACATAATCTATATCAGGTTTACATTGCTACATTATCGTGTACTAATGTAGCTAGAGTATTCATGGTCTTGTTGCTCCGACTGGATAGAGGTAAATGAAAAAGCTTTTTCCCCCTCTACATAAGTACATAATCTATATCAGGTTTACATTGCTACATTATCGTGTACTAATGTAGCTAGAGTATTCATGGTCTTGTTGCTCTGACGGGATAGAGGTAAAGGAAAAAGCTTTTTTTCCCCTTCTACGTAAGTACATAATCCACATCAGGAAGCCATTGCTACGGGGAGTAGTGATGGCAATGATTTTATCGCTTTGCTGTCGACTCCCAGGAGCCTTCATTTATAAGTTTAGGTACCTCGAAAGCGTGCTGTACAATACTATAGAGTCTATTGCAGTTCGTAATAAATGCTGTTTTGATGACAACATCGAGGATTTTATGGAATAGTGTTACTTTACTGCAGTGAGTAGTAATCTTGTCGTTTTGCTGACTACTGAAATTACTGTAATATGGACTACTAGAAGAAAGCCTGTTACAGCAGAAGGTCTTCTACTAAGAGTGCACGGTGGTTTACAACTATGGGCTCTACGTATTTTACTGTCGTCCATGCCATAACATTATCAAAATATCATTTTGCAAAGTTACTGAAATTCAACAAATTGATATTCTCGTAAATTTGTTATTTCTATTGGCCCTAAAGTAGCGTTCAAAGTTATCCATTACCAACAAGCGTAAAGTAGATGGATGCAATAAAATGTTCTATATTTTACTGTCTAAATCTATCGTGTCTACCAAACGCAGGCCGACAGTGCAGTCGACCCCGGCCAATTTTTAAAAAGTTCTTCCATTAATGTGCAGTCTGCAGTCAGGGACTTGTAAAAAAAAGAGGAATTTTCTCTTGAAAGTCCTGCTTGGAACAAATGCAGTGCACATTATTTTATGGTGATAGTTAAGGACATTTATCGTACTGTCTATGTAAGCATTCACTTAGACTCCTTCGTTATAGCTAGAGATATTGAACATTCTCCACAACGGATAGGATAGACTCTAGATTAAGTTGTTTAATTTAAGAAACTTGTAAATTGATGGTTTGGCCATGGCTGGCCTAGCTCACGGTGTGCAATGGACAGTACTACTACAGTACTCTTTACGGTACTGTAGTGGGGCATGTAGTCCATATGAAATGTGGAAATATTGGCGTGAATAAAGTCGTCGCTACCACAAGCTGCTGGTGGTTTCCTGGTGCACACTGCCACGTGCGAATCTTGCTTATAAGGACTCAATTTGTCGTCCACCTTAGGGTTTTTTCCGTTGCCTTGGAATAAAACGCTTTTGCCAGATATCATTGAATTTTATAAGTGAAGGAGGACGATGATGATGAATAGGATAGATAGTGTACCGAAGGAGAATTGCCTTTCGCTACTCAACCAAACCATGATGACTGACAGCAGTGACGACGATGGGGGAAATAGTGAAACCTGTTGGGTTTATTTTCCAACTAATTGGGATTGGTGGAATGCAGGTCGTGCAGTGCAATCTAGCCACTATCTCGATCGTTACTACAACTTTCCGCCATCAGTAGCGACAGGTAAGTTGTTCTTCTATCGTTTAAAGAGGAAATGGAATAGCACCTGATGAAGAAGGGTTGATAAATTGAAACGGAGGCATTTTGTTTTTCTTATACTGTAGATGGAGATGAAAATGCGTCGGAAGGAATCTCAACACCGACATCGACGCAAGATATCATCGTCAATGATGACCGGAGCCTGCAGGTAACATAGACCCAATGAATATAATTTAACCTTAGTTGTGTTCATAAACTTATTCTCTTCATTATTTTATAAGAAAAACGGAAAATTACTTACGTTTTATTTTTATAGAATGGTACAGAAAAGATATTAAACATGGACTGTAAAGCTGACGTAGTATTGGCAACGGAATGCTATAGCGTGGATGCAGGTGGACCTTCAACGCCGACATCGACTCAAGATATGATCGTCAATGATGATCCGAGCCTACAAGTAAGCGTGGAACCAGTTAACGTAATTTAACCTTAGTTGCATTAATGAACTTATTCTCTTCATCATTTTGTAAAAGTAACGGAAAATTCTTCCCTTACCTTTATAAAATGATGTAGAGAATAGGTCAATCATTGTCAGCAAGACTAAGATAGTATTAGCAGCGCATGACGATGGCGTAGATGCTAGTGGATTTTCTTTGGCAGTACAGCCAGAGACGTCTAACCTCTTAGAAAGTGCCTGGTACAGTCATGGACCAGTATGAATTGCTTAGAGCAACCTATAAACTATACTAGGAAATTAAGCTCAAATCGATTTGATCCAAAAATTATTCAATCAATTCATTATTCTGCAAACTGCTTATATCGCATACTGCATTTGATCAATAGTCACGACTACAGTCCACTCTACTATACAGTAGTCTATGCCGTAATCGTCGTAGCAGAAGATTGCAATAATGGCGTAGGAAGGTGTAATTTCGAGGATTAATGCCTCAACAGTTCATGAGCATAGATATTAAAATGGCAAATATTGATGAAAATCGGCGTAATTTCACTGACGTCCGAGGTTGAGCAATGATAGATATTATTACAGGATCAACGTGCAGTTCAGCTCAAAATTGGACTTTAGCCGTTTAAGATCACAACGCTGGTAGTACATTGGTTCGATATTATGCATGGCTTTTATGATATACTGTACCATGCAACAAGACTTTTATACCATACACGTGTAGAACATGCATTATTTACCGTAGAATCCGCTTTTAACGATATGAAGTGTACATAAAACTCGACTTTGCTAATTAGGAAAAGACGCAGCGCTATGGCAATGACTCCTTGAATTATTAATTAATTATAATTGACCTTAAAAGTGGAACGTTCGTGCTAAATTTCCATTTTTCAAAATACGTATCGGCAAAAAAGGAATACAGGAATTTTTAGCCATCATTATTAATTTGTAAACGTTAAATTGAACTACTAGCGGTCGCTATCAAGACAAGAATTATGCCATGAAATGGAGGACCTTCATCAAGCGCCGGATGAACGGACTATCAATCAACAATCACAGTAAGACCTTTATTTCAATGCCTATATTTGCCTCCCGTTTCATCTTTGCCAATAGTTGTTATAGTGAATAGGATCGTACAGGGGATTGAGAATGGTCTTTACTGCTGTAGAATAGGATGATTGCTATTTTACAACGAGTTACAATCTAACCTTTGCCATTGCAATTAGATATGTTTACGTATTTGTAAAACTATGCTATTCGCAAAATGTATTGCGTATTCTTTTTAAGATAATGTTGTGAAATTTTCCTTCTTTATCAATTTTAGAATTTCAGTTGCCGAGTCCACTCAGGTAATGAGATGGAACCTTGATAATGCGATATATTACAGTCGTTAGTAACTTTATCCAACCTTGCAGAATAACATCGCTTTTGCCTTAGACTTTTAAATGTAGTTAAACTAAATGATGTCGTTAGTAGTCTCCTTTTACAACTTTAGCATATAACGTTATTGTTAGATGTTAGATCATTCGCCATTAAATACTCCCCGTGAAGACGGATCGCCTGTTATTTTGAATGTAGAGTAAGCAATGAAAGCCATATTGAACGATATAGTACTGTATAATTAGTGGAAAGTATTTCCTACAGTGATTTCTTTTTCTAACGTTGTGGTAGCTCGGATGTTGGTTCCTTATTTGGCATTAACGATCAGGAAGAGGTATTTTACTTTTTTATAGCTTGTGTAAATACGTGTACCTTGCGAAATTTTTTTCAAATGAATTTACAGCTGTCTCTATTTGTGACAGTGGGCGGATTTTCTAAAATATAGCTGATAACTTTATCAACAGGAAACACATCAATGTAGCGGTAATATTAGTTGGAATGGCTCCCCTGATCCTATTGACAGTTCGCCATCCTCACGTAAATACCGACAAGGTACGATTGTAAAGTTGCTGTTTTAAATGGACGTGTCTATAAATTACGTAGAACGCTTTATTTTTAAATATTAGCTGAAAACTCCGTAAAATACAGTAGTTACATTGTAAGAAACTATCAGTAGTGTACCACTTCGGTTAAGGTTTCTTTATACTTCCTATAGGCCCGCAGGATACGGAAATTATAAATCTTGCTTCTACTGAATTTCAGGTTAAAAGCACGAAAGTTATGTAGAATCATATTTACAGCATTATGTGCAGGATTTATGCCTTTAGAGCTTGTACTTTTGTTATGTTGTAAACTTAGGTCGATGAATTGATTAAAAATACCTACCCAAATCAGAACAGTACTCCAAATTTTAATGTCTCAAAGTATAACAATGGACGTAGCGATGACGAGCATTCTGAAGCATTTTCTTTGGCTTCCAATATCACCAATACTAATGACGCAAATGGTAAAAGCTTATAAATTGCTTTCTAATCGCTTGGATAAACTAGTGTAAGCTGTACACCACTATAAAAATTTTGTGTGATTTTCACCTTTTCATAGTTAATGTTGAACCGCGATTTTCGACACCTTCCGGCAGCGATATGGAAGATGGCATAAAATCTGATGATACTTCGCTATATCCGTTTTCAGCCATGAAAAGGCGTAATTGTAAGAAATGCAATTAGAATCTGTTTATTAGTTATAAATTATAATATACTGTACGTCTCATCCACTCAAGCCTTACATATGTTTATACTAATATATACTGTAATCTTGCAGCATCTCCCTCATTCTCAGAAGCTTCTGAAATTTCTATGGAGTCTGTTTCAAGAAATATAACATGTAACCGAACTTAAATTATATATGATCTTCATTGAATTTATCAATTTTAGATAGCCTACCGTATTTTAACTCAATTTCTATGATATGAGGCTGTGATATGGTACAAGGTTACACTTTATGTGCTGTTATTATTCAACTCCTTCAGTAGGCTACATAATATAGAAATGATAGGATCTGCACTCTTCTACTATTTCTTGAGGTTTTATTAATTATTATTAGGTCAAGAAAAAAGGGGTTACAGTGATGCTATTAAGATTAAAAGTAAATCGTTTTCAAGAGAACCAACCTTTACCAACAACAACGTTCGATTCAAGTAGAGCTCAATTTCGAACAGTAGCTTTTATTTAATTGCTATCTTGCTAAAAGCTTAATTTATTAGCAGAATATTTTTATTTTATTCTATTAATTGATATCGAAAAAATGTTTTTATTGTTCATCAAGATTTGTGCGTTACTGTAGATATAATGCTTTCATGAATTTTTACATTTACAGAGAAGATCTAAGAAAAAGAATCAGTGCAACTGCATCAGCGAACAGCCAGGATAAGATTCCATCGATATTTTCAAGGCTTGACGTAGGAGTAATTTATGACTGAATGCTTTGATAAAGATTGTTCGAATATAATATTTATCACGGTTTAGTTAGATCATTCAAACATTACGATTGCTTAATTAGTTAGATTCCTTTTACTTTATTTCAATGCTACACCATGTAACCTAACCTCCACATGTAGTATGTATGAATGTACTTTTAGTTTAGTTTAAAATGCCCTCTTCTCTACATTATCACTTATGAAGCAAAAACTGCATCGGTAAATTATATAATTTTATATAATTGTACGCAAACCCCGTTGAAAATAAAAATCGCAGGTTTTAGTTTATTAATTTTTGTTGTATATCTGATTCATAGATGAATTGGATTGCATTTAATATTCTGATATGTTATTACTATTAACTTATAACTTAATAAGCTACTTTCTTTTGACTAATTAAATTTATAGATGCGATTGATTATTAATTAATAAAAATAGTGAATGTTTTAACGAGTATCTATTTGAATATGAGAATGTCTATTTTTGCTTGTATAAGTACAAACGATTTTATAGCCGTTTTGAGCAGTTATGCAGTTAAAAATAGCTTGATATTAGTACTAGCAGGTTATCAAATTCTTTGGCATTTTTTCGTTAAACATTTTATATTAAAATCTAAATCTACTATATGAGATAAATCATGTATGACTAATGAGCTAATAATGTAATTTGATACATTATACTTCTTCATTCTTGCAATATCGTATTAACTGTGAATTGCGATTTTAATATCATTAATGTATAGATCTCCCGGAAATCTGCAAGTCCCGTAGGGTGCACTAAAGAGCAGAATGGGTTGGCATCTGTACTTCAAAGATTGCGTGATAACTCAGTGAAAGGTAAATCTAATTGTAAAATTAAAATTTCTGTTTGACTACAAATTGCCACTGAGTATCACTATTACTACTGTTTAACCTATTATTACTGCTCAATGAATATTGTTATAACGTTATTATCAGCTTTTCGCTAATCTAATCTATTTACATTTATATTACGATGTGAATGAAATATTTAAAAATGATAATTATTACTATACTGTATTCGTTATTGATCGGATTGGACTATATCAGTAACTTCAATGAAGAAGCAAAGTTGCCCATTTATTGTTTACGCTATCCATTTAGCTGTGACAATTGAGGCTGTTTCTGTACTTGTAAATCAAAGGGCGTACTAATGGATCCAGGAAATCATCAGGGTCATCCAAGAAAAAACGAAGACGTCCGTCAAAACAGGAAAGACTCAAAAATAAGTTGAAATAATTCGTGCTACGTTGCCTTATCAATTTCGAGATTTTTCATTACTAGTACCACAAGTGAAGATTTGAACTTTTAATATCACAAAATTGATTTGCTTGTTGTAATTATTTTACTTATGGATAACAGTCTGTTAAATATCTATAGTAAGGACTATTGTTTAGTATACCGCTCCAATGCTGATTGCAATCTTCTGTACAATAAAGCTAAACGATATTGATGTTGTCGTTCAAGTTTATTAGTTGTCTCGTTGACCGCTATGGAAGCTAATAAAATTCGATAGAAGTAATCGATTTGCGTTATTTTCAGCTACAGTATGAGATATTGTTTTTATTTATTACCTATTACTAATTGATAAATATGAAATGTTACAGACTGCAAGGATCTCTGCAACCTACTAGGATATCTCGTATGTCGTTTTTCACATGTACTGTAGACATCATACGACATTGTAGTTAGACTTAAAAATGTAAAGGTTTAATGCACTCGTAATTATTGCCAAAATAATGAGATCATCGAAGGTGACGAAGTACTGTATGATCGCAACTATTTCTATAAAACAATCAGTAAATAAAATTTCATTGAAAACATTGAGGTTAGCGTTAAAGTGATCTTTACCTAGTTTTGCAATAAATTGCAATATTTAACAGGAATGTACGTATAGTAAATAGTATCAGCTGTAAACAATTTCAGTCATTTGCTTAATACAAATTTTATGGCGTTGAATGTCAATAGGCTAGCTATTACATATTATGTTACAATTGTTTAAAATGAAGGGAACCGTATGTTTCCTTTAGATATAATTGATAATCACAAACTATGCATGTGCACATAAATGTAGCTTTTTAGATATCATATGGTTCAGATTGCTGTATTATGTAACCATTCTAATTGTTTCATGCAGTATGATATTCAATTTTCTTAATATTAATACATTGATGCATTATACTAGCTAACTAGAATCTTTTTAATTTTATCGTGTCTAGCGTTCATAATTTATCAAGCCATCGCCCATCGTTATCGCGTCGATGCACTGTATTGGTAAATTACAAAGGTTTGTGTTCAGTATCACGAAGACAGAATAATTGGTTATTGAGGAACGGCTAGGAGAAACTGCTTGTATAGTGCTCCTGAATAAGATAAAAAACTGCTTTAAAGATGGTAAGTCCTTACTTTAATGAGCAGTCGTATGCCTTGTAAATGATAAAGGTACTGACTTATAATTTTATTTATCCTCGTAGATGCTCAAAGTGTTGGTAATCAAATGCGTTTCTTTACCAAATGTTGAGAAATTTCGTGGAGCAAGCGATCCATTTGCCAAAATTCATTTTCGAGGTTTGTATAAGATAGAAAAACACCATTCCTATAATTTCGATATATTGCTAGTTATCTCGCCAATTTTAGAAAATTTTTCATTCATGATTTCTATCCTTCCAATTGAGATATTTTAGATCCCACTTAGTATATACATATTAAATTAGGTAGCTGATAAAGTTGATTGAAATAGCCATTAATTACATAAATGTAAGCTGGGATATCATTTTAAGTTATATTTTATATATTTTTGCAATTACTAGCAAACTTGCAATGCGTTTGATATTTACTTGAATTACATAAACAAGAGTGCCATTATTCATTTACCCAGAATTTTACACCCCTACTTATGGTAGTTTGGCTACTACTCTCTGTTCTTTACATAGCCGTACAGTACACTAGTACAATTTTATTCATGAATGTATGCAATGCATATTATACCTCTAAAGGTTCGTCCTACTCTAGAATAGGCTCACAAGAATTTTGAGTTTCAAAACGTAATGTAAAAATTAAGATTTATTTAACACCAAACAACAGTGCAAAACGTAACATAGAAACGTAAGCGTAAATGTAATGTGCACTGTATGTAAGCGAAGACAAAGATAAAAATGGCAATATTAGCATACTATAATATCTAGTTTTTCTCAAAATGAGAAAATTATTGCAATAAATCGCTCCGGATCTTAAAATCGATGAAAAATTTTCAACACTTGAACTCATTCCTTATTTATTCCTCTTTTTCTCAAGCCTATTTTGCGATAATCTCAAATTTTCTAGTGCCTAACATTGATATGGATGTTAAATGATATCCAAGATATTATTAACTGGAATTAAGTAAAAATTTTTACACTTCAGAGTTAGGTTTCAGGTTCATGTTAGTTTGACCTAGTGGGCCTACCAAATTCTTTTAGGGCTTCGTATCAAATTGATTGTAGCATAAATTTTATAAAGCATACGGTATACAAAATTAAGAATAAGTTTTTTCATCCAAAGCAAGCACTTTGGTTATAGGTTGATTAATTCTAAACTAAGAGTAATTGTCTACTAGCTACATAGAATATTCGTTAGTAGACAAAATAACGAACTCTTTCAAATACGCTAGTTTGGTAGCGTTTTATGAATATCGATAAATTTGATAATTTTCGTATTTCAAATATGTTTTTTCACTTTTATTATGTCCTGATTGCCGCAATATCTTCGGGTAAATGACGTGCAATTGACCTTACAAAGCAAATAAAAATATTAATTGTACAGTAGCAGTACCAACGTGTTTTATTTACATATTTTCAACTACCTATTTGTCAATATTATTGATTTTGTACTGAAAATTATCTTATTCCCACAGTCGCTAGCATGATTTAATTCGATTTTTCATTAAACGTCTTGTTAATTTTCATGATTGTAAAGAGTTCACATAGCTATGTGTAAAAACGCAATAGAATTTAGTTTTTCTACTATTTATTCAATAAACGATGCCTGTAAACGTAGATTAATTAGTAAATATATAATTATAACAGGTATAAGATTCGTTATTGCACAGATAGTAGGCTAGTACATCCGGAACGACCATTTGTTGCCGTTGGTATAGTTGAGATTTGTATTTACAATTTCTCGATTGGTTAAGTATCGGATTAGAACTATTATTGTAAGAAAAGTAATGTTGTGGTATGACTTAAGAACACTATTAGGACCTAATATTATCATGATGGTTATTTTTTGATCCTCAGAAATATATAGAGATAATAAAGTTGAGAGTCAAATCTGTGTATCTGCTTATATTTTGCAACAATTGATATTGCTAGTTCGTCGATAGTATTTAAATATTCCTGCCAGTTACAATCTGCTGAAAATATTTCCTGCAATTTATGTCATTTCAAGTAACTTTGCTGATAATTACTTTCATAAATTATAGATGTGAAAAAGAAAACGCGTAAGATCAAGAACAACTTAAATCCTGAATGGAATGAGGTGAATATGTATCTGATTATTTTAACTGAAATGCTATAGCTACGAAATTAAAGTGCAAATTTACGTTGGAGTTTCGACTACTGTCGCAGAAAAAAACTCTAATCATTTCGCGATTTGGCTGTAGTTATTTAATTTTGATGTGATATTTCAATTATAGACTCTAGAATTTGATCTAAACGGTAAACCATTGACTAGAAATGAACAACTTGAAATTCAGGTTAAAGATTGGGAAATGCTGCAGAGCAGCAGGTATGTTGTTACATTAACGGTTGGTCTTGAATGATTGTTATAATAGTGTTCACAAAAGGATCGAACTATCCTTTATATGATTACGATATCAGTCCATAAACGAATTTATACTACGGTAAAGAATGTCTGGATATATTATTTGGTTAAGTTAACAATATTCTTCAAACCAGAGAATAAAAATTCTACTATGATCTTCGACAATGTAACTTGTAGAAATAATATAATTGTTACTATTTGCCGGTATTATTTAGCTAAAGTTATATATAACAACTCCACGCTTGCGATTCATTTATTATGATAAACTATCTGCAATTACTTTACGAAAGACTAATAATAATGATATGATATCTGTTTTGCAGATTGCTTGGCCAAGTGACAGTTCCTTTACAAGAACTAATTAATAGCAAAACACAAGACTTAACATTACCACTAAAAGATGCCCATGAAAAGACATTAGAGGTAATTTATATCATTATTTGAATAGATATAATCAGACGTAAACGTATTTTTAGCTAATTTTCTTAAATATTACAACTAAAACATTGCGTATTTGACTAGGCAAAAATTAGTTTATCATTAGAATATCAAGGTGCGCCTAATGATGAAAATCAATCTGCATCTAAAGACGACTCTGGTGGTGGCGTTATTACTGATGAAAATGATCCTACAGTTGTACAAGAAGGCGATGACAAGAATGACAGTGATGAAAACGAGAGCTCTGAAGCAGACGAAGATCGTGCTGCCAAACCTTCTGTCGGTGCTATTACCTACGGTGGTGGAAAGTAAGACGATATTACCCATTTTATTATTAAATTTGTATGTATATTATATGCATTTAGCTGTGAATGGTTTGCGAAACAGCTCATGATTCTACAATATTGGCTACATTGTATCTAACAGGAAGAGACGTGTTCGAAGATTAAGACGTTCTAAATTGTCGAATAAACCTCAAGATTTTCAAGTACGAAATTGCAGCTCGGATAATTTATAAGGAATTAATCCGCTAAAATTATAAATTAGTAAAATTGTTTTTTGGGATATTGAAATTAAATAATTATTTATTTATTTATATAACCCGTAAAGGTACGTATTAAGATCATCGAAGGTCGCCAATTATCAGGTTCTAATATCAGTCCAGTGGTGCGAATCAGTGTTGCCAATCAGTCCAGACAAACAAGAGTTAGAAAAGCAACTAACAAACCATTTTATGATGAGGTAACTGTTGAATTAGAATCGATAAGCGTAAACATGAATATGCTATAATGCCAAATTTTAGCACAATGATCAAGTATGTGGACATACCTAAATGCTAACTTAACTTAATTTCCGCCTTTACATTTATAAAGCCGGTAAAGTCTTACGCAATAATTACCTTTAATTTTATTTTATAGATGTTTTTCTTCAACTTTCATATGTCACCCCAAGAATTGTTTGATGAACTTATTGTCTTTCAGGTATATTGATAGTATCTGAAAATCAGGTTAAATCTAAGACATCTGACCACAGGATTCATTACAATATTAATATGCATTATACACTGCCGGCTTTAGTGAAATACTCTCACCATTAAATTAATTAATATTGTAGGTATTTAATGCAAGAAAGCTGAGACATAATTCTCTCATTGGATCATTTAAGGTAATACGATTACAGTATGTTCGAATCCTGATCTCACTTTGAATTCTTAATGTAAACCAAGTGTTAACAGCAAAATTTTCACTACGTTTGTTAAACTAGATCGATATAGGAATGGTCTATGAAGGAGATCGTACGTCCAATAGATCAGTTATTCAAATTCATGACTGTGGCGTTATAATTTTCTATTAACGTTGTAAAATTTATTATTTATGGGATTACGCCGATGAATCAGAGCATGCATTTTTAAATAAATGGATAATGTTAACAAATCCTGAAGATATCGGTCAAGGAGTTAAAGTATAAACGCTGTTGTTAAATTTAATTACGTTAATTTATTGTAAAGTGTTCAGATAGATGACTAATGAAATAAGCGTTAAAAACTGTCAATGTATCACCGATAGGGCTATATTAAAATGTGTGTCATCATACTTGGTGCCGGTGATGAAGCTCCGGTTAGTACGAGTTTTCAATGAGTAAATGCGCTTCGGTACTATTGTAACATTATCTCTATATTTGCGATTATAGACCATTCCGGATTCACATGTCGAAAAAGACGACATTGAAGAGTTAGTTATCATCTAATTATCGCAATAAAGCCATAATTGCCTAATTTTAGTTATAAATTTCATTTATTTTACAGAAACGTTTTGCAACCAGCTGGCATTCAGTTACGACCAGCGACATATTCATTGAAGGCGTATCGAGCAGTAGATATTCCTAGAAGTATATTTGCGAGCCTGAATTATAACTGTCGTAATTGATGATCTTGAAAATGCATCTAATTAATTAACTTTAGCTGTTACCAATTTTCTTTTCATCTAGTGGATAAAGGTGTATTTGAAGGGGTTAAGAAGTTTTTTGGTCATGGCGATGTAATTTTTTGATTTTAGATACTTGTCAGATCTTAGCAATATTTGTATTTTATATATACATCTATGATATCGTTAAGAACGTCTACACCAACTAGGTTAGAAATAAAAATTCCTTTATTCCTTAAATCATATCTTAGGATAGCAAGAGTTTGGTGGATCCATATATATATTTTTCATATGCTGGTCATAAGGTTTGCACTAATGAATAAATATTTAAAAAATCTTGCCTTTGTAATGTTGTGATGTTAGAGTGAATTTGTGTATTTATACTACGCGTGAATTTTTCAGGTAAAATCAAAAACGATTTGTAACTCTGATAATCCGGAGTGGAGACAGTACCTTAATATCGGAAGCAGGGTAAGAAGACAGTTCTGTGAAAAACGGAATATTCATTTATGAATACATAGTGCACTTCCAGCTTGATAGTCTTTAACAAAATTTATTCTCTCATGTTGAATGATGAAGATGTCTAATTTATTTTTAGTTTCCTTCTATGTGCGAGCGTTTACAAATATCCATATATGATTGGTAATAGTGCCTTTTTATCTTGCTATTCTTATGGTGCAATAGATGATTCTACTTATGATTATCATAGAGACAGTAGATTTACCATATATATTAAATATGGTAACAACTGTAAAATAACTTTGCGTCCTCAATTAGCACTAAGCAATCCTGCAAATACACAATTATTAACTATGGCATATTTTACAATGATTAAAATTATAAATTAAGGGATCGCATGAACAAAGATGATGTCATTGGTACTTACTTTTTAAATATTGCAGAAATATCTTCATCGTCAGATAGCAAGGGTTAGCTTAAAATTCGATAGCTTTTTCATAATCATTATTGTCATGATATAAGAGAAATATCACTTGCTCCTACCATAACCTACGGGTATCCCAAAGAGAAATTAATTCATAGTTATAATCATAAAAATGACAACTTTTATCGTTACAGGATTTCCGCCCACTTTTGGCCCTAGCTTTGTCAATTTTTACGGATCACCTAGAGAATATTCAGATCTCCCAGATGAATATGAAGACCTAAATCGAGGCAAAGTTAGTTAGAATTCCTTTAGATTAGAATAAATTACATTGTCACCTAGATCGATAGCATCGGTAGAACGATTTCTTCGCTCTATCTTAGCGGAGCCAAGATATTGCGTCATTGGTTTGGTTGAGATTTCTTCAACTATATGCAACATTTCTGCTAGGGAGAAGGTGTTGCCTACAGAGGGCGAGCGTTAATTGAACTGGTAACTAATGTTGGTGAAATGCCTGAATACCCCGTCAATAATATAGAGGATCCTGAAGTTGAAAGAGCCAAGGTATCTACTATTTCTTCACAAATAATATAACGCAGTTTTAGTTTAAGGTGTCTCTTCAATTAATGTTGGACTGTAGTTATATTAAAGACTTGTGACTAAAGTCTATTACTAAACAGTATCTTGTGAGCCGATATAAGCTGATAGACTTTTCGTACTTACAGATGCCATACGCGTACACGTATGTCACAGTAGTATGAAAGCAATTCCTAAGTACCTGTTGAATTTGTTAATAATACCATGTGTATCTAGTATCAGCAAGAAGTTTGTCATTTTTAATTAAATCTTTACATACAAGGCATATTCTAATTAATCTTATTTCTTATAGATATTCATACTTATTTATAAAATTTAATTTTGTATTATTTAGATTTTCATGCGTACTAGAAAATATTGTTTACATGCTACTTTCATGGAGGCCACAATGATAACCGTTGCTGACGCTCCCATTGAATTTGAGATTAGTATTGGTAAATACTGTTTTATTGCGCAATCTGTACAATACTATAGTATTAAGGAGACGCATTGATTCTTGCAAAGATTTAATCTTATTGTGTGCCTATGTAGGGAATTATGGAAACAAACTAGATGATACAGTAGCTGCTGCGTCATCAACAACACAGCCAACTAATGCTGTATACGATGGTAATCACTTTTATTTCCTGCCCTGGTTTGATAATAAACCCTGTGTAGCAGTAAACGCTGATTGGGAAGACATATCATATAGAATTGATAATTACAACTGTCTTTGTAGAATATGCGATCGCCTGGTACGTCGCTATTTGAGACAAGTAGTTGTTAATTTTTGAGTAAATGTTATGATGTGTTAATTAATATAAGAAATTAAATACCGACTATTATATTGGTAAAAGTTTATTGGCATTTCTCTGTTTCTGAATATTATTGTAATTACACGTTTTATTTGATGAAACTTTACTTCAAATGACATATTCTATTCAGGAAGAGAACATAAAGGTGGTTAAAAATAGTTATCGAAGAGATTTACCTACTGCAGAAATTGCTGCTCAATTAATTGGTTTGATAGACACTCTAATTATAGATACTAAGTGAGTAAGATTATGTATATATTATTATACTAGCAATTAGTTTGAATTGCTAGCGGCTATTGTAATGTGCATATTTACTTTATAGAAAAGACCTAGGCAGTTTCGATAAGGCCATTTGGACTGAGTTGGACGGCCAGTTACATTCCATGCGGTTATCAGAATTGGTAATTTGCTAGTTAATTATAACATTTTGCTAGTATAGGCTGTGTTATTAGCTCTACAATACATTTATAGAGATTACTACTGCATTTACAATTCTAGCTTATGTGTATTCTCAATTTACAAAGTTTGCAATTATATGTTATTAAATTGAATCTACTGAGATTTGAAAGCAAATTTCAAAGTGTATTATATGTATATTAGCAATCTTTAAATGGATCATCAAGAAAACTACTAATTTTTTATCGAAAAATTTAGGCTGGTATCAGAGTTGAAGCTGAACGGCTACGTGAGAGCGCTACCGATATTAAGGAAGTAATAACGGAATGTGAAGGTTATCTCCAGCGTTTAAGGGATATCGCCATCGAGGTAAGTTTTCAGTAATTTCTGATGGTGAAACTTGTTATTGATGTTAATAGGTGTATTTATTAACGTTATCCGTTGATTTAAGAAGTTAAAGAGATAGAATATATAGTTTAAAAACTTTGACTGTACAAGATCGGTTATACTCTTATTAACTTTAATCTGCTATTTTAATACTGTCATATTTTCTCATAGCCTCAAAATAGTTTACCCGATGTTATTTTGTGGATGCTGTGTGGAAACAAGCGTGTGGCTTATTACAGAATGCCAGCTTGCGACGTTCTCCATTCGATGAACGAAGATCCAGATGCTACAGGAAAATATTGTGGCAAAGTGCAAACGATAGCGATGAAAGTAATACATGCCTTTGTTAATACAATGTTAGTGAAACCAATTGTTTAACAATAATTATATTTGTAAAACACGTACTTGTATAGTATCCTGGTAAAAAATCACGTAGCAAGCGCCATTGGGATATTCCTTGCTTTTTACGGTTACAAGTTTGGCTCGGGCTGGCTAAGAATGAGTCAATATGGACTAATAACATTCATAGTAGAGGTGAAATATCCATTGTAGCTGAAACCGTAAGTAAAAATTGATGAACTCATAGTATTTGATATGAGGCTGTTATTTAAACAGGACTGTATTAGATGCTAATCATAATTTTTGCGACTATACGGAATATATGCTACATTTCGATATCCTATTTTATTAGTATGAAAATCAAATGAACGTTGTCGGAATGTGGACATCAAAAGGATTGCCCCGTCCCAAATTCTCGGATGCGCGCGGAACTGTAGGCATTAATATTTATTATAACTAGCAGCGTATGATTTGTGATGCAAGTTAAGCTATTGTATTGCAGGTAAGCCTGCATAAAGACCATTTCGTAGAACCGCAAGGATGGAAATTTGAAGGAGATTGGTTTATTAGCGTTGAATCTAGGTCATTAGATATGAGTGCATCTAATTATGGAAACAATATAAAATAAGATTCAATGCCATCAGCATGACTTGTTGCATATCTGTTTTCATATTCAATCATATATAGCATACAGTATGATCTAGATTCCGGCCGTAAAGTGTTTTTGGAAGACGTATTTGAGAATGAAAGTAGGGTTATCCCAGGTGGTCCATGGCAAGCAGCAGGAGATCCATGGACCGATGTGGTAAGTGATATTGTAACAAGATGATTTCGGAGTAACTTGTAGGTATAGTTGTTTCTATAACTTAGCATTTAAAGATTAAACGCGATACTTTTGGAATGCTGAAGTATTCTAAGTAATAGCGCTTAGATTAAGATGCTTACATCATTAATATATTTTATGTAATAATGACAGAAAGGAGATCATGCGACAGATCGTGACGAAATACCGTTACCAGAAGGATGGGTATGGGAGGCTGAATGGCAAATCGATTTGAACAGAGCTGTGGACGAACATGGATGGGAATACACATTAAGTTCTGGATATAGCTCAGTAGAAAAAAATTATCATCTCTATAGGAGAAGACGCTGGGTTCGTCGGCGCAAACTAACAACTAGTTTGCTGAAACATGGAACTGTGGTTAGAAAGGTAATACAGATAATTAACTCATGGAATAATATTAGCAGTGATCTTTATTCTTAGGGTCTTTCACGAATCTAACACAGGCAAAAAAAAAGCCGCCAAAAGATGATGATGATGTTTGGGAGTATGCAAAGATGTTCATCACAAAATTTCATAGCAACAGAGCGAAATCTGATTTAGTTCGTAGACGAAGATGGCATAGAAATCTCAAAGCAGTCAAGCCGAATAAATTGCCGATATTGGTTATTAAGGTATATACCTGATCTAAAAGGACAACGTTCGAGTAATATATGATCCACTGTCATTTACTTACAAATACCAAAGCTCTAACTTATCCATTAATTGACGGTATAGTTTTATCTTTCTATACTTTAAATTGTATCCGCTGTCAAGATAATGGCTGTTATTTTCTTACTTTAAATAAAATTTTGTTAAGCAAATTATGACTTTGGGGAGATATTTTACTATATAGGACGAAAAACATAAAGAGCCATTTACTTATGCTCCAAGAATTTTTTTGGTACCAAAAATGAGTTAGTAGTAGATATATGGTAGATAAATAATCCGTTTGACTTAGTATTTGGTGGTATCTAAATCAGAGAGTTTATCCATAAACGTACTTGTGACTCCTAACATGTTCAATTACCTTTTATTCTTAGAGCCTAGAAAATTTCAATTACGTGCTTATATTTATCAAGCTCGGGATTTATTAGCCGGAGATTCTAATGGATTATCAGGTATTTTAGCTTCAATTAAGATCATGAAGTGGCATAAGAAAATGGTACAATAACATATGAGAATTAGCTCTATTTGAGCGACTGATCGACATTTACATTCCACTTTATATCTTTTGCGCAATGCACAAATTAGATCCTTTTGCTCGAGTTGCTTTCCTAAATATGAGTCAGGAGACGGAAACAATTAGTATGACGTTATGTCCAACCTGGGATCAGACATTAATTTTCGATAATGTTGAAATATTTGGAAACACGGAAGACATAATGCTAAACCCACCTCCAATTGTAATAGAAATATTTGATTACGACAAATTTGTAGGTTTTTCCATTATTTTCACACGCAATTTAGAATTCTAGTCGCCACTTAAAAGCTCATATAACATACAAAATTATTTGGTATGCATTAAATTGGCTACAGGGATCTCCGGAGTATTTGGGTCGTACTATGGTATCCCCAATGGTCAAATGGAATCCAAATGAGGCCCGGACACCCAAGTTGGCATGGTGTAAAATAGAGAGATCAAACGAATATGGCGGAGAATTATTAGCAGCTTTTGAGTTGCTATTGGTAATTTATTTAGATTTAAAATTTGTTTAGTCTATGATTAGATTGCGAAAGTTGTACAAACTGAATTCCCATAGCGTCAACTTAAACAAAAATTTATAGGATGAAGGAGCTGATCTTCCTTTTGCGCCTACGAAAAAAGATAACGTTTATATAGTACCTCCTGGTATTCGACCAGTTCTCCGAAGAACTGCAATTGAGGTTGTAACTTCTTAATTTAGATAATGGTATGGTAAAATTAGCAGCAAGTCCATCGGTTTCACCATAAAATTGTTAAAATTTATTATTGAATAGCATCAGTATCTGCTATTGTAATGATAGCATTTTGATAAATTTTAACCAATATTGTATTAGGTATTATGTTGGGGAGTAAGAAATCTGAAGAGATATCATTTGCTTGACGTACACTCGCCTAGTATTGAGTTAGAATGTGGTGGCAACATTCAAAAATCAGCTACTATTAAACATGTTAAAAGAAATCCAAATTTTAGTGATCCTGTTATCTTTTTTGATATAGTAAGTTAATAAGTAATAGCATTTATGATAACTTATTCTGTATAAAAAATTCTGTATAAAATAATAATTCTTCGTACAATTTATCAACAACGTAATTCGATACCTACAGATGTTACCAAAGGAAGAAATCTATACTCCTCCTATGAATATACGTGTTATTGATCATCGAGCCTTTGGCCGAAAACCAATTGTTGGCGTCTGTGTTCTTAAAAGACTAATGGACTATCAGTGTGAACCAGCTACTAGCTCAGACGATGTACCAGAATTGCCTGATGGCTGTGAGTGTAAAGTATTGATATTAACTGCTACCTTGTGTTATAATATAGCACTCTTGTATAAAGTTGGAAAGCGTATCCTATGCTGATTAAATTACATTTCCATTTATTTTTTAGTAATACTGCCTTCTAGTACAGCTGCAAGTCGCGAACGAATAGCAATCGAAATTGAGCAAGCGGGTGAAAGTAAAACTGATGAAGAAGTACGTGGAATTTATTAGCAACTATGATTCTGATAGAGATCTAGTCAAAATTGTGTCAATAAGTGCGATACTTTCAGTCAAAATTAAAAATTAATGTAGGTAAAATGCGATCTTCAGACTTTGGATATAATTTGCCTGCTAATATTTTTAGGATACACCTAAGCAAAAGGAAGAGACAGATTGGTGGTGTAAATATTATGCTTCACGCCCTCATTCCGACGAAATTCGTAAAGCAGGTGATTATCTTGAACGCGGATATTATACTATAAAGGTAGGTTTATACTAGTTATGACTTCAGTATTTCTGCGATCGCACCTTAAAGAGACTATTTTTGTGGTTTGTTTCAGATCTTTGATTGCGAACTAGAAAAGCAAGACGAATTTCATGGCTTTCAAGATTTGATTCAATCATTTAGTCTGCATCGTGGTAAAAATAAGAAAGGTAGCCGAGAAGATGATGATGCTACTACAGTGGGAGAATTTAAAGGGAGTTTCAGGGTTTATCCTTTACCAGCGGATCCAAACATCACCCTACCTCCTAGAATTTTTCAAAGTCTACCACCAAGTAATGTAGTACACTGTACAGTCAGAATTTACATAATTAGGGCCTTCGACTTATCGCCGAAAGATGCCAGTGGTTTGTCAGACCCATACTGTATTGTATCGATTGGTAAAAATAAGATTAAAGATCGAGAAAATTACATAGCAAATGATTTAAATCCATTGTTTGGAAGGTTTGATTTGCCTACCTCTAGTCGATATATCTTCTATTATAAGAGCATAATTTATATAAGGTTATAAATATATTTTACAGAATGTTTGAATTATCATGTCAATTGCCTTTGGAGAAGGACCTTAAAGTATCCATTATGGATTGGGACCTAATTAGTAAAGATGATTTAATTGGAGAAACAGTAATTGATTTGGAAAATCGGTACCTTTCCAGATATAGAGCCACGTGTGGTTTGCCCAAAAATTACTGCACGTAAATATCACATTCTAAAAATATTTGGTTAATAAACAGTTGCTTTGTAATTTTACAGACATACAGCTATCCATAGTTGATATTTTATTGTTTACTTGTAAAATAATTAATACGGTACGTTTTATATAAGTTCTGGAATCAACCAATGGCGGGATAGTCAAACTCCCAAAGAAATTCTTGATGCCTGGTGTGAATCTCGTGGGCTACCGGCTGTTCGTTATATCAGCAATACGCAGTTATTAATGGATGGAAGAATATATTCTCTAGATGATTATGGTAAGGACACCAAAGTTGTATCACTCATGTACTTTACTATATATCGAGTGAATAACAAATAAAGCCGTTTAAAGGCAAGTCACACCGTGGACGTTCATTATTATTGTGCTTTTTTAATTGCAAAAATATAGAGCAAAATATCAAACAGCACGAGCACTTAGGGCCTGCTGATCAGCGATTAGCATTACACGCTTTATTATCTCAAACCGTTGTTCAGGAACATATCGAAACAAGACCCTTATATAGTCCTTTGCAGCCTCTTATCGAACAAGTAAGGATGGTGACGAATTATAGAAATTTAAATTGATACCTCATATGGAAGATATTGTCTATTCAATAGGGTCGACTACAAATGTGGATAGATATATTCCCAAAAGAACTAGGAACTCCGGGTCCTCCGTTCGATATATCACCACGTAAACCGAAACTGTAAGAAAATCCACAATTAGGGTTATATTCTCATATTATTGTTTAAACAGTACTAACTATATGAATGGTACGTCTTAGGTACGAGTTGCGTGTCATAATTTATAATACTTCTGCTGTTATCCTTAACGACAAATCTATAACTGGTCAACAAATGTCTGATATTTACGTAAAAGGGTAAGCAACATATTACGGATCTTAACTATATTTTGTCATGATTCTTTAGGAATTGAAGAAATTATCATTATTTTGACAATTAACTTTACAGTTGGATTCGTGGAATCGACAAAAAAGCAAAAACCGACGTCCACTATAGGTATTGTTATCTATTGCCTAAATATTAAACTTACATACTTACCCTTTGCAAATGTTTATGGGTGGTAATTCATGACTACGGACTTTGAATCCCTGCGATTTATAGTATTAGATTCTTTAATACTGTGTCTGTCATTTTAGATCACTGGATGGCTCTGGCAACTTCAACTGGCGTTTCATATTTCCATTCGATTATATGCCTGCTGAAAAATGCTTGGTGATTAGCAAAAAGGTTAATTCAAAAATATTAAAACGTTTGTCTATATGAATATAATTAACAAAAAACTAAATTCATATGTCTAATTCCTTAAAGAAACACTTTTGGAGCTTAGATAAAACAACACAAATGATACCACCTGTACTGCAGGTTCAAATCTGGGATAACGATCTATTTTCTCCGGATGATTACTTAGGTAAGTAAAGCTGTGTTAGTTGTGGTTAAAGTTATATATAAGAGTATTATGCATATCAATTACTCTCTACATAATTAAAAATTTTGATTGTACGACTAAAATGTAGTAGTAAGGATTGCATGTATCGTACACTTCGTATAGGCACTTTAGAGTTAGATTTAAATTCTCTTTGCAAGCCTGCAAAATCCGATAAAAAATGCGGTTTAAAGCAATTGCCAGATTGGGAAGATCGATCAAACGCAAAAGACATGGTTTCTCTATTTGAAATGAAGCAAATGCATGGTTGGTGGCCACTCGTCAATGAAGATACCAAGAATCGTCAGCTGACGGTAGTCCTTTCAATATTTGTAGTTTTACTGCCTTATTCTTTAATATAAATCAAATATACTGCATACTTAAGGGAAAAATTGAAATGTCAATTGAAATATTAACTGCTGAAGAAGCCTCTCTAAAGCCTGCTGGCATTGGTCGTAGTGATCCCAATGCCCATCCTCATCTTGATGCGCCAAAGTATGTATAAACCATTTCATCATTTAGCAAAACATCGATTTCGTTAAGTTTACTAGTGAATTTTAAACTATTACATCCTAACTAAATATTATTTTTTTAGCCGACCAGCTACTTCATTCTTATGGTTTACATCACCGCTTAAATCTTGTCGCTTTATTGTCTGGCCGAATATTCGATACTATTGTTGCATTGCTGTATGCATTCTCATCTTGGTAATATTCGTCTTAGTTTTTATCTATGCGATCCCGGTGAGTGAGTAATATTGTTCAATCTGCAGTTTTAAATCCACTGATAATTATATTTTATGTCGTTATAATTCCCATTTTGCTTTTAACCTCCAATAGGACGCTTTGGCAACGAAAATAGTTACTGGAAAATAATATGTATACATAATAATATAAATTTTTTTTATCCATTGCTGCTTCATAATATACAAAATTATAGGGTTAAATGAGTATTATTCTAGATATGATTTCTTGGAATTTGATATATAGATTGTGCTGTTTTAAAAGCTGAGCTGCTTGCTTGACGTGTTTACTTGAATTAGTTCAAAATCGGCTGTTACATTTTTGAATTTTAGAAATTTGTTACGCATTGGTCGCATTCTGCAACAGATTAACTATTTAAAGCTATCAAATCCATGCTGACTTTGTATGAAATGAAAAAAAATCGCATTAACATTTCGATATTTTTACAGTAGAGGCGACTGTTGTTATGCAATTCCTTATGGTAATTATTGTTCAGATTAAAATGAAGCTTGAATTGAAGAATATTTACGTAAAGTTGCCCACGGACTATTAGATGATCTATCATCAAGTACAAAAGTCATTTTTGCAAGAAATAAGTGAAATAAATGGTTCAGTATTGTATGTGCACGTCCTTTAATAATTGAACGATTATTTTATTTGACTTTCAGAATAAGTGCTGGAGAAGTGTGGTGTGTCAATATCTTTATACAAGTATTCTGATTTCCAATTCTAGTTATACCCGAAGTATGTACTTACTATTATTAAACTATAATGCTAATATCGAATTTCTGAAGGTTGAAAAGAATTTTAGATTTTAAAGTCAGTTTGCAATGGTTGTTACTACCGCGCTGTAAATTATAGTAAATTCCTTACGATGTATTTATCTCCGATGCTGTCATATTGATACAGTAGATACATAAAAGTTATCGTGCAGTTGAGTCCTTGTGATATGTTGCATAAGCATACTAGAATGCGGTGGCTCTGTCGGTATGCATCGATAGATCCATCACAGTATTTCGTAGATAGATATTTTACGGATAGAACCTGTCTCATTGATATAAAACTTCATGATTAAGTAACCACCATATTCGTCTTTTATGGCATCCGTATTTGCGTTCACGTTCTCATTGTTGGTCCAGATCTAATCCGGATGCATTCGTTCCGGACGCTAAGACCTTTTTAGCCTTACAGTTAAAGAATTACAGCGTAATTCACAGTGATTTTCCTTGGCTAAACCTCTAAAAGCCCAATCTCCAATTCTCATAGGATAGGCTATTGCTGATTAACTTTAAAATTGAAAAGGGTGTCAATCTATCTCAATCGCCTTATCTTCGAGGATAAATATTTGCTAAGTTTTGTCCATACACCAGAAATTTGACGCCTATCCAACCAAGTATGGTCAATAATGATCTTAATGATGACTATGAAGAGGTTATTAATTCTTATTATTAAGATTGAAAGGGTGTTAATCTATCTCAATCGCCCTATCTTCGAGGATAAATGTTTGCTAAGTTTTAACCATGCACCTAAAATTTGACGCCTATCCAATCAAGTATAGTCAACAATGATCTTAATGATAACCATGAAGAGGTTATTGATTCTTTAAAATTATAAAAAACTACAAATGGAACATCACTCTGGAAAATTAATTTAACAGAATCAATCTGTTTATTACACCCGTAATGACCAATAGCATTTTCTTTAAACGAGGACATCAATATATCATGCCTATAAAGTAACACTTTGCAACATCACAGACTTGCACAGTAAATAGATTATATCGCATTTGAAGGGATGTAAAAAGAATCACCGGAGATACCGAAAAAGGGCGAGAAATGTGACATTCAGTATATTCTTTCAACGCTACACCTAGAACAGGCTAAAAAGTTAATAAAATAATATAAAATGATGCTCAAGCGGATATGGTAAAAACAAATTAACTATACAACGTAATATATTCAAATTAATTTCATTAATTTTGACTATTGTTATTAAATAAAGTAATGGACATTGTTTCTTCATTTCTCAATAGATATTAAAATTATTGTTTTAGTAGACAATTCTATTGAACTTACGTATTCTCTAGGGGTGTAGGATTCATCAACTGGTTAATTTATTCTACTAAGAAGTTCATGAATCGATAATCTAATTACTGATTGGGCGATTCATTGCTTGAATGTTGTTTTTACGATTTGCCCAATTGTTTATTCCTTTTATTTAGCGCTGTTGAAATTCATAGCCATATAGATCAGACTCTGATTAATTAAGAAGCACGATATGAATGATCTCTTCCGTTCCATCACTTAATTAAACAACTAGCTAGTGTACGGCCTGTCGAAGAAATTGGTGTGACTCTTATCCCACGTTATAATTCATCCATTCGTATTATCGACTAACAGAAGGATAAGAACGCATTGGTAACCATCATGGCTTTAGTTGTGGTGGTTAAAAAATGCGTTAATTTGCCAAATGTTGAAGTATTTGGTGGAAAAAGTGATCCTATCACTACTGTAATATTTAGAGGTAAGCACCACTCATGATGAATAAATTACAATCTTCCGCCTTCTTGCATGTGTACCGTAGTAATAGATTAAAATAACTTTAAGCTATGAAAATAACCTACCATTTGCAATAGGTTATCTATCCGTTTAACGTAGTTGTTGTATACGGTAATTCAAATTTAAGATAAAAGAAAACAGAGAAATGCATCCAGATATCTCTTGTATGTTAGTAATTATTCCGTTCGTAAATGTAGAGCTATCATCGTGCTCCTAAATCGTTTGCCATTTCCTTAAATTGAGTTAATGTGGCATTGCTATCAAGGCAGAATAAGGGTGTATTCTTTTAATCAACCCTTACCTTACGATCTTTCTTTATGAATAGATTTTTTTTTCCTTTAAATTTATCCCTAACTTTATATACAAAAATAAAAAATAATCATTTTTTCTGATTTAGCATAAATATGTGATACCCTATCCGCAACCATGATTCATTACGGTCCACTGTATATAAGTCTTTATTATTCTTTAATCTGATTTACGTTAAGTAAGGAAGGTAACTAGTGGATTTAAAGTAGAAGATCAGAATAATCCCTATTCTTTCACGATTAACTTAGACTAATTGTTAAGGCCCAGTGCATGGCACTGACAGATAGCTATCACATCGAGAAAACTGCACTCATTAATTGTTGTTTCTAACGCTTTTGGCATCCAATGCGTGCAGTTATAGCTGCTCACGAAAATTTTAACGTTTCTAATTAGGAGATTAAATTTTTGATGCCTTAAATATTAATTATACGGCTAGTAATCTGTATATTAATTAAATTGACTAATGTTAAGTAAAATTTGATAACCGCAAAAAGATGGAGACAGCCTAATTGTAAATTCGGCAAATGAATTATACTACCACCTGTAAATTGATTAGGAAGTAAGATCATGGATTAGGAACTTGTAACATACGCCATTGCTAAACCAGATTCAATACTTTAGCAAAGTAAACAATAAAATAAGTGACGGATTGAATATCTTGCGGAGATTTTTTAGGATCCAGTTGAGTTTTTATTAAAATAACGGTTAATTGAATCAAGTAAGTAATAAAAATCAGACCCGACATCCGCATTTATTATTTTACGGATCGTAAATAATATAATTAATTCATGTTTACTGCTCCTGCTTTTAATTCGTTACGATACTTTTCTAGGTCCTTTCATTTTTTTTTACACGAGTATTAAATTAAATTAAATTAATACGTTGGAAATGTAAGGAAATGAATAGATTTGTTACTTCGAGTAACATCGCTAAACTTCGCTAAAGTTTGATACGTAACGCTTTTATATTGTTAAATATATTCAGAATAATAATTAGTTCTATTACCTTTAGCCTCATCTTTTAGGCTTCGTGAAAGCTTGAAATGCCTTTATAGGCTATTTATGACCCAAACAATAATCAGTTCTGTCACCTCTAGTATTATCATTTAGTTTCGCTAAAGTTTGGCATGTCTTCCATTACATAATAACTCAATTTAATCAACTCTAGAATTATTTAGTTAGTTTTGCTATAGCTTGAAACGCCTACATAGCAAGAATAATAATCAGTTCAGAGATAGAGTTTAACTAATCTTATAGAGTAGAAGGAACACAAAATAGATTATCTGAAGCCATCATCAGAACTACCTGTTGGCTTAACTAGGTCTTTAAAGACAATTTTAATATCTAGAATGATCTACAATTATACTTTAAAATAAAAAAAAGCTTCGCTATAGGCCCCTGTTGGTACTACTTAACAGATTATACTTAGTCTTCGTGAGTATGCTACAAATATTGACTATTTAGGAGATATTATTAATCAGAAACAAGTACGTATCTTTCATCCCTGCTCAAAATGAAAATACGCGTGAATATTTAGAGTTCAAAATTGAAAATTTATTGTACTCCTATTTCTTAGCTTACTGATGACTATCATCCAAATATTGAAAAATTTTGTTTAGGAAGTATTAATATTTCTCTTTTAGTTGAACAAAGTGCGATATCAAGATTGCATTTACCTTTCTTAATTTGTTAGACAAATTTGGTAGACTATTTGCCTAATCGACGATTGAAGAAATTAATCTGACCTACGTATATTCCATACACTTAGACATCATGAGGACAAAGTCATCAACCAAAACTTCAGTATTTTAGAACACCATATTTATGTTCATAAGTTGATGTTGTGTATATTTTAAAGAATATTAAGTCCACGATGAGTCTGTTAAATTCTTGTTTAGATAATGTAGTGGATTGTCTAGTCAATGTTGAATATAATTCAGGGAATATTAAGTCCACAATGAATATGCTTAATTTGGAAATAATGAGAAATGAACTATTATAATCAATCTAACTCCAGTATCTAGATCGTATTCAGATTTTTAGCGTGCTAGATTCTAGTCTTTTAAATTTTGACGATAAAGCATAAAGGATCGTCAATATTTCAGCGTTTAGATCGAATTCAAATTTGCATTTGTTCGTTAATATCATTGCTCTGTTAAGAATTAATTCATAGTTTAGAACACTAATTCAGGATATTATCATAGCGTACTATGCCAAATATATAGCACCAAAGTAGATTAATCACAGTACAATCTTCTATAGAAAGGAAGATGATTTCGCTGTTGAAATATTTCATGACTACTAAATTTGAGTCCCTATTAACGTCGGGTTATTATTTCAAAATAGTGAACAAAAATGCTGAAAATATCTGCGATTTGATAATTACAGTATAAATAACTACGAGTTGTGGCGAGAAATTTTAATGATGCATAACATGTTTCTTATGTACTAAAATGTTGGTTTCCTATGGATTGGATGTAGGTGAAAAGCAAAAAACCAAAGTCATCAAAAATGATTTAAACCCTGAATGGAATGAGGTTAGTCAAACTAAAGACATCAATTTCAATAATCTAAATAAATTGACTCTATTTCTATTCATTACCGTAGTTATTTACGAAATGGGTTAAGCTATTTGATATTACTGTCTATAAATAACTATTGCATCTGCAGAAGCTGCAGACAATTTTACTATTGCATTGATAAGGCTACACCTGTAAGGCTTGATGTCAATAAACTTACTAATGGCAGTATGTATCTATGTCACCGACACTGCGATTTCTACTAGTTTTGTATGACTTTATTGAACAGCTTTCCCTTAATATAGCACAAATAAAATTCACAGTTATGTCAGCATAGCCTGTGTTCCTAGATGCAATGATAATAAACAAGGGTAGTTGTGACCTCCTACAGCGAAGATTATGATTAACAATAATTTACACTTTACTATCATAATATTCTATTTCTTCTATATTCGTAACAGACACTGAACTTCGATTTGGGTGGCAAACCTCTGACTAAAGCCGATTCCCTAAAGGTCCATGTTAAAGACTGGGAAAGACTCCAGCGCAACAGGTTACATATACATATATATATTCTAAATACTAGAAGTGCAGAAGGTCCTTGCTATCTTGAAGTTAAAATTTTCATCCATGTTAATCATTTTATATTCTATTACCTTAGAAATTGATTACGTTTCATTTTACACTAATACTTTGTAATAACTCATAATTTAATTACCTGAATATAAAGACTGTTAGGTCAAGTTTCGATACCCCTGTTCGAGTTAGTCAAAAGAAAATCTCGAGATGTTAATCTTGCTATGCAAGATCCGAAAGGCAATCCAATGGAGGTAAAGTGTATTCCTATGGCGCTTAATGTCATTATTACCAGCTTTTATTCTTCAGATAGATAGCTAATTACGTTAGATAAAGAATCTTTCATCATTATTCTTTCTAATAGTTTGCATATACCATTATTCTGCATTCGAATTTAAGTACTGCTTAATTCAGCTTTCATAAACTTAAATTTTACGTTATTTCCATTAATCTCTTAGTATATATTAGCATAACGCTATGCAGTTTGTATTAAAATTTCACAAAAAAAGACTTAAAAGCTCTAAGAATAGAAATTATTTTGTTGATTAGACAAAAAAATAGTTCCCCTAAATGAGGTTATAGATAAACTTTACAACTAACGTCAATTAATTTAGGCAACAATCAGCTTGTCTCTTGAATATAACGGACCACCTTCCAGCAAGAGCGAATCTGGCAAAGGTGGTAATTCAGAAGGCGATGCTGCCAATGACGCTGGCGGTGTTGGAGAAGAAGGAGATGAAGAACAAGAAATCAATGAAGAGGGAGACGGTGATGCAGAAGAAGACGAAGAAAACCAAGAAGGCGATGCTGCTCCTAGGGGTACTGGTGGAGTAGCGAGGTATTGCTTTTCTCTTAAACTAAATGCTGTAACATATTTCTGCATTAATCTGCACTTTACCGCTATAATAATGATGATCAGACAAATGCCTTATGAATTTTCTGGAAAGTTTGCGTTGAACTTTTTATTGTAATCCATGTATTTTATATAAAATTTCGATATATAGTGTTAACATTTTATCCATCTTTAGTTATTGAATACATATTTCATTCTATCTTTATAGTTATAACGAATATTAGATATAATGGAACTTTATATAGAATAGAATCGACAGTATATAAGATAGTCAAAAAATTATGATCAGCTATAACTTACATTAAATTGCCTATTTATGCTGTGGCCATTTATTGCAAAATATTAACCTAGATCCAGAAAACGGAGAAAGAATCGCCGCAAACTATCTAAGAAACCGCAAGATTTTCAAGTAATTGCTTACTTTTACATATAAAGTTATTCGTAAACTATTTCAAATGATAGAAATTAAAATGAAAGCTTATACGAATGATATTCTGTCGGTATTGATTGGTTATTGGTTGATAGAAAGATATATGTATTGTGCTGTAATTATATATATATCGTGGAATAGAAAATAGGACAGGCTGATTTATAATTGACATCACATTATAATTCTGCTTCCTCCCTGATCCTATCAATAGGTTCGCATCAAGGTTATCGAAGGACGTCGTCTTGTTGGATCTAATATTAAGCCAGTGGTTCGAGTCAATGTCGCCGATCAATCGCAACAAACTAAAGTTAAAAAAAGGACTAATAAACCTTATTTTGATGAGGTAATATTTAGCTAAACTTGCCTACAATAGATCGGTGTGCATCGATACTTTCAAATACAACACAATCTCGAACTAAAAATATGGCATTAATTGATACTAATAACCATTTTAACTAATTCCTATTTTACTTTAAGACATTCTTTTACAACTTTCATTTGTCACCTATGGAGTTATTTGATGAAATAATTGTTTTTCAAGTATGTTATAGTTATTAAGTGAAAAATTAATTTAATATCTATTTTTCGTACCAAATGAAACCAAGTTTATAATTGATTCTTCAATATAATTATAGGCATTTACAGCTCACAAATATCGATATAATAGCCTTCTTGGATCATTTAAGGTATTCTATTAACAAAAATTCTTGCTAACTACACAACTCTATAATACTTTTACTAATTTACGAAATTCTTGATAATTAGATCGATATTGGAACTGTATATGAAGAAGAAGGTGTTATTTCAATATAATATTATTACAATATTAAAGAATTTATCACGTAGTGAAACTGTCAGTGTAGCGAAAGTATTTTTATTTTTATTTTACGAATTATTTCGATCGTTTTTTAGAGCATGCTTTCATTAATAAATGGATATTATTGACTGATCCTGATGATGGTAGTGCTGGTGTTAAGGTGATTATTTTAAGGAAGGAATATTAAGAGTCACATTTCTTAACATAAATGATTTATCATCACACGCATCATTTCTGCAAGGTGTAATTTGTTTATGCATTTCTAAAATTTTTAAGGGCTACCTAAAAATTTGCGCTATGGTGTTAGCTGCTGGTGATGAAGCCCCAGTAAGAATTTTTAGCTGTGTTTCTATAAGTCCATTTCAATGAAGATCATATTATTACAGTCCTTTTTAATAAATTTAATACTAAATTTTACACTTATTATTTCAGAATATTCCTACAAACTTTCCAGATGAAGATGACATGGAAGCGTTAGTAACCATATTGATTAAATGATTAGAATTTGATTTAGATAAAGCAATTTATTTCCTTGAATTTAATTCTTATTTTATGAAATATTGTCACCCGATATATTGATTAAATGATTAGAATTTGAGTCGGATGAAGGAATTTGCTGCTTTATATTTAGTTCTATATTATGAAATGTTATTACTTTACATATTGATTAAATAATTAAAATTTGAGTAAGATAAAGTGATTTGGCTGCTTAAAATTATTTCTTATATTACGAAATATTATCACTTGATCAGGAATTTACTACAGCCCGCCGGTATACAACTTCGTTCTGCTACGTTTGCTTTAAAAGTTTACAGAGCTGAAGATCTACCAAGGAGTAGGGAAATGATTACTTCAAAATATTTCAATATCAAAGTCCTTAATGCTGAATAAATATATGTATTTTAACTATAAATAGTGGACGTAGGCTTCCTACAAGGCATTAAGAAAGTCTTTGGTAGTGATGTAAGCTTCTTCCATTATGTTATCTTTAATTATCTATAGCAATTTTTGATATCAATAATTTTCCCCAAATTTTCCTATTATATGTCACACGTTAACTATCTAGTATTATATATAATAATATGTCTTTAAACTATGACTATTTTCTTTCTGTGTTGATTATAGGATCAAAAGGAATTAGTTGATCCGTATTTTAAGTTTTCTTATGCTGGACGAAAAGTAAGCTAATTATTACAAAAAGCTATTCGTTGATTTATAAGTTAGATCAACAAAATATCAAATTGACTTGAACCACTTTATCAGGCAAAGACTCGGGTAGAATATAGTTGTGATAACCCAGAATGGAATCAAGAGTTAAGGCTAAAGATTAGGGTAATGCGCTCATATTATTAAGTTTAATACTATACAATTAATATTAAATCTTGATATTTATTGCATCATAGCCTTGATTAACCGAATGTATTGACAGCAAAGTACATTGACTATAGCTCATAAGCTAAGAGGAATTGATCATATTTATGCATATAATAGTAATTAATTAATCAATCAATTATAATTGAAAGCAAACGTGTCTATTTTATGATTTAATGGTGCTCAGTTGCTTAATAAGTTATCTTGCTCTTTATAATCGTTGTTTTTGTAAATAGTTGCCTTCCATGTGCGAAAGACTAAAGCTTTCAATGATAGATTGGTAAGAATTTTAGCGTGTTCTATATTAAAAATATTTGTTCTAAACTAACATTCATTATGTATCGAGAATCAAGGGTAAATAAAAACGCTTGTTCGTTTCATACATTATCAATAAGTTATTTTCCCAATAATTCCGATGTACTGGATAGCGCAAGTGTTAACAGTTTCATCGCAGGAAAACTATTCTATAGCTAAAGTTAAAAATATAGATCCCTTTATATGTATTGCGTGGCTTAGAGCTAACAATTTCAATTAAGTAATTAAATATTATGAAGTCAAGACCGTATTGTCAATTTCTTTCTTTAACTGTGTCTTTAATTGTAATTTCATAGGGATAACGCAGGGCGGAATGACTCTATTGGTACCTACTTCATGAATATTTCCAGTATATCATCTAACAATGAGGAAGGTAATTTTAAAGGGAAAGATTTTCTTAAGTCATTGTAATTTACGTAACTCGTCAAGTCGTAGTGTCACAATTACTGGACATGACTAGAAGTGCCGATTAATCTCTAGCTAAGCTATGCACTTTAACTGGTAGGGTTTCCTCCCACATTCGGTCCATGTTATATTAACTTTTACGGCTCACCCAGAGAATTCACCAGTATTGATGAGCATGAAGATCTTAATGATGGAAAGGTATGTCAGTCAGTATAGTATATAAAATAATACAAGATGATTCCGTTATTCAATTTAATCATTTAAAATTGACTATTCGTCCCGATGAATTCATATAAATTTTTTAAGTTAAATTTAAGATTTATATTTATTATTATATACGTAAATCTATGTTTCCATGTCAAACACGGAAAACTGCTTTAAGCTTTCTTCTATTCTCCTGATTATAATCCATACACGATAAATCAGGGAGAAGGTTGCGCTTACAGAGGGCGGGCACTGATCGAGCTGTCTACTAATGTTGATGACGAAAATGATGCATCTGTTACCGAAGTAACTGAAGAAGATTGTGATAAAATCAAGGTACGATAAAGATATTACCTAGCAACCAAAACACAAAGCTTCAATTTAAGTAGAATGTTACTGATTTTACTATGGATAACTGGTATGACTTATTTACTCAACTTTAATATTTTCTAAATTGGTACATAAACATAGCTTTTCATGCGCACCAGAAAATTTGCTCTTCATGCGGCTTTCCACGAAGCAACCATGATTAAAGAAAAAGACTGTCCTATTGAATTTGAAGTCAGCATTGGTATGATTATAAATTGTTGGCATAAATTTCTATAAATGGGGTATACTATTCTAGCAAAAGTATATTTTTGAACAGTTTAATAAATAAAAAACTCTTACAATGCTTAGGTAATAATGGCAATAAGTTAGACGATCGAGTGCCAACATCATCATCAACAACACCTCCTACTAATGCAATTTTTGACGGCAATTATTACTATTACTTGCCCTGGAATAAAAGTAAGCCTTGTATCACGGTTCTATCTGACTGGGAGGACGTCTCTAAGAGAACTGATAACCTCAATATGTTGCTGAATATAACTAACCGACTGGTAAATTATAAATATTAGTTTCCGTAGTTAATTTCAGTATCTGGTAGTAATTAAGTTAAAATGTAATATTGCATTCCATTTTTATAGCTATTCTTCACGAAAGTGCAATATATCAGTTGATTACAGAAATGAAGGAGCATTAACCGTTTTTTTATGCCCTAAATTAGGAGGAAAATCTGGTTCATATACGTTCAAGCATAAAAAGGCAGATGACAGAAGAAGAAATTATATCCGAAATTACTTCTACGATCAGCACCTTAAAAATAGATCTAAGGTATTTTGCTGGAATCAGGATGCAAAATGCACATGTAGTAAATACTACTAAAATTCATCTTATTTAATCCATTAACTCAAAGATCTTTATAGAGAGGCATACATGCAATTTAGTTAAGTGAAATTTGATTTCTTTTACCTCAGTAAATCTTTGCAACCGATGAATGGCAAGTCATCTAGCACAATATTGGACCGCAAATTGCACGAAATTCGCTTAGCCGAAATGGTATTAATTTCATTGTTTATTGCAAATTAGAAATATATGTAAGTAGGGTAACACATTTGGCTTTGAATAATTGCATTTAGGCATACCTAAAGAATGCCGTTCAAGAATTAGAACTATTAAATCCATTAACCGTTACTGATGCAGTAGAAGAGATTGAGAATTTCGTTCAGCGCCTGAAAGATATAGCATATGAGGTAATAGAGGATTTATGAAAGGGTTATTGTAAGCTTGCAAGCCTCTGTACAACCTAACTGATTACCTTATTAGAGAAAGTTCAGTGGAAATCTGGATATTACATGATTACTTAAATCGACTTTGATTTAGCTTCGCTTGACTTAATGAATGATTTTAATTTATAGCCCCAAATAAGTATCCCTGACGTAGTTATTTGGATGTTATATGGTGAAAAAAGAGTGGCATATTACAGAATTCCTGCACATGAGATTCTACACTCTTCTAATTTTGACCCCGATGCGACCGGGAAATATTGTGGTAAAATTCAAACCATAAACTTAAAGGTCAGTATTTAGAGCAACTATTAATAGCTGATAAATCTGTTATAGTATATCATCTAAAATCATGGAATACAATTACTACACAACTTACGAAATATAAATGTACAGACTGTGATAGAGGGTTCGAAGAGTCAGCGGCTACAGACTTAATAGTTATTCACAGAAATCGTACGACGGGTTTTAATAAAAGTGAAATGCTTTATTGTAGATAGTAATAGAGGCACAATACGGTAGTTGCGGTAGATCAGCATGTAAGCTGTCATGAAGTAACGTAATAAGAAAGTACTACTGCTGTCGCTAGAGCAACTCATGATTTCTGAGGTCGAAATCGACGGTTTTTATAGCTTTTGAGATAGAACATATGCAGAGAACAAGATTGTAGAATGAGATACAACATATGCCATAACAGACTATGTAATAGCAAATGATAGTAGAAAATAGCGAAGACTGTGAGTGCTGTAAGTAACTAATTACAACGAGCCATATTTGAATATGTTGCAAACAGATTGTAAAGATATGCATATTTAAGAGCAGTAAAAAATATCAATATTATGAGTAGATTATAGTTGAAGTACAATCTATATATATATATATGTAACATATACACTACACAGACATCAAGTTATCTGAAAGTTTTCACATATTATAGTAGCCTTTATTCCAAAACTTATATCTTGGTAAAAATACTGTACTTAAAAATAATATAACCTACATTTTTAGTATCCGGGCAAAAAAGCTGATAAAAAATGGAATATTCCATGCCAATTACGCGTTCAACTTTGGCTAGGCTTTGCCAAGGAAAATGCAAAGTGGACAGATATGTTAAGTAACCAAGGTGATCCATCTATCTTTGCTGAAACGGTAATTAATGCTTACATATATACAATTAATGAGCATTTATACTAAGAATTGCTTGGCCCCGTATTCAATGTCTTCCGATAAATAACTAACAGGCAATTTTTCTGTGTTAACAGTATGAAAATCAGCACAATATAGCTGTATGGACAACGAAAGGCTTATCACGCCCTAAATATTCTGATGATAAAGGAGAAGTAAATATAACTTCTTGAATTAAAGCCTCCATATTAAAATTTATCAAGCCAGTCTAAAATCATATATTACTTAATTTCTAAATCAGTTGTACCTAGAGAAAGAGAATTTTATCGAACCAGAGGGATGGGTATTCGAAACAGATTGGTTTATGAGTCCTGAAACTAGGTACTTTAGCTCTGAACTACTGATTACTAAAACCTTTTAGATCTTATTTTATACTCTTAAAATATCGTCAACATCATTAAACACGGAATGCATGTTGTTTCTATTTCTGCTTGTAAAATAGCAATCAGTATGAAAAGGACACAGGACGAAAATTCTATTTAGAAGATATGTTTGAAAACGAATGTCGAACGATACCGGGTGGTAAATGGTACGCACCTAAGGAGCCTTGGACCAATGAAGTAAATACATGCTCATAAACCTTTAATTCTGGTAATAAGTATCATAAATCGTCTATCTAATTTCTTAAATATTACCTGTCTAGGCAAAACAAAAAGTCCCTGGTAAGGAAGAGGTTGTACTCCCCAAAGGATGGGTTTGGGAAAGTGATTGGCAAATTGATTACGATCGTGCAGTTGACGAAGATGGCTGGGAATATACGTTAGGTAGTGGTTATGTACCAGTAGAAAAGAATTATCACTTAGAACGCAGGAGACGATGGGTCAGAAAAAGACGATTGAAGGATGCTTCCGCAGCCAAGAAGAAGGTAAATGAAGTCATAACATTTTAATTGCTCTTAAGATAGAATAAAAATTGCAGTCCAATGAATTTAATATCCGCCTAAACATTATCGACAACCTGGCTAAATCATTCTAGAAGCCTAAGTCTACTTCTAGCGAAGGATGGCAGTATGCTACCAGTTTCTCCAGTAAATTCCATCCTAAAAGTAGCATGACCGATTTTGTCAGAAGGCGCAGGTGGATTAGAAAGCTTAAAGCAGTAAAACCAAAAGGGCCACCAGTATTTGTTTTTTCGGTAAGTCGATATGTTATCTTCTATAATTGGTATTGTTATAATTAAAATAGTTTTATACATATTATACTCGATATTAAGTTCATGTAACTCACTATCGCTTAGTCTTAGTAACATTGAAATCATTTAATTTATAGGATGAAAAACATAAAACAGAATACACTTTAGCGCCGAGAATGTCTCTTGATGTTAAAAGTAAGCGTACATATAAGTGATTCTCTAAGTATTAATTAAAATTTACTAATTAAAAGATATACTTACGTAAATAAATAACTTACCGGTTATTCATCAATATAATGTGGTAGAAAGGTAACCTCTGATACAGTAAAATTTATAGAAATTGCTAAGTAAACTAGAGTCCCTCAGTATTTTAATTGTTCGGTATTTATTATTCCATCATGGTCATTTGAATATCAAACCCTAGCAAACATATGGATATACGCATAGAAATATTTTAATCTCATTTCGAATAGCTAATTTTTAATTGATTCAAATTTTTAGAAAGTCACAAATTTCAGCTGCGTGCTTATATTTATCAAGCTCGAGATCTAATAGCTGCTGACAGAAGCGGTTTATCAGGTAAGATATTTTACGGTTTGAGCATGACATATTGATAAAGTAATAAATTCGCTCGATCGTCATGTTTTATTCTTCGCGGTAGATCCTTACGCTAGAGTAACCTTCGGCAACCTTAGTCAGGAAACACAAACGATAGAAAAGACCTTATGTCCGACTTGGGATCAAACCTTGATTTATGACGAAATAGAAATATTTGGCAGTCGCGATGACATCATAGCAAATCCTTATCAAATTACCATCGAAATCTTCGATTCAGATGATTTTGTAATGCTAGATTTCATTTTGATTTTTCTATTTTAAACGCGCATCATTAAGCTATATTTGAATTAGTATTTTATAGTTATTTTGTTTCCTAGTCGTGTTCAATTTAAATAAATTTTACTTACTGTACCAAAGAAACATGCAGAATAAGTATCTATACTTGGCAGTTATAGAAGATTATTTTACCTTTTTTATCAATTAATATGTCTTGTAATTGAAATAAATGCGTTTATAGAGCTTTCTTATTCTATAAGAGCTACATAAACCTTTACTTTATTCGTTATAATAGTTAATCCACAGTTCCTACTTTAACTCTGCAAAAAATGAACAAGCTAGGCATTATTATCTTGACTTTAGTCTGGATTAAATGGGTTATACTATTTCAGTGATTTTAGTGGTTAATTGATCTTTGGATATTAACTCATAATCTAACATAAATGATAAACTAATATCAATTGCTGAGTAAGATCCATCTAAATCATATTATTAGGGAAAGCCAGAATTTATCGGAAGGTGTAATGCAATTCCGATGATCAAGTGGAAATCCAATGAATCTCGAACTCCAAAATTGGCTTGGTATCAAATCATACAAAACAATTGCAATGCAGGGGAACTTTTAGCTGCATTTGAACTACTTTTGGTTAGTTTGTAATTTTTGATTACTTTCTAATTCATGCTAACTTACATGCTGTAATAATATCGATAAAAAGCAATAAGTCGCGTATGAAAGATATACTAAATACCCAAAAATCATATCCACAATTGCTGGACTTTCTTACTACTTCGTTGTCTAATATCAGTAATGGTCATTGTTTCATTTATTCAATCTAATCCATAGATTGACGGTGGAGATTTACCATTTGCTCCTCCAAAGAAGAAGGATAGTGAATTGTACATCGTTCCTAGCGGAATTCGACCTGTCCTTCGACGAACAGCTATCGAGGTTAAAGTCGTTCCTAAATTAATTAATACTTTAAACTTAAAATATGCTCTCAATAAAACAATTTTTTAATTTATACTTAGATTGTAAGTAAGTAATACAGTAATTATTCTGCAAAAGAGCTTTATGTTGTTTGGCATCTGTCAGAGTAAATACTAAGAGCTACTCATACCGTTCATACTCGTAGCGAATAATCAACTAAAAATCTCCGTTCTTGTACTTCTTCCATATATTAGGCGCTATGTTGGGGAGTTCGAAACTTGAAAAGATTTCGTTTATTACCCGTTAATTCCCCCAGTATTGAATTAGACGTTGGTGGTTATATTCAAAAAACACCAAAAATCAAGAGTGTTCGAAAAAACCCAAACTTTGATAATCCGATAATCTTTTTCGATGTGGTAAGAGATTAATTGATACGATACATTTCGCAGTATCTGCGGTAATATATTACTGTACCAATTAAATTAAAAAGCCTATTCAGACCCTGACAATCCAATAATGTATTATTAAGGTAATAAGTAATTACTTTGTTGGCTGATGTAATAGTATTAGTAGTAACGCATCATGACTTTAAACTGAATGCTGACCATACTTGACGTAGTATTGACATTTCTTCTCACTAATTGCAGATAATATTGTTCTGTAAAAATAATAGATTCTGATTACTTACGTATATTAATACACTTGACAGATGTTACCCAAAGAAGAAATCTATAGACCACCTTTAAATATCAAGGTTATCGATCATAGAGCATTCGGCAATAAACCTCTAGTAGGCGTTCATGTTATAAACGACATCAGTAAATACGACTACGATCCCACAGCAAGCCAAAATGCACTGCAAGCGGGTGAAATTGGCTCAACTAGTACGTATTCAATAGCGCTTTACGATCAACGTATATGAGTATGCTAACAAATATCTAATACAAAACTTTAGATTGACTGAGCCAGTTTGTAATTCATTTTATAATATAAAAGTTAGCACATGTTTATTTAAAATAAATTCTTTGTATTGCGAAGGTAATGGTGGAATAAATAATACTGGTCATGATATGATCGCAATAGAAATACAAGATGAAAAGAAAGATGAAGACAAGGTGTATAAATTTTTAAATTGATGAGCTTAAAAAAACGTAAAAATTCATCTTTATTTTTTATTGTATATCCTTTTATATCCGATTGGATTTACAGAATAAACAGGATGAGGAAGAAATTGATTGGTGGTCAAAGTACTATGCTTCAACTGGGGATCCTAAAGATTTACAGAGAGCGACGGACTACATAAGTAAAGGATACGATAAGCTGAAGGTAATACCATCACGTTCTATTTACGTATAGTCTATATGTTTAAACTTATCTGATTAACCATTCGTTACATTGCCTATTCAGCTATCTAGACAACATATTTAGCTATCTAGATTGGTTTCTAAGCTAGAAATTTTCATTATTTTTGATGTAGATATTTAAAACTGAATTAGAAGAAGTTGAAATTTACAACAACTTCGAAGACTTTGTTCAACTATTTCCGATCTATCGTGGTAAAGCCAAGAAAAAAGGAGAGGATGATGAAGGTGAACTAGTTGGAGAATTTAAGGGTACTTTTAGAGTTTACCCTTTGCCATCAGATCCAAGCGAGCCCTTGCCATCAAAAGTGTTTGATCCTGAGCGATTGCCCAAAACTAAAGGATTGCAGTGTATCGTCCGTGTCTATGTTATTAAAGCTATTGATTTAGCTCCTAAAGATCAAAATGGTGCTTCAGATCCATATTGTGTCATAAAAATTGGAAAAGAAAAGATTAACGATAGGGATAATTATATACCAAATACCATCAATCCAGTATTTGGTCGGTAAGTAATAGTCTAAATGAACTATCGCACTAGATGATACCAGTGCGTATAATATTGTACACAATTCATAATTAAACATACAATTAAACCTCGACGATATGGCCAACGTCTGATATTTACTTTTCTCAAATAAATAAATTAATTTTTAATTAAATTACCTCATTTTTTAGGATGTTCGAATTGACTTGCACTTTACCCCAACAGAAAGATCTAAAAATTTCAATTATGGATTGGGATATGATTAGTAAAGATGATCTCATTGGCGAAACATCTATTGATTTAGAAAATCGTTATCTTACTAAGCATAACGCTTTATGCGGCTTACCGGAAACTTATTGCACGTTAGTTAACATAAGATTTATATTACCAATTCGTTTTTGTTAATGTTTTAGGAATTTTGCTTATTTAATAAATAATAATTTCTACGTCTTTTTAGTTCCGGTGTCAATCAATGGCGAGATGCCCGATTGCCAAAGGATATTCTGATTAAATGGTGTGAAGATCACGGACTTCCATCTCCTCGGTTTACCAGCAATGCTCAAGTAATACTTAACGGAGAAATATACAATTTGGCTGATTTCGGTAGGGCTAATTTTATTTACAGAAGTTAATATTGAACTGATTCTTGGTAATTCTATTTCCTACTGAGAAAGTCTCTAAATTCTTAACGAATATAATTGTAATAATATGGCTGCTATTAATTATCTAGAAACGGATATGAAAAAACATAAACATCTTGGTGAACCTGAGCAACGATTAGCATTGCATGTTTTACGAAAGCAAGCAGAAATTGTTCCTGAACATGTTGAGACAAGATCCTTATTTAATCCTCTTACGCCAGGGGTTGAGCAGGTTAACTTTCAATTTAAAACTACTCGTACATTTTTCTTTATTGAGCCATAGTTGAACTTTATCAAATTGCAGTATCTAGTAAATTCTAAAGCCATTGAAAGGAAATTTAATTCGTTTCTCTGTTAATGTTCAGGGCAAACTACAAATGTGGGTAGACATATTCCCGAAATGTGACGGACCTCCTGGTCCACCGTTCGATATTACACCTCGCAAGCCGAAAGAGTAAGATTCCATATGAGCGCGAATTAACTTTATTTTTGTTGCCTAAGCATACAAAGCTGAGTGTAGAGAGAAACTACGAGTGCTCGACTTAATACCATCAGGGGGTTATGCAGGCTATCATTGGCTTTTTACCTATCTCATTAATTATTGCTCTCTTGTATTTTAGCTATGAATTACGAGTTATTATATACAATACCTCTGATGTTATCCTAGACGAAACGTCATTACTAGGAGAGAAAATGAGTGATATTTACGTTAAAGGGTATGTATAAGATCTGCGTAAGAACTACATAATCATTTAACAAGACTAACGAAAAGTTTATTTGTAGTACTTAAATTTTAATTTTAGCAATTTTTATCTTTTAATATAATATTCTTGTAGCTGGATCCGAGGAGTGGATGAAAAACTTAAAACAGACGTTCATTACAGGTAGATCTTTTATTACAAAGGATTTCTTCACTCTAACTATAATAAACTTTCATCTAGTGCATGAAAGCATTAATTCAGCATGTAAATATGGCTCTTGTTTTGTTTATAGATTTATATGCAACTTATAATGCTAGTAGTTTAGTATTTACTCACCTGGTTGCAAAAATTACTCAATCAAAGTGCTGTACTAATTTTGTTCCTTGACTTTTCCTAGATCGCTAAATGGGGAAGGAAATTTCAACTGGCGGTTCATTTTCCCGTTCCAATACTTGCCGGGAGAAAAATCTATTGTCATTAAGAAAAAGGTTACCTAAGCTATTTTAATTACTTTAAAAGCGAATGATCAGGATTGAGTCTAAGTATAAGGAATTATGTGATTCACTATCACCTCTATGCTATTTCCTACGGGTAGGAGCACTTTTGGAGTTTGGATGAAACTACAGAAATGGTACCACCGGAAGTTCAAGTACAAATTTGGGATAACGATCTCTTTTCGAAAGATGATTTTTTGGGTTTGTAGTTGTTAATACTGGTGATCATCGTAATTTCATATGCCCAGGTAATTATTCTTATATCATACCATCAGGAACGTTACAATTGAATTTAAACGCTTTGACAAAACCGGCAAAAACTGCAAAGAAATGTACTTTGGATCAACTTCCTGGACGCGGAGGCAAAGGCAAGGATTTAGTCTCCATCTTCGAAATGAAACAAATGCAAGGCTGGTGGCCTGTAGTTAAAAGTGAAGCAGAAAATCCAGAAATAACGGTTAGAATTAAATTATGCCTATGAAAACCTCGAAATGAGTATTTTAACAAATTTTACTAATTATTTTATGCTATCAGTAATCTTCCTGATTGTATTATTCAAACCGTATTCGTAATTCACATTATTGAGAAGATGTTTGTTGCAAGTGTAATAAGCGCATAAAATATGCCATTAGATTTATGAAGTGCCATAGATTAATAATTACTGCAATACTTAAGGTCGACTCTATTTTCCAAATAGGGTAAAGTGGAAATGTCAATTGAAATCTTAACTAGTGAAGAAGCTGCTGCAAAACCTGCTGGAGTTGGACGTAGTGATCCTAATGCAAATCCTCATCTTGATCCTCCCAAGTGAGTATAGGCTTTAATATTCTTGGAGCAGCAACTGCAAGCTCTAAGATCAATTTTTATCTCGGCAATAATGTACCTATCGTATTTCCACGGTTTCATAAGTGTAAATACTTGATATTTTTATTAAAATGAGTAAGAACTTCATTTAGAGTGGAAAACAAAATTAATATTAACCTTATGTTTATATTTGTTTACTATCAAAAACAGTCGACCGGCAACATCCTTTTTGTGGTTTACGAATCCCTTCAAATCTTGCAAGTTCATTTTATGGCCAAAAATTAAATACTATTGCATTGCACTGATAATCGTCATCATTCTCATATTCTCGGTAGCAGTGTTTCTGTACGCGTTCCCGGTAAGTTTACAAAATATTTTAAGCTGCAAGATGAATTACTCCAAAAAATATGTTAAACAATTACTTAAACTTGAAATCTCACTAATTGACATTTCAGGGTGCTTTGGCCAGACGTATTGTTGGTTCAAGGTAGACTAAAGTCAGTGTTTAATTGCATAGAAGCTACAAAGATATTATAGCATTTTCTTAGGTAAACTTACTAGCTTGTATTTGGAATTGTTCTAATAATCTGAATAGTTAAAAGTAGTTGATTCTAGCAAACCTTATGTAATTGTGGTCACACGTTGACTACAATACTGAAAAGTAAATGAAAACGGCCTCTAAGATTTATACGATTTTGGTATTTTCTATCAATCGCAGTAAATAATAACCGTGGATTATTTCGTAAAGGGTTTATAACAGTATGAAAGCAAATATTTGTAATTTGATTTATCGCCCTAAACAAATTATATTTGCTTCACTGTCATTCAATGATATCGAAATTAATTACTTTCTTACTTATCAAATCCTTAATAAAAATGCTTCTTTTGTTAATGCAATGCGCTCTAATTGGTAATGACGTACTCTAATATAAGTGGCAGAGATTAAAATAACAATGAACATGCATAATGTTTACTTTCTCGGTAACTAGATAACCTTACGATTATGAGATTTCATAGTCTTCATTAAATTTTTTTGAAGTGGTCTATATGTAGAATTTTTCTTTTTAAATATCGATACGGCACAATATCGTAAGACATAAATCCATACTATAATTATTAGTCATAATTTGGCTCAGTTTCTCACTAAGTATTTTAATCAAATTTGATATGATACTTTACTTTATTACCTCCAATTTTAATTTAGTATGGAAAAAATGGTCTTATTTAATTCTGGAAGCAATGGAATTGCTATAAAAGTATACCGTTAATCCAGTATAAAACTGTTATAAATTTAGTTATCATCGAAAAGTTTGATCACAATATAATATCATGATTCACTATTTCAGAATAAAATAAGCTTTAACATAGAATTAAATGACGCCATGAAATTTTAAAATTTTTTATGATTGAATATAATGAAATAACAAAGAATGAAAATTTAGAGGGACTATTGTATGTCAATAAGAACAAAAAAGAATAGACTGAATTCTATAAATAATCTTGACAAGATGTTATGTAATGTACTTCATCAAAATATAGAAAGTTTGAAAATATCAATATTTGTGGTGCTTATTTCTGCACTTAAGCAGATTCTTCGCGATATTTTTCAAACAAGGCCACAATCCTCTGTAAAGAAAAAATTAAGTATTATATAAATACATTATTCAATATACTGGGCATAATTTACAAGCCAAATAAATTAGATTACCCTACGATCGAATGTTTGAGCGAAGTCTAGAGCAGTTTTACCATACTAAAGATAAGTAGATAGATAGGATTATTAGAAAGGCTGACATTTTAACTCAAGCAAATTATCTATATCGATGATACATGAAAAATTTACATCTGCGTATACGATACTGACTTCGTTTTTATAGCTTATATCAGCTTTATGTTCCAACAAGACTTGAATAACTTCTTCCGATCCGTTAATAACTGCAACCTATAGCATTGAATAATTATTTATCAAACTTTAAGGCTTGTTGAATTTCGCTGATATGATTGTATGGATAATATGTTAAAGCTGTTAATGTTATCTTACCATCAATGCAGTCTTGCCTTCAGGATCTTTATCATTTACACTAGCACCATGATCTATTAATACTCGTACCACTCGCTGGTTACTTCCAGAGGCCGCTATCAGATAAAAAATAAGTGGGTTATAACATATTAATAATGTATAATCTACTACTATATGACGTGGTCAATTTAAATTTATACTAGGCAATTAATCTTAATTCTAAAACTGAATGCAACACGGTAGACACTACTATCGCGATTTATCTTCACTCCGTTTGTTTTCTTTACAAGCTTTTAATAAATCCTATATCAAGCATTTTAATGTCTAAGTAAGCTTATACTTTAGAATATATAAATTCGTACTACTATACTCGTAGCCATTTATATATTAAAACATGATTTAAAATGAGATTTGTCAAATGCTGCTTTGGCCGATATGGCGATGAATCTTTCTAAAGGTGTTTGTTTATACTATCGTCATTACTGTAGCAACATCAAGTAAATTACTGGTAGACCAATTGTAGAACTGTATTACAAGGCTTTAATATAGATGTATGCAGAACTGTGCAGTGCTACTGTACCTGCTCTTATTATTGGAGTCCAACCAGAAACAGTATCTCTTTGAGTGACCTAAATAATTCATAAATACTTCATTTATGAAAAATTTCATAATTGCGGCGAAATGCAGAAAAGAAAGATCTAAATTAATCTATGTGTTAATATGTTGATCCGTATTTCAACCTTAGCCCCATTTTCCAATAGGTAACGGACTACATCGATATGTCCACCATCAACAGCCCAATGTAATGCGGTCGATCCTGGATGATAAAACATTTGCTATGAAATTATAGTGTCTTTCTATGCCAGTAATCATTACTATACTAGTTAGTAAGATTAACTACCAGACGATAAATTCGAGACTGCATCTATGTTTTATTAGACTCTATTTTTTTACCTCCATTATCTGTTTCTGAAGCGACGGCGCCATTTTTTAGCAATAGGCGAACAATCTTTAAGTGACCCATGAAACAAGCTAGCATAAAGCTAAATTTTTTTCATTACAAATTTAGGAATTTAGGAAATATAATTTAAGAAAAGCTTTTATTTTATATTTATGATACGTGATGTGCTAATATTGAAAAAAGGCGAATGTAAGAAAATTTTTAGGTAAGTCTTCTATACAGGTGAAATGAAGTATGGAGTCGATGTTATACCTGGTTTTCCCGTTGGCGTTCTTACGATTAACATCTGCATTATTGGCAATTAAAATTTCGCACACTCTATCATAATAAATTCATAGTAGTTTTATCTTCAATTTAATATAACTAAATTTAAAAATGATGTTGTACGATTTACATAATTCTTATTGATTTTCATTGAATTCAAATAAATGAAAATTTAAAGAATTCGATCGAAATTACAGTCTTACTCGTAGTAGCCTTTTTGAGCTGCACTCATTAAAGGAGACAAGCCATAGCGATCTGGTAAATCAATAATACTTTTGCTGTAAACCATGAAAAGAAATTTAAGCAGTCATGTTAGTTCTAGGATAGCTTTATGATTACCAGATAAAACTTATGTAGTTGAATTCAGCATACTAATCAGTATCTTTAACATATTACTAAAAAAATTCAGAGAGGGCTCTGGTAAGTAGAGATTATGAGAATATTTGCTTTACGTACTTTTCATCCAACAAGAGTATAACAGCATTTTTATCTTGATGATTAACTGCTTTGTGTAGGTCATCTCCTGTAATTGGTTTCCCTAGAAATTGCATACCGTATTTCAAATCGGTCACAAGCAATAGAACATACACTACTTATGACTTTTAAGATTTGAAAATTGTGAATCCTATATCTAGCCGACCCTAGCATTACTAGTCAAAGTTGAGGAATATATGTAATTGATGTTATATCCCAAAAAATATAGTTTGAAGTTTTATTTGAAATACTATTAGTAGGGTACTACTGTATATTTAACAATGAAGATAAAAAAAGTAGATGTAGACGGCGCTTTAATGAAGTAAAGACTTACAGTACAGTATTTAGCTGCTGTACAAAAGCATCAGTGATTACAGATTACTATATAGCTATTACTATCATCAATAGAAGGAAATCACAACTTCTCCCAACTCTCATTAATAGATTTATTAATTATTCTAACAGTATATGTCGTTATTAATTCTGCCAAGAAAATAACAAAACCCTTCAAGGATAATTCGTCATTGATTTCTTTTAAAAACCCATTAATAGTGACGATAATTACTGTTTCTATTATTATTATCAGTGCTAGTGTAATTCTATGACGAAATTTTTATTACTATTTTGGTGATTTATATCTTTTATATAGATACCGTATAACACGCAAAAATAAAAAAGTTGTTGATATGAAACTATGATTCGTAAATAAATATGAAGTCTGTGAATTTCCGTAATTCATACCCCTATGCCATTTTTAATCCATGTTGTTGTATTAAAGAACAATAGCTAATAGCCATATTAAATAAATTGTGTTTATAAACTAAATATTACAGTCTATGACCCGTTACAATGAACTTACGAATCAAAACTGAATTTAAGTTTGATGTTTATTTTATATTTAATAAATACGTAGGCAATGCGAATTATCTGCTAAATACTGTACTGTCTGTTCCATTTGAGATAAATATCTATTTCTTCGTAATTAAATCAATAACAGATTAAATACGGAAGCTATTTCTGTTCGTAATTTAGTGTAGATGAGGAATGAGGGTAATGTTATACTGAATAACAATATTAATGCCTATATGTTGTATAGCGATTGAAACCCAGTTTAGATCATGGAAGGAGTAATTGTTCTGTTATTGATGGTTTGTCTTCGACACGATAGTTCTATATTAAATCGCTGAATTAATCAGTTAACTACTGCTATCATAAAACATTATTATTATCTATATCTCGGTTTTGATTTTGAAAATTTGTGAATTCATAAGGTATGACAAGAGTTAAAAAGTAACATCGGATTTTAGTACGAGCATGCATACAAAAACACAGTATTTCTATTAGTTGCAGTCAATCTTACTAGCCAATTATCAAAGGCTAGAGGAATTTCTATCCTTAAGTTAATTTGTATGCAGAAAAATTGGTGCTATAACTTAATAATTAGTGTGATTGTATGCAACAAAACATACGTGTAGTCGATACATCAACTGCTGGACTCCATTCGCTATTTCCGTTGGAATTGCTCGCACGCAAACGATAGCGATATTTGCATTGTGCCTCCAATCCCTGAAAAATATTATTGCGAGCATAGCCACTGCAAAGATAAGAGAATAGAATTTGTCATGCAGTTAAGTTAGAGAAGTTACAATATTTTATCACTAGTTATGTTATAAAAAAGCAATCGTTTTTTCGATACAGCTCTTGGTAGCAATCCGAATTCATGCTTATTGTTTAATATCAAAAAACCATCATGCTGTATACTGTGAGGGATATTTTCGTAATACTAACGTATATACAGTTCCAAAACCTTTAGGATGCAAGCTTCGTGAACTGTCATCTTCTTGCACACAGTAACGTACTCGATCAGTAGAATTATTGTGTTTAACTTCACCATTAGTGCCTTCTAATGGTGGCTCATCCCAGTACAACTCAATACTTTGATGGGTTACTTTACCAACCACAGGTGGATCAGGCCTACAGGGTGCTAATAAATAGACATAAAGCACCGATAGGATTAAAAAATGATGATTCTACATTTTATAGCAACTTAACTAACTTCAGTTTTATATTTTATCTTTTAATCACCGAAATATCTACAGAATGAATCAATTACTTTAGCCATAATGAGATTTATGTTAATACCACAGTAGGTTAAAACAATAACAAAATTATAAAAAAAGATTCTAATTCTGGTAATTCTCTCTCGATAAAGTCAACACTTTGGAGTCTAATATGGTATTTTTTTAATTTTGATCCAATTAAGGATCTAATATATTACTCTGCCTACTACGGAGCGATGTTTTCAATCATCTAAATTTGTATAGCAACATTATATAAGCTATTCTACGGTCAAACAATAGGCTACCCTGGTATTTAACTTTCAGCTTACCTGCCATAGTTTTTGCTAGGAAAATCGATTAAATTCGATAGAATTGGGTGTACTATTCAAGTAGAGAAATTAGGGAATAAAGATCAGAAATATGGTATCAAATTTATGAAAAAGTAAATCTTTTACCTTTACTAAGAATGCAAGCAAGTTGCTAATCGTAAACGCCCCTGTACAAGGACTATTAATACATACAGTTACTATCAAAAGAACCTAATGTCTTCTAAATCGCGCTAGCAAACACTTCACTTTGAGGAAAGGCGTATCATTTTGGTTGCCATGGAATGGATAATTTAGCCCATGCGTAGTAAAGAATCAGCTTTGGCACTTGTTGCTAAGGCAATCATCACTTTTAATCCTAATTGGTGAGATTGCAAGATATATCTGGATAAATCAATAACATAACTTCTAAGCTACATAAATTTATTAATACATTTCGAAATTGTTTTGGATTTACTGTAATTTTTATCTGATATTCATTAGTATACTTGCGTAGCTACATGATACAAGCTCTATGTATAATCTAATGCAATAAAAATTACGATTCTTGGATACAAAGTCTTACTGGGATTACGAAATTAAGGTATATTTCTTACTGCCATTTTATCTCATTGCTTTCGTAGTTGCTATTTTAGTTAGAACACGTATTTTTTGTTCAATAATCATCGTACATAGAATTACTTCGTATAAACCGGAGATAATTCATTGAATACCTTAAAAATTACATTCACCACATAGAAGGTTCTATTTATCAAGATTAACGGATTAAAATAAGATAGTTGTTAGAACTTATTATACATCAAACTAATATATTCATTTTAAAGATTAATTTAGTGTTTGAGAAACTGCATCTTCAATGACATAATCGTCTCATTGCGTCTGTAGCAATTACTATATATGAAAATGAATGCAGCTAGTTAAAAATCACTTTTCATCGGATATAAGGTGACCATTACTCCTTTGCTGATAAAAAAATATCAGTAACTGTGATTGCAACATAGATAAATTAGAAGTATGGTGATAAATAACGTAGCTTTCGTCTATATAGTATTTCATATTTAATAGCCAATAATACACGTACGCTATTAAGAAGCTACAGTGACACAAATATTTTGCAGTTGTAATCTTTTATGCGGAAATATTACTGTACATTTTTTGTAATTTATTAGTGGAAAATCGTTGTTTTAGGTCACTGCTGATATATTGAACATTTCGCTAGATTTAGTCATTCCTGTATATTTTCTTTAATAATTATATAATTATTGCTGCATTAATGGAGCTTTAAAGTCCAAGCTATAGTATATTTCATTTAACTCCGTAAAAATTGGCAGCAACTGAAAGTAACATGCCCCTTTCTGGCTATTTAAACTTTCATATAAACAGCGATGATATAATAAGTAATGTGTATCATATGAGATAAATCTAGGGACTTAATAATATCAACGAGTGAAATCTCGTAAAAATCAAGAAATGAATGCTATTGGATGATTAATCTACGCTGTTTAATAACGTATTATAGATTAGTACAATCCAACATTTCAATATGGATAAAGGAGGCGTATTTACCGGAAATTCACCAGGCAAGTACTGTATAGAAATGTTATCTACAAGAACCTTTATAATTTAACTGACATCAATACATTTTAAAAAGCTTGATCAAACTCTTGCAGTTTTTATATGATAATTAGGTTAGAAACTGTAAACTTAATAAATTACATCTGCATTCTCGCTATGTTCCAAAATGAGCTCAATGCATACACCGTATTACGCAAGAAAAACAGGCATCTATCATGTCCTTATACGAAGCTTTAATTTTTGCAAACGTTTAGTGTCATTAAGTTATATTATTTATAAACAACTAACGGAGTCAACTATTATCTTACTATACCAAAACCATCGATGTAGCTTTCATGCGTGCATTAACTTTAGACTTCTTACCAAGTGTATCATTAGAAATTTGAGATTCCAAAAAATAAGTGTCAATAGTGTATGGCAACGAATCCTTCAAAACTGATAGAAATCTACTAGATTTTAGCTAAATCTGATAATTTCATCATGTAAACTAGCCTTGAAGTATGAGATGAAGTTGTTAGAATTAAAGAAAAAGGCTAAATCAGGCCCGAGTGAAGAACGAACATTTACATGTTTTGAAGTTTTGGGTAAATGTAAAATTAGATCAAGCTCAGTTTTCTTTTTTTATAGATAATTTAATGCTGAAATAATTTATTAAATTGGCGATATTAAATTAAATGCGATATCACATTTTCAACTACAAATAGAGGAGATATTACCTCATCTAGGAGTATTTCAGAAAGTTATCCAAATCTGCCGCGAAGAACTATTTGGTACGTTACTGATACGTATATTTCTTTTATGTCTACATTTACAGTACATTAAGTTAATGATGAGTTTAAATTACCTTATATTTAAAAGTCAAAGAATAGCAATCGTATAATTTATATTCTTAATATAGACTCCGTCTATAGCGATGAATACTCTTCCATGTCCAGAACTGTTCAGAATCAGAACAATCCCGTGTTATATAAAATGCCCTATTTTATTTTAGTTAAGGAACTGTATACTAGAAGGTAAAATGAATATGTAACAAAATACAAGTATTAATTTAAAATAGATTAACGTATTTTCTGAATTAGGAACGAAAACGCTGATAAATTAAAAGAAGACTTGAAAGATTTCAATAAAATGTAATATTTCGAGTTTTCATAGCAGTTAAGCTAGTTGTCGCTATCTTCATTATCTCATGCCTTCATTATTGATTAATTAGGATAAAGGAAAAGAATGAAGAGTTAGACGAAGCTAATATGCGAATTAAACGACTCTTGTATGATGTGGATTTTCTACTCAGATATAGACTGTTAACCAAATTTCTATAATCAGCAACTCCACTGATTTTATGACATATCCATCAATTAAAATAGAGATTTGCAAGCAGAATTTCGTAAGGAAATTGATCAATTAGAAGATAAGATTCAATCTAAAGACGAAGACTTGATTAGGTATATAAAAAATTACAATAATTATGACTCTGTTCTTGCCAATATATTTATATTATATATTTATTTGATCGCTTCTATTATCATTTATAATTAATCGGTATTTAAATTTGCTTATTATTTAATTCTACCCAAGATACAAGCTAGTTTGTTAATCTTAGACTTAATCTTAGACTGATACTCTATCACAATATATTATTAATGTGTAATTTCCTGCTCAGAATGAAACACGAGATGGAGAATAATAATGCAAGGCATGATGAAGTTCTTCAAAAAAAGACCAAAGACAGCGATAATTTAAAAGTTTGTATCATCACTTATTCCATTGATAGATGTTAGTTTAAAGTTTGCTACTTTTTTGTTATTTTATTCTACTTTATAGCAGCTAATTACTTTAATAATTAATCTTAATTTGTTATAACTCACTTAGCTTCAACTAACGAGGACGAAAAACGAATTAAATTACGTTAAAGAATTTCGTCGAAGTTACGATAAATTAGATGATTGTATGTGATATCTTTAAATGAACGCGAATTCTTTATACGTTATAAGCATTCCTTAAATCCCGTAATTTTTAATTCGAGTGCCTAATGTAATCATGTTTCTATAGCATTTCTTGACCCAGTCGTAAAATTTGATATGAAAAGGAAGATGTCTTCAAAAAAGCCGGTGATATCAACCAGATGGGTAGAGTTCTATATTAAAGTTAATTGTAGAGCGCTCTTATGCTGTAGTATGTGTTTATAATGGATAGAAAATAATAATTAACTGAGATCTTCTTCTTACTGACAATCAACTATGAATTACGTAAGCAATAATTCTATCAATATGAACTAATATAGGTGATTACTCAATGTTATTTACAGAGTCAAGCTAATAGCAATGCGGTTGAAGCTAAGGAGATGTTAAAGCAAATGTTTATCATAAGAAATCAAATCATTGAAGGTCTCTTAATTTTGATATGATCGTATAGAAAGAAAATTGATTGCTATATACCTTGCTTTACTTTAATATATATTCGTAAATCAATAATACTAATGATTCCCTTCGCAATTGGTTTAAATTGGAAAAGAATACGATGATTACATGGAAAATAGAGGAAACAAGCAGGCTAATGTTGAAAATTTAGATGCTAAACAAGCTAGAAAATTTAGTAAAGCTGCTAGAGAAGTACTGAATAAATATAGGGATTATTTTAAATACCTTTCAGTCGATAAAACGAATCTTATCATGCACTGTATATGATAGAGAAATAAATTGTACCCTTGAAATGATTTAGTAATTTTCTCATGTTTGTCTGTTACTATTTTAGTATGTCGATGTACAAGCTCGATTTAAAAGAAATATCGAAGACATTACCATTGAAGTAGGTCAAAAAAATTATCCAACTTTAAATTGAGCGTATTCTCATCTACGGTATGTTAACATTTCATCTTAACTTTTCACTTAATTCTCTCTCCTCCCTCCCGCCCCCAAAAAGATTTCTCTCTTAAAAAAGCAAGAAGAAGCTATAATAAATCAAATGAAGAATTTAGAATCTAATATTAAGACTAATAAATCCGCTACGTACAAGCAACCATCCAATACTAGTAAACCACGAACTCTCCGTGTCATGGACGATAGTGATGAAAATGATGAAGATATTGCTATTTCACTACCTGGTGGAAGCCAAGTTACTATTGATAGGCATGGTAGTGATAAAATAGTCAAATTTGATGGACTAATACCTAAAGAGGATCAAGACTTGGACGATCCATTTGTGCCACAAGAACAAGTACTAAATAAGTATGCGGCCATGGTAAGTATTTTAATCTTCCAGACTAGAGTGGTTTACCTTCTCAAAAAAGCTGTAGAACAATGATTCCTTATCTGCATATTTCTAGTGGAATAATTTATTTTTAATCCTTTCCTTGATAGATCTACGCTTCTACTGATAATGGTAAAACGTTTCTACCCATTACTGATGCTAAATTATGTACAAGTTGTGGCGAAAAGGTAAGAATGTAGTAGTTATTTTGATGCTATACTATATGTATATCGCCTACCCTAGTAACTGATCTCTCCGAAGGTTAACTCATGGTTAGTTAGCTACTGGCAGTTATCACATCCATTTGTTACAAATATATAAAGGCGAACAAGTCAATCTTGGATGGATTTAAACTTGAATATTGTCTTACTACTTCTAACTGAACGGTACTTTAGTAACCCTTTAGTTTTGACGGAAATAATATCGCATTATGGCTGAGTTAATGTTTTACCATAGTGTCTGTACGTAAATCTCTTCAATATATTAAATAAAATAGAGCCAGAACGACTCTGATATCTATGTGCTATGAAAGCTTAATTTGATCAAAAATTATTGTTTATTTTCAAACTCTAAACTCGTAGCAACAGTCTAGCAATTGCTATCCACAAATTGATTTTAATAGAAACTGATAGGGAAGTAATGATCATAAATATTGTAGTAGCACACCGTAGTACTCGTCTAAGTCAATGTGGCTTGAGCTTATTGTTATTACACTTTGATATTAATTCTGTATCAATTCTGCAATTATAACATTGAAATTAATAGCCGATAATAATTAAAACATGACCTACGATAATAGCGAAATTACTAACAGTGGCCATATGAGTTAGTCTCAGCTGAATTGATTTCCGATAATAACGCTAACGGCCTATTGAAAGAAGATATACTTAATGCATCTAGCAAACTTAATAAAATTTTCATATCTTGATGATTTACTTCATTACAGACCATTCTCTGTCCTCATAAAGTCAATAAGGATGCCTTCACAGTCAATTTACCTGAAAATTGTACCCATCTAAAAATTACTCGACCAAAGCTGAAATTTAGGCCAAAAATGTAAGGACTTAAGCTCTACTGAGCCTCTCAATACGAATTTTCCTTTTGCGGAGTAAGATCTTACGAAGAACCATCCAATAGCGTCTGTGATAATACCGCATTATCTTATAAGATTCACTTTTATTGCCAAATTGATATTTTTACTGTTCATTTTATACTTGATTTATGCTACAAAGTGCAACATCGAAAAGCTTTGCAGCAGCTAGTAAGCAAGTTCTAGCAATGTCTTCGGTTTCACGATTGCTTCGTCGGCAATCAGATGAATTTCTCAACTTACAAGAGCTATCACCTGAGGAGATATTACAGCCAGGGAAGGATAAACCTGGTGCAACGGAAGAACAAATGGTAAATATTGAATCTTTCATTGCTTTAACAATTAGAATGGCCATTGTGGTTAGTGGATCAACTTTTCCTCCATTTAAAGAGATTTCTACTCTGTGTATTTAATATAATATTAATCTAGTAAAATTGAATGGTGTAAATACCATACTATTGATAGCAATTATAGAGAAAGATTATAAAATAATAATGGAATGGTTGTATTGCACCTTAATAGAAAGCAGCTTATGATTTTATTTGGCAAGATTTCAATATACGTTCGACTTTATCACGCGAAATCTCTCGCCCAATTAACGAGGTAAGATTGATAAACGTTTTACAACTTTTCATTTTACATGTTTACGGATATTATAATAATAAATTATCCTATCACATCCGATACGGAGCTAACTTTAAATCATTACGATGAAATAATTTCTTAAACAGGAACGTGTATTATCGCTAGTCAAGCAATTCTATTCATATATCGTTTATCGAGATGAATTTCATACAGAGGATGTTCATCCATGCACCATTTCGGTAAATGGGATATTAAATCATGAAGCATAAACTCCCAAGTGATCATTACTGGAGCTATACCTTTGAAAATTTGTTTGCAAACTTCTTTTATCAATCATATTCAATTTCCTAAATCCTAATGTTCGGTTAAAATCTTAATAGAACTGTTTAATATTCAAGCAGAAGTTATTTACAATCATGGCAACATACATTGTACTCACTTTTTATTTCTAATTGTGATGATAGGACTCGTTGTATCAGTTTTTCTATGATCGCTACCTTGTCTGGGATGTTGTTTACCTTTCCATGCATGATTTCATACTAGGTCTAGAAACTTACGCTCCGACTAATAAGGTAAAATTTAAAAATAAAATGCTTCTTATCCGTTCTAGACGGTAAAAGATTATCCTAAGATTCAAAACTGATATTATGCGCTATAGCTAGAGATTGATTATACCGATAAGTTAATGTACTTAATGTTCCCAGTGTAACTATAACAAGGTAATTAATGTTTTAAAAACGCTAAAATTTTTTTTATTCTCTACGCTGCTTTTTCTTCTCTGAATTCCATGGTAGACTTTGCAACTGTTCGTACAAGAACTAGGAGGTGGCTTAGATCCTGTCTGCTTCAGATATATCTTATTAAATAATGATTTCATTGATAGAGTAAATTGGCAACAAGCAGCAGATTTTAAGGAATTTGCAAAGATAATTTATCCATTTCTCACGGTAAGCAGAAATTCCACTATCATTGTCTCAAAATTATAGTGTAAGAGCGTGTATACATGCATACCCTCACATCTTCAACCTTTCCCTTTAACACAGGAATTCAATTATGAATTCCATAGAAACTTTCACGGTAGTAATATATCACTACTAACGAATAGCATTGGTTAATTAAGTGAAAGTATTGGAAGAAAAGTCACTAGTGACTTGGAGATTACCGTGTTGATCACTAATTTTAAATTTAATACTTTTAACAAAGTCATGATAACGCTGACGACATTGCATACTGTATCTAATTTTGGCAGGTACCATTTCATTTTTGCAGATTAAAATCAGTACAATATACGAGTAGATAGTGATATTTGTCGTAGTTAGTCAATTAAGACTTGTACCTTTGCCATTTAGATGTGGGTATTTGCTGCAAATCGGAATATTTTTTATTGTACTTCTAATACAAATAGAATGAAGCCAGTTATCACTAAATTGGAGATATTGTGCTCGAAAGTGGCATCATCTCTTGAGAAGATTATTGTTCAGTCTTACAGTACCTTGTCAAATTCCAATGCAAACCAAGTAATATTTTTATTTATCTTATTTGCAGGAAGACGATTTGGATCAATTCATTATTGACTATATCTCATTTAGCGAAAATAGAGCCAATAAACACATCGTTTGTGAATTTTTCCTTTATGCAATTTTGAAGTGCAAAGAACCTCGTATCTTAGAGGTTTATTATTACTTAGCGCTTTTATTTCATGCCTGGCTGATTAGTATTGGCGATTGAGTTTCGTTATAATTTATAATTTATTTACAGAATGAGAGCAAATTGATTAAAGTATCTGCAACTATACCAAGTTGTTTAACGATCGATGAATTTATTGAAGCAATGGAAAATATCTGTCCTTTGGTATCAGATAGACTACTAAGATGGCTATATGCCGAATCGGCAGCATTTTGTCAAGAACCTTATAATGCTGTTCCTATTCCACGATGTGCACGTATCCTCATAAAACTTTCATTATATTGGAAAATAATGAAATTATTAAATTAGCATGGCCTTTAAAAATGTTGCATTTACGGTTTTAACTAATTTTTTGACCACATTTTGCACTTAATCTAATGTGTTACAGGAAATGATTGAGCTCGATCAAATCTTTAACCATTTTTCACAGAGATCTGTAGCTATTTAGAACTGCTACAATTAGCTCCTGTTATAAGAGAAACTGTAGCGCTAAAAGTCGGCCAGGGTTTATTGGATACCTCAACATATCGACGTAAGGCTAATAAGCAAAAGTATTTTCTATCTTAATATTTCTTTATAGTTTTGTAGTAATAACTGATAGGAAGATGTAGCGTAGTATTGCTGTCTATACAGACGCAAGATATCATACTATATACTGCACTTCGTAGGAATGATTATTGCAGTGATTATAGTAATGAATGGTATTAACGGTTAAGTAAGTGCTCTAAGCTCTAATTTATTATTGAGTTGGAATTCGAACCGCCTATAGAAAAAGTAGTAACCTCTAATTGTACAGATAATTCTAGCTACTCTGGTCATGATATCGAATATTAAGCGGTCTATCATGGCAAAGTTTGATACTACTGGTTAACCAATCGTATACAGTGCATTGAATAACTGCAATGTTTTGTTTGAAAAATTATCCGTTAGCATAGCAGCAATTTCATTGTGGACTATAATCTCACCAGCAGCATCTTTATTTCTACTAAATTAGCAACTACATCGACCCTTGATAGCAAGATAAATGACCGTCAACTAGATGCAGATAATTTTATGACCATGTCATCTGTCAAGTTCAATAAAGAGTAAGAATTTGTAATCGTCATTATGTTTATTAAATCTAATTAGTTCATCTTCAGACTACATTTTTGATGACTAATTAAACGGTACTCTGATTAGGGTAAAAACCACCGATGTCCGTCCAACTACTTCAGCGTAATGTGAGAAGCTGTCTGAAACTCAACGTCATTCCGATTTCTAACCATTCCTTTCTGGATGATATTGGTATTTTAGTAATCTGTACATTGGAAGGGTGACCACTTTCACATACGATTCACAAATAGAGAACATCAAGTGCGCAAATTATAAAGTAACATTTATTTTTAAAGACTAGATTACATTACACCATAAATAACTTAACTCAAGGGCTCTCTAAAGTTATACAAAGAAAGTTATACACAATACAAAGTGTAAGAAATGCTTTTACCGCTTAGTTATTTACAGTACGATCCTGAATCATGGACTACTAGAAAAAAATCAAGGTTTTATTCTAGTAGTCCATACCTGAATACAATTGAAGCAACTTTCATAGTTACATTGTCAACAGTACGGGAGCGAACCAATAAAGAATAATAATGGGCAAAAGAAATAAGATCACTATATCCTCAAATAACATGATGTAAATTTCAGCCTCGCAATCGGATATACTGAACTGCTTTGCTTCACATATTTCCTTTTGTCTCCCATCTCTGTTTCGATTCGAACCTTTAAGCAATATATGATATTTATGACGACTTCAATATTGAGTCACAATTAAACATTAACGATAAATGAAAGTATGTAATCATTTTATCGCAAGGATAGTTCTTACGTCCAATAAAGATTCCGCCTCTTGCGTTTTTTTTCTGTCGGAATGTTCTATATAACAGAGTTAACATGCGTTAACATTGTAAGTATAGGCGTAATTTGTGATTGAAATAAAGTATAAAATCAGCATTAACAGTTATTTTTTGTCATGAGTTGAGGGAAAAGGTCAACTAGCGATATGAAAGCGCATAAAGCTATAAGCTTCAATTACCACGCTCTTACCTGTAGAGAAGTTTCATACTTTAAACGTCTAATAGCGTTGGTAATTTCTGTAGCAAACTAGCAGTATACAAAAAACTCGTTGTTAATGAGCAATACTTTTATCGATAAAAACACCTTAGAAAAAAATTTTATAGCCTAGTGATTATCATGCCTCGAAGGATTACAAATCCCGAAGAGTAAAAGAGTACTTGAAGATAAGTTAATCCTATCAATCTGTGAGAGATTACAATCTACGTCGCTGCTTGATATAAAGCTTAGCTGTTTCACTGGGTTTGCATTCAACATACTTGTAGGTTTGATATTTGACTGCTTAGGTTTTCTGCTCTATCGTAATCACCAGCTTCTATTGCTTCGTCGATATCAGTTTCTATTTTCGTCTGAAGATGGAGGAAAAAGGTAAAATTCAGTAAGTTACTTTCAAGGTGAGTAAATTAAAAGAATACTCGTGATATTGTATCCTCTCAAAAACTATTACTAACAGTAAATCTACTTACGGAAGTGCCGCAATCATAGATAGTCTCTTTATAATTTTTCCTAGTAACTAGTATGCTAAGACTATGATAAATGTGATTGGCCTTCAAGACTGATGACAGCACGGTTAGATAATAAACTTCAACAACAGTAACCTACTTCAATACTTCATCTATACATCATCATAGTTTTCATTTAGCCTATTGAAAAGTAAGTTTACGCCTTTTATCGTCTTTCATGCACGTAAACACGTTCCATTTTAGATGATCGCGTCCTAAAAATATCAGAAACATCTCTACCCACCTTAGCTTTGTATTGTCGATCTGCGTTCTCTTCAATGTAAGGATTTTCAGCCTTTAATCGCTCTTTAATTTGTTGCCATTTAATAGCATCATTTTTAATCGGTCTAAAAAAGTACCGTAAAACAATTTATATCTATTCATAAATAGCATTTACGATAACTGATGTAAAAATATGTATGCATTCCAGTATTTTCGTTTCAAGTTACATGTGAATCATTGACTATACATAGATACATGGACTACATTTAGGTAAATATTTAGGTTAATGTCATTTACAGTACATCATTGGAACGATCTTTACAGTATATAAGTATGATAAAAATATGCAGTTTCTTGAACTCACTGGTGACTTTCATTTGATTGAACTGTCTTCTTATTTCGCTTACAAATTGCAGCAGGTATTGTGACTCCAACATCTTTCAGTGTATTCACGTCAACGTCATTATTTTGTAGCTGATTAACAACTAGTCAATCAATTTAAACGTCTTTCATTAGATATTAACCTTAAGAATTTATCCTTAAGGTTAATCCAAGCAAAAGAATGTCATCTGTACACCTGTACGGTACGGCGCAGGTAATAACAGAGTGGAATGTAATTTTAATTGAAAAAGAGAGCTCTTCACTATGTTTGGCAGTGTAAATAAGTCATCAGTAAAGTTACGTAATGACTGGATTTTAAATACAATTTCAACGAAAATGCAGCGAAGGATACTATTCCTAGTTTACAATTGATTATATTGGCAGCTTTGTTAACAACCACAGTATGTAGATAAAATCTACTGTGATAGTCATTCGTCAATTGTGCAATGAAGTTCATTAAACAAGCAACGTTATTATAGGGTAACGAACCATCTCTTGTAATCTTCTTTTTCAATTTATCCGTCCTTCTTTGATCTCCTTTATCATTTTTCCAATCTTTCCTGCGTTGTTGTAATTGGGCAAATTTCTAATGATGTTAAAATCGAATATCAATTGATTGATTGATATCCTACTACATTACGAAATTTTTTTGGTTCAGCCGCCATGTTTAGAATAACATCATTCAATGAATGCTATGTTACTGCCCTGTTATTGTCATACTGATTACAGAACTGAACATCGACGATTTAAGTTAAAGACTTATTCAAATGAAGATATCAGCGTATTCCATTTACTGTGGTATACAGGGTGAATACTTCTACAACAGCTGAACTGTTGATAGTAATAGTTGTGATATCACTCTCTTATTATTTCTAGACGGTTAGTCTGCTCGACTAGCATTACAATAATCGATTACAGGTAACTCTAGAGTAAAGTAAGGGCGCTTTGTGATGTAAAATATCATAAGGGCTAACCATTTATCAGTACATTTTAAATTATGAATCGAATTTAAAATCAATCCTAATGCAGTAATTATTTACCAGTTGTATACGTTCTGGCACATTTTTCAATAAATCCCGATCCGTTCTATTCGTCACTTCCTCGACAGATGGATTATCTGATTTACAATTATTACTGTGGGTTGGAGGTGGAACCGAAGAATACATTCCGTAATAATATTGAGTTTAAGCAAAAGTTAAGTCGTTGAATTTGTATCACACTGGATAATGTCTACTACAGTAATAATCACACGTATAGTCGTTTACTGGTATTTGTACAATCAGAAACATCGGCAACTTAGCGCCTATCTACGAACGTATTTCAGTCTTTGCTTTATAAACTAGAATTGAAAGTAAGAGTTGTATAGAATAGAGTAGGATTAATTGCAGACCATTTTTGCTTTACAAAGATCTCTATCCTAATGATATCGATCGACATTGGTCGGATGAGACAGTGATTGATTTCTCCTCGGTACGGTCAGCGGTAGTACAGTAAACATTAAGTAGTAAAAACTGGCTTGGACTTATGATACTGAACAATCTACCGAGGGTATTAATCGTAAAACTCTGTAAGTGAATGATTCATTACGATGAGATACAGTAACTTTTAGTTTATTGCTAGTATTCAACTAGGGACTAGAAATCGTCTACTAAAATGGGAGGGACCGGAAATGCTCGTTCACCTTACTGAAACTATGGGCATTGACTATTACACTGGTCATTTTAATTGTACCGGATATTTGCAACGGTACACAATCCTCTCCACCAGTGTTTTCCTAAATTGGCTGTCAGATTACAGGGAATATTATCTGCTAATTCTTATCCTTTTCCCAGTATTCCCCAGCTTAATAGTGTACCCTTCTTTTTACACCTGAGGAGGATTGAGTTTGGGGCCAACTTGAGGAAAAAGTAGGAAAGCAGAAAAAAAGGGAAAAAATTAGCTGGCACTGCCTGGCAGTACACAGTAACTGTACAGTACATTGTACAGTACAGTAGTGTACTGTACAATGTACTGTAGTACCTCAGTGAAAGTGCGCATGCCCGATACCTTCAATACGCTTGCATGATAAGAGGCCGGAATAGTTGCTCTCCTTTCATCCATCATTAAGTTACCAATTTAGTACTCTATGCTAGTGTAGTTTAGGTGTTATGGGGTACTGTATTGTGTGCTCCAATAGATTCCAACAAATGGCAAGTCTCACGTAGTGCCTTGAATTAGCTCGTTAAGTTTTCAAGGGATTTACTGTAAATTTGGCTAAAATTCCTCGTAAATACGAGTAGTTTCTTACACCCTTGAGCCTTGATATTTTGGGGGTAAATTTTTTCTGCAGTTATTTTGTTCTCTTTTACAATTTCGGATCAATATCATGTATAAAAATACGAATCTACACTATTCTAAAGTACTGTATCAACATCAATATGATACGACTCCCATGTATTTACATATGTATATGTATAAAATAACACGCATTTGATACATACTGCCACGGACCACTAAAAGAAAAGCGTTTTCTTCTATTGATGTTGATTTGCAATTTCAAATACAAATCATCAGCTACTAGTAAAGGTTCGGTCGGTTCAACCAGTCCGACATGTCTACTCCACTATTGGTCTTGGTAGGCCATGACTTTGACCACAAGAAACACATGACAATGTCCGTCCATCCAAGCGAGATTTGTCCAGAATGGGATGTATAGGGAGCACTGGTACCGCGATTTTCGCGTTGCACCCTGACATCTATAATTCTCGCCAAATGTCAATTTTTCCATATACTGTACGTGTACAAAAAATTATTTAAATATTTTAATAATTTGTAATTTCGTGACTTTGATGTAGGCATTTATAATAGTATTGCTCCCCATGCAAGATTCAAATTATACTGAACTGACTGTACTTCTAGTGAAGCTTAGATTAATTTCAGAGTGACTTTTAAAACTACAGTTGCTTCACACTGTCTTTTTCTTGGAGGCTAACTGGGGCAGTGCTTGTATAGTTTCGTGTTATTATTCGAGTGTTTTCTTGTAATTTCTTACTCTTTCTAAAATTTTGAGCCTTTAATAGTGTTGGCTAGGCATATTTTTCTAATGTAAAGCTGGCAACGGCTCCTTTTAATCGAAATATTTGCGATTCAAAGTGATTTGAATTAGTGTTAAAATCGGCGCCAATGTCGATTTTATACCGACCATGCTACTTCAATATTGGAATACTGTTAGTAGAAACATTTATACTTTCAATAATTCAAGCTTCACAAAGAAGAGTAGTGCTATATTGGGGTTAGGTACTTCAAATAAACTTCAAACAGAAAAATTAACAAATATCCAAATATACACCTACGAATATACATTAGATTACTCAAGAAATTATCGCTCGGAAAGCATGAAAGATATTGACTGGATGTACAGCATGGGCATGATTGCATTACTTCTAGCTGCTTGATACAGTACTACCGTATGCATATCCTTGATTAGATTGGACTTGTATATGACCGTGTAAAAGGCAATTGTGTCAGATCCTAATTAAACACTATCCGGCAAATAACCATATTCCTATAGCAGCTGGACATTGCGTAATCTGGTAGCCCACAACTAAAAGTGGATTAGGCTAGAACTGTTTGCAATACTAATTTGACAGGGACTATGGCATAATGTAGAATTCTATGATATTATTAGCTTCTGGGTATGCATTCTTTAGCTATACAGTATATAGCACAAAAATTAGCTAATCCAATGTTCCAGTTATTATTAATACTGAGCTTTATATACAGTAATATCCGAAACTTATTACAGTATTCTAAACTGCAGTAAACACACTTCATTCGATCTCCAGTATTTTTATAATTTTCTTTTTTCATTTCTTGTTTACATTTTTTATGGCACTATTCAATCTCACGAACTTACTTCAGCAGCTAAGTACTTTTAATTAAATTGTAATTTAGCATCAGCAAAGATTGCCCATGATGTCAGCAACTTTAAAAATGAATTATTCGCGTATTGTGAACTTTACTTATAGTCATACCTACTGTACTCGACCAGTTGTGAATATGCTAATGAAATATTGCCCAAATGACGACATCTAACTTCTAAAGTTAAGTTTTACCTTAAGGCAGAATAGGCCATATAAGCACTATGAATGAAATACGATTGAGTTTACAACAGCCAAGCTGTTGGCAGAGCATTTGAAATTAAGCATGGCATTAAAAGTACATGAAAGGAAAACATTGCAAACATCATTATGCTATCCATACTGAGGTGGATCTTGAGGTTGACTAGTGATACTTTTCATAAAATGAAGCTCGCACTTTGCTACTAATTAATTGACTTTATTGAGGTTGCACTGTACATACATTAACGGAGTAATTGAATGCTCGTGCGAAGTAATGCCGAAGAAGTCTTAAAACTTTCCTTTTTATAAGATTCTAGTTGTAATAGTAACGGGTCATTTTGTAACTTAGCAGCATCGTACTATACAGATATTTAAGTTTCTAAATTCCTAGACACGAAACAGACAAGCATTTTGATAACATAGCATGTTGATAATTCGTAATCTATGCTTATTATAACTTATAACTTATCTATTATAATTATAATTATCAGACGTGACATTACGCTACGGTTCGGACTTAGTGTATAATTGTAACGATACACATATTTTAATGATTATTCGCGACACACATAATGTAGTAAATGATCACGGATTACACAGAAACTACCGTCAATCAATGAACAAATTAGTGGAGGAAGCTTTTAAGAAATACTATTTGTAGTTTGTTAGCTCGGTATAAAGTGCACTATCTTCTCTATAGCTTCACATCTATCTCTAACCTCAAAAATAAAGATTGGAAAAGCATATGACATGTTTTCTTTCTTTTTATTCTGCTAAACATCATTATACTGTTACTAAATTCTGCGAAATTGGCGGTTTAAGCGTACAGCATTGCATACTCGTCTATCATCGTACGGGTATAATATACACCAAGATACAAACACAGATAAGTGATTCCTGTTACACTTTAAGCTTTATGATACATTAGCGAGCTCATTAAACTTTAATAGAACATATGCATGCCTGTTTCATGATAATATCAAGCAGATAGATTGCATGTGCATTTATTGTAAATTACCTGGTTTAGTAGATACGCGTAAAATTGATGTGCTTTTGATTAAAATCTACCTACATGAATCATTAATAGATCTGAGGCAACATAATTATAAATTCCTTAAAGAGTCGCTAAAAAGTTTAAAAATACATTTTAATCACCATGTTCCGTAAATGTGGCATGAGAATCCTTTCTACACCATAGGGTGTGCTACGCTACTAACCGAGATGCTCGTATGCTTGAATTCGTAGAAACTGCCTCAACTGCAAAACATATTAGAATTAACAAAATTAAACTTCAATATCGGTTAGGCGTGCCATTTTCACTCATTAGTTCCCTAAATAAATTCAAGGAATAAGAACGCTATAATCTAACTTTAATCTTTCTATCGCCGTACTATTGGTTAAATACATGGTTTGATCCCAATGGCTTAAGCTTTCCAATCTTGAATGATTTCAATCTGTTATTATAGCAATTCTATGAGCTGCTTAGAAACGACCTTTCATCATGTATTTTTGCTGTTCAGTAAATATAGATAGTATTAACCAGCACTGTTATACGCATTTTTCTTTTTCCTTTCTCTGCTTGCAGAATTTTATCCACTTTTACTCAATTAAACGAAGCAAAGGCTTTAATATTTTGATTTATTTTTCTCTTCAAAGAAAAAATGAAAATTAATCAGTGATAATGAATGTCATAATCTGTAGGCTTATAACTACCATAGCGAATTTCATGTCAACTAATTAGAAACCAATTCCTTCAAAAATAAAAATAAAATTTACAGTTATAGACATGATGCAGGTAAAAGTAAGTTGCGAAGATTAAAAAAGAATGAAGAATGAAGAAACCTCATATATCAAATATAAATTATGTGTGTCGTAGTACAGCATTTTATGGTAGAGTTTAAGGCAGCAAGACTATTTCATACTACATAATCATTACGAGATTAGCTAGAAGTTCTAAATAGATTGCGCCTATATAATATATCATGTTTTAAACAGTATCAATTACAATAGGGTACATGTTCACTTGTACAGTACTAGCAAATGAGAGAGATCAGAATGTAAAATAT